TTAATAATTTCTCATCTCATTTATCTCATCTATAAGCAATAATTATTATATCCTATAAGTTTGCCAAAATTTAAAGTTCATAATTAGTGAATATTCAAATATACTTTTAATTAGAAGAGACATTGATACTTTGCTTAGCCTTTTTATGGTCGATAGATCGATAACGTCATTCAATCCAAACTTTCGTCAAACGACTTTCGTTAAGCATGCAATCTCCAAAGAAACAGGTCAGTCTCAACGAACCTCTGTGACTTTTTCGAATTTAAAGCCAACTTCTATATTGATTGCTGAATCAACCTTCGCCCTAATGCAGCCATTAGAGGTTTATTGAAAATTCGGGATTACGGCAATATTCCAAATTTTTTGATATTATTACAAGCAAAATTATTTTTCTAAAAATTGTAGTTTTCCTTATGTTAAACATCCGGTTTTTTTATCTATTGCCCGCAAGGATTCTAAAATATTATAAATATTTACGACAGTTGTCCTTTCTTTATTTTTTTGCATTTTGAAACCTATTTACTTCACGTATCTTTAAATTTTATATATATTATCATGAAAAATAGAAATATTTAAAATATTTAGAAAATATTAGAAAGGAATAAAAAATTGCCACATGAAATAAAATATATTATATAAGCATAAATCAAGAAAAAATTTGCAAAATCAGAAGAAATCTATTAAGCAATCTATTATAATCTTAATCTCAAGTTTTCGCGATTTAGATCGACCAAATTCATCGCAATAGGTGGAAAATGAATAGCACCTAAGGGAAAAAAGAGGCTTCGGTACTAAAAAGTAAAATAATTTTTGAACCAATCACTAGTAACAAACGATGATGAGTGCTAGAGAATCATATATCTGAGTTGATTTTTTAGTATAGTGCATAATAAATATATCTTAGGTTACAAATAAGCTTCCCTGAACAATTTTAATGCGAACTCAACATTTCCCATTTTCACTTCATTTCTACAGGGGTCGAAGTCAATTCAAGTCATTCAAGTCAGTTAAAGGCAATTAAGACAATTAGGACAATTAAGACTATTAAGACAGTTGGCATATAAAAAATTCCAGAGCAAAATTAATATAGTAAAAAATTCATCTTTTTCTTCATCGGGCACCTCTCTTTGATTTGAATAATTCTTTTGGCCATTACCAGGTCCTCTCGTCACTAACATATTTTGCACAACTCGATTTTCATTTTTAGTTATTCAGTTTTTTCTTCCATCGAAGGAAAGCCATCAAAATCTTGGTGATTGATCTAAGCAATATTAAATAATAAAGATTAAGAAATATAGATTAAACATAGTTCGACCATTTTATTCCCTATGACGCGAGTAAATTAGGATAGTTTGGGGAGGGGGATAGGATAGGTTGTAGGTTGTTGTTGTTGTTCTATGCCGCGCAGGAGTAAGCCTTTCCAAAAATCCGCGTGCTGCTGGCGACTCACCTGTATTTCTATGGCCAAAACGCATATTTATCAAGTGCAACAAGCCCGTGGAGCGAGTCTAACCAGTGATGGTGAGAGTTCTTTTAAAATCCTCTAAGGCACGAAAGGCCTTGAAGGAAAAACCTCATTCCATAAATCGTAATATAATTTTATAATAAAAATAACTTTTGACCAACTGCAGGGATTAAAAATTATTTAAACAACTGCTTGCACAATGGCAGTTTAACCAATAAGTCCTACACATTGTTTATTTTGGATGGTCCAACTCAACTCAGTGCAGTAAACATCATTTGTCTGACTGTAATTCCAAACAAAATTGCAGATTCATATATTGCACCGACCAGTTAAACACATTAAACTATTATATAAAAATTTAATTAAGAAGCATGATTCCCAAAGGCGGAATATAGAGCTGTTATATTTTTAATTGAACAACTTTTTCTGGTCCTAAAACGATATTTTGAGAAAATAGTTTGGTTAGATTCGGTTTTATATTCAACATAGGGCAGTGGTTCATGAAACTTTTCTGTGGCGGTCGTGGTGTTCCTTGGGTCCGAGCGTGCACAGTGTTTTGCATGAGGTAGGAATGACAATGGTGCAGTAGTGTCTATGGTTGCATTGGTAGGAAACGTTATTATCAATGTTCACTTTGGTTGTTATTCGTAATTGAAGGAATGCCAAGTTGTAGAACTTAGTGAGAATGAATTTAACTAGTTTGCGACGAGTCTCAGATCAAATGAAAGGCAAAAAATAAGGATGAGCGGCAATGCAATTAAGTGATCTAAATAAAAGTTTATTGGTTCAGCTCAATGGATGATCTTTCTTCTAAGGTCTGTCACCATTACTGGTTTGGCTGGCTCCATTGGCTGCGAGGGTAAGGCGTTTCTACGTGACCGATGCCGTCACTGGTATTAATGGAAGCCGTTCCTTTTTTCACCTTCTAAATACGTATATCGCTGGTCCTCTTTTCTGACGATTAGTCCAGGTCATGATTGACCCACTTCGCTTTTGACGCTACCCTTCACAGGATTTAGCAAGTAACGAAATATTTGTAACTCCTGTGGTGGGTGAAATTCTCTAACCAGCGAAGGCGATGTGCAATTATGTGATTATTGGGTTTTTTTACTATCGGTTTACCCGTAAAATGTATCTCAAAACATGATTAATCAAAGGAAGATAAATTTTGAATACCATCAAAATTGAATACTCTCATTGTCTCGCATAGGCACATAGTGAGGTCGCGCGAATTACATCCATATTTTCGTTTTTGCGGTGATTTCGCGATGATTCCATAAAGGTTTCGTCAATAGGGAGAAGCATCAGGAATAGCTAATGACAACTCTAGATTTATTTGGGAAATGGCCGCATCCATATGGTATTATAAAGAATCTAGCCAAAAAATGAAAAAAAAGCGAGAATTCTTCAAATCGTAATTTTATTTAGAACTTCAGAAAAGGTAAGGAAAATTTCAAAGCAGTTTCACTTCAGTTTCGTTTTTTCGTGAGAATTATAGATCCTATAAAATTTCGTATCATTTGATCAGATGTTCCAACACTTTTTCACGTGAATATCAGGAATATCAGGACAACCGCATGCCGGTTAGGGCGCATCCCATTATCTCGTGCTGCTGTAAGTGTGTTGAGTAGAAGGAAAATAAAAATTTTCCTTGAGACGTCTAATAGACTGAATCCTCGGTAATTTTCACAGTAAGTCCTGTCGTCTTTCTTGGGGAATTAGAACTGAATTGCTTTGCTGCAGTCATATGGTATTATTTCATTCTTTTATTTTATTGGCATTAAGCTTCTGAATAACAGAGATTTCCTGTTCTGCTGGCGGTTTGCAAATGTATGGCTCGGTGAGCGAGTCAGCTATATCCGGAGAAGATGGCGTGTCGTGGTTAAGACTTCAAAGGATTCCTTCCATCTTCCGAGGTCCTTAATACTCTTATTAGGCACATCCATTGCAATGTGTTATTTCACTGACCATTCCTCAAGTTATAGTTGTTTTGTGATGAAGGCAGAATAGTCGTTTCCTGTTGTCGCCTAATCGAGCGACTATTTCCATTTCCAAGGCCATATCAGTCCAATAATGTCCTGGCGAGCTGCTGTCGTTTTCGCCTCGAGTTGTCTGAAACACCACAGTAATAAGGCTAGTACTTCTGTTCGGAACCAGATTCAGTAGTTGCTGGAGACCTGAAGTGAGGAAAACAACATAGCAGGTAGCTGGTGACCTATATGTTATTTAAAATGGTTGTGGAGTTATAAGCATTCTAAAATTCCCTGCTGCTACGGCTAACATCTCAACTTGTGCGCAGAGAGCTCTTTGATAGATTTTAAGAAATTACTTTGGCTCGCGAGCGTATTTTATTTTCTGCATCTTGAGTCATGTCTGATGTGGTAAATCCCTGCTTCCGTGCATTAGGTGCATCATATTTGTTTTTCTCCCACTGTGATCACTATTTCAATGTTGTGTTTAGTTTAGTCTTTTCCAATCGCTGGTAGAATTTTTCAAAATCAGCTGCCTTAGTTACTGTTATATTTAGATGGTGCATACCTTAGAGAATCTTGCTTTGCCATAGCGCTTCCTCTGCTTGGTCTTTCTTCGGTGTTTATTGATTTTTCAAGTATTCTCTCAGCAGTTCATCCTTTGGTAACCTGATTGCTTCAGGTTTCATTCAAGGCAATGGTTTTGATTCATTAAGTATCATCTTGCCTTCTCACCCATTCTTTGGATAGACTTGGGGTAAAAATATTCAATGTTGTGAATTTCCGGCTGTTTACTTCAGCAACCTCCATATTTCCCTTGGTCATCTTGATATCAGCCGCAGTTGTGACTAGCAGGGCATAGATGTTTATGGCGTGGATTTTTTTCCCATTTAGGCGATTCTTCAGTATATTTTTCAATATATTATTCTTTAATGGTTTTTGGACGTTGCTGTATTTATTATCTCTTCATCGTGTTTTCCATGTGACTGTGGGATGCCGAGATAGTTTTTGCAAGTCTGTGGCTGTATACCAGCTGTATACTTATGTACATCGCTAGCAGGCACCAGTCATAACTACTTTCACATCTTTTATTATAAGCCGGCTATATTTCTCCAGTTCAAATGCCATTCCAATGTTTTCTTTGTTGATTTATTGTCGTCCATGTGGGAGAAGATGACTGATGGAAGTTCTTTTTTTGAATATGTATCCATTTCTTGTGATTATCTGGCTAAGGAGATTTAGACTTATGCGGGAACAATGTATCACGTTCATGTATGCAGCACTTGATAGCCACTTGTACAATCTGTTTTGAGTAGAGTTCAAGTGTGGAATTCAATCTTAAGATCCTGTTGACTTTGTGTAGAGCCAGATATTCTCGGATTGTGAGGCACTGATTCAAAAGAAAGAAAGCATTGATATGCCTTATTTTAGTCAATCAGCCGATTGGCCTGTCGAGACTTGGGTCTTAAGCGACTGCTTTATCTATGGGTAACCAGTGTATATATGTATATGTATATATAAGCTTATATTTTTTCTCTTTCTTAAGGAATAAATTTAAGCTGATCATGGATATGTTGACAACAAAAGAAGCATTAGCGAATTTTCCTGTTACTATGCAGCCTACAATATCGAGCAGTTATCAGTCTGTAGTATGTTTCAATGTTTTACGCAAATTTTCAAATTCGATTTGTTTATTAATATATGAATAATAAACAAGCTGAATATCCATAAAATAATTTACTTTGCTGGGTGTGTATGTTCGGAAAGAAATCATCTGTATTCTTCAGAACCTACTAGGCTTCTAAAAATCAAATCGACATATAACATCCAAATCTAGTTATTCCTCTAGTTATTTGGTTATTTGTTTAAATCTGGTTATTCGGATTGCTTCAGATTTTTTACTTTGCCTTTTAACCTACAATCAGGAAAATATAATATTTTGTCGTAACCTTTTATGGTCCTTCGCTCCCTAAATCCCTTATCCTTTTAAAACATCTCATTTTCCGCGATGCATCCTTAAAAGCTTGATCTGAGCATATCATACATCTTATTACGCATCAGACTCTGCTATATTTCCTTAATGCCTCTTGAAATGGGGCTATAATTTATTAGTCGTTAATAAAAAAAAAAAACTGCCATATATTGCCTTAAAATGTCTTAAGTCTACCGTCGTAAATTCTTAAATTCTTAAGTTATAGTCTTAAATTCTTCGAAATCCTGCAAACTCCATACATCCGACAGCACCAACATAACTTCATTTGCACTTTGTTGATTCCATCAAGTTCCAAAAGTTTCCAAACCACATTGTGCCATTTTATTACAGTCAAGTGGTACTTAAATGCTGATTGATTGCCTGCGAAATCTACATCCGCCATATTGAAACCTTTTGGTATTCTTAAACCCATTATATTTTGTTAAAGATCTTCTCAAGCTTTGTGAAAGGCTCTCTCTCAAGCCTCGCAGTTTTATTTTGTATTACCAGTATTCTATCATTTAGGAACAACAACCTCTTCGAACTTAAATCTAATCTGTTATCAGTTCACTTGTTGTCTTAAAAGCTTATAGCCATCGTGGTCACATTCAAATTATAAGCTGGATTGATATTACCATGATATTGATGACGGGGTAAGGCGAGAGCATAATTGGTGGTTATTGCGAGTGAATTATGAGGGGGGGGGGGGGGGTAGGATGACATCTGTAGCCGAAGGCTTTGGAAGAGTCTAGGAATAGGATGAGTATCAGGACCTGAAATAAATTTTGGCCATGCGCAAAACAATATTTTTACTACTTATATTTACTATTTACTTATTACTTATTATTAAAAGGCTACTTAAATAGCAAAAATGTGTGTTTTTCATTTATTTTATTTTATTTTAATTTAGGAATGTGTTTTATATGGAAGCGTGCTGAAAGAACATGAAAACCAGCTGATTCAACGTTTACGTGGCTTATGCGATCCCGGACAAGTAAATTTTAGTGAACATGAAATGATCTTTAGTTTAAGTACGTTGATATAGCATTTAAATTTCCTTTTTCCTTTCACGATAATACTAGATGTTTATAAAGGTGTTAAGTTAAAGTTAAAGTTAAAGGTGTTAAATAAAAAACGTTATTGATGGAATTTAGATATTTTAAGCTTAAGTTTTATGGAGTTCTGTCTCCTTTGAAGATTAGTTGTTAGGCAGAGAATTTTTCAACAATGGATAAATTTTAGAAACAGGTCAAGATCCTGATGTCACTGTTCGATTAAGGCGGAAATTCGGTGGTCCGGATGCGAATAGTTATCAGTGGCATTTTCGTTATATGGGCGCTCCTGAACCTAGTGTAACTTGTCCAACACTTATTCGAAAATCAATTGATTCATTGACATATTCACATAATATGATGGAATTCGTTAAAACGCTTGGTCTAAGGTCCTCTTTCAGTTATGTTTCTCAACTTCTGGTTTCATTTTTATCATTTCAAAGGTTCTATCAAGTGCAAAACAAATAAGAGTTCAAAAATGTAAATTAAAAATTCCATTAAAAACAGAAATAGTTGATAAATATGATAAATATGAAAAATGAAAGTTTGCAGAATGGACTATGAATTCATTACCAAAGGCTATTTGTTTATGAAAGGCAATATTAAGGTAAATTTAGGCTTCTTCGCTTTTATATCTTTAATCATTAAAATTGGCATTTATTGATATTTTTTGCAAAAAAAAAGTAAAAATTTTCAAATTTATTTCATTAATTTGTTCCTTTCAGGTTCTAATTAATAATATAACTCGGACAGAAAAAACTGGAACATATGATCAGAATGTGCTGAAACCATTATCAGATTCACTTCTTATTGAAATGAGTATTGCTGTACCTGATTCTAAGGAATATCTCCCCGCAGCAAAAATTCTTCGCGATTTCGCTGATCAAGTTTTGCCGTATGTAATTTTTATTTTTTCGCAGGATTTTAGATTTTACCGAATTTCTAAAATATTAGAATGGGATGGAAATGGCTAAAACTTTTTTGGAATTTTTCGGCCAGTTTTGAATTCATCTTTCAGAATTTGTGATATGCAAAAAGTTGATTATTGGAGGCGTCAATAAAGAGAGAATAACTCGTCACTTATATTTGTATTTGATTCATTTTGCTTATGCAGATGATATGATTTATTGCAATAATTATTATAAATAAAAGATTGGAAAATATTAGAAATATTTTAAATATTAGCATAATATCAATCGATCCGTCGGAAAGTAAAGTAATGAATGAAATAAAGATATATTAACAATAAATATAAAGTAATGAATGAAATAAAGATATATTAAGGCATATAAAGACCTGGACCTGGAATTACTCGGCTATAAAAGTGGGAAAAAGACAAAGGGTGAATACTAGCTGGAAATGGCTGGTTTCTATCATCTTGGAATGAAATACGCCAATGGATAAATTGTAAAATCAGGAAAATGAGAAAAATGTAAGCAGATACTATTTATTCAGGATCCGAAGGGCACTGGTATGAGAATTTAGGGCTATAAAAATCGATAAAAAATATTTTGAATGGATATAAGTGCATTTTATTAGCGTACATTGGTATAGGCTAATGTGTATGGGGAATTAACAGACTCCGAAGACTTTTCAGGCTTATATACTTTCTTCTGTATTATTTAACCATATGATAGATCGGATAATGGGTATCGCTTGTCAGCATTCGAAAGGTATGCAAATTATCCCAGAGCATAGCATCACAGACCTTGAATACGCTGACAAAGTTATCATTTTTGATAAAAGTTATAATGAAATGCAAATTTACTCAAAAATTACAGCGAGAATTGGACTGATAATCAGTGTAAATAGAAAGATTTTTCGTTTCATATTCAAGAAGCTAAAATGCCTATTTTTATCAATTCATTACCGGCTGAGGAAATGCCCATTTTAAATATCTTGAACCCGCTCTAATTTCAAGTGATAGGTCAAAAACGAAACTAAAACCGGATAACGGCAAGTAGAAGTGCGATCTTTTGGTTGACCTTTATGGAGCCATCATGAAATCAACATAAAAACAAACGTCCGCGTATGTAGCTGCGATTCGTTCGATCTTATTTCGATCGATATATGACTGCCAGAAATGGCCAATAAGAGTGGTGGATATTAAGAAGTGGATATTTGCCTTTGACCATTTGTATCTAAAGTACAAGGTATTCGGTGAGTGGATAAAATCTCACGTGATCGCATTCTTTGTTCAAATACCACTTGCAGTACCACCACAGAGTGTCGCCTTCGCTGGTTAGGGCACATTTTTCGTGGCTTATCACAAGAGTTGAGACATATTTCGTAACTTACTAAACTCTGTGACGTCAAAAGCAATGAGAGCCAATTAAGATCTGGATATAGTTAGGGAAGGTTTTGGACATATAGGAGGACCAACGATATATGGACTCAGATGGCGGAAAAAGGAAGGGCTCCTATTATTATCAAAGGTGGCGTTAGATCTTGCAGCTTGAGAGTATCTTATCTTTGTAGCCATCAGATCAAGCTTAACCAGTGATGGTGAGAGCCTAACCAGTGAGAGTTAGAAAAAAGAAGAACGGTAATTCTGACTCTCTACCTATTGTTACCTTAAATATGAAAATGTTTTATCTGAGTAGGAATAGTTGGAATCATCCAAATCATTTTCATTTTCATCAGCTCAACAATTCAGGCTGACGAAACCTTTATGGAGTCGTCGTGAAGTCACCATGAAAAGTCCGTATCTATATATTCGTAATCCCTTCGATCTTGCTATATGGTTCTGAGACATGGCCAGTGAGAGTGAAGGACATTGAGAAGTTATCTGCCTTTGACCATTCTACATATTACGGATCCGTCGAGCGGATAAGACCCACATGATCGCATCCACCTTCGTTCAAAATACCACTTGCATAAATAGTATTATCACAGAGCGTCGTCTTCGCTAGTTAGGGCAAGTTCTCCGTCGTCCACCATAAGAATTGTCGCATATTTCATTACCTAAACCGTGTGATGGATGGGGTCAAAAGCGAGATGGGCCAATCAAGACCTGGACTGATACGGTCAGAAAAAATTTTGAACGTATAAGTGGATCAATAATATATGGACTTAGACAATGGAAAAAGGAATGGCTTCTATTATTGTCGACGATAGCGTCAGATCGCGCCGCTTGTAAGCGTCTTACTCTTGTAGCCGTTGGAGTCAGCCTAACCAGTAATAGTGAGAGCTGTTAGAAGAGGAAGAAGCTCAACAATTAAAATGAGTCACACAAAAAATTTAAAAAAAAAAGCCTATACAAATCGTAGTAGTTTATCAATCCGATTGTGCTTACATTATGTGTTTTTTTATACTTTGATTTTTTACTTTTTTGAATATTAAGCCAACGAAGTAAGTCTAACTAGCAATAATGAGTGCTCTTAAAAAAAATTGTATAGTAAATTATAAAACTGTATAGTAAGAAATCCTCTAAAATTACAAAATATATGAGAATATTTAAGTTCGATGTGAAACTCTTCTTAAAACGTATGACTTCTGCACTAAGTACGCATAGCATATTCCTGTTCTAGGTTTAGCAAATATATTAAAAAAGGACTTCAAAAACACTTTTCGATCTCTAAATTGTGGTGCTTTTATACGTCTAAACTCAGACGTTTAAATTCTTTCCTCTTGTACTCATCCAGCATTCTAGCGTCAAGCTTTAAAGAGAAAATCATTTGTGGTACCGCGTAACCACAAATTTTCTGAACTTCTTTCCTAGAGTTTTTCTAAAATTCATTTCCTATGTTAATGTTTTCATATTATTTCTGAATTCTTCGTGGTCAACGACAAGTATTTTCTGATTTCTTTTCTTCTTTTCTACTTAATTCACGTACTGCATTCTTCTTGAGTAAAATTTTGTTGTTGCTGTTATATAATTACAAGAAATTCTTCGAAGATTTATCCACTGAAAAGAACAAGTATTAGAAGAGGTTGAGCTGAAAAGCTGCTGTAACTGCACGGCGACTCAACTTGATAGAGTTAAGTGCGATTGCCGACATCGTATTTGCCTCCAATATTACTTCCCGAAATTACTGGCGGAAAAGAAGTGTTCAAACTAGGGGTGGTTTTACAGTGGTTTTTGGCTGATTTCGATAAAGTAACTGCGATGCGGAATTTTCGAACAAACTTTGCGTTTATGTGTAGTTCAGAAGTGCGTTTTTTAACGGAAAATTATTTGGCATTAAAATCGCAAATCGTAGAATTTCAAATTTAGAAGTTATTTTCATTTGTTTTAAAATGCGAACGGTAAAAATTCGATATTAATTTCTCATTAAAAAGACTAAAAAACTGAAAGGATAATTCAACAAAACATTGTCCAATCGCAACGCGTGGACAACGCAATGAAAAAAACGGATCAAAAAAAGACTTCATCATACCCCCCTTCCACACCCTCTTCCATCTCCATACATTCTTTCCTAGATTCCTCACTTTCCCCTTCATAAGGCAAGACAATAACTTTTTTTTACCGTTAATTTTATTAAAAACGATTATGCCTTGCTTTGTTTTGATCGAGAGGTATGATTACAATAATTCATTTTAATACATCTGCAATATAAAGCGATAAATCTGCAATAAGATCTTAATTTTAAACTGATTTTTAATCAATAAAGTTTGAGGTCCACGATTACAACGTGTTGCGATTTTCCGTTTATTTTAGACAGAACAAAAGATTTACGTCAATGCAAATGCAAAATGCAAAATTTCTTAACGTGAAAGGATCGATGATTCTCAAAACTGTTGAGAATCGTAAATTTGCACATTTTTTTCTGTATAAAGGTTTATAAAATTAATTTCTGATACTTTCAATTTGTAAAATAAAAGTGAGCAAAACGATGACCACAGACTGGTCAAAATTTTTTAAATATAACAATAAAACCAGACCTATAATAAAATTTAATTTAAAAGGGATGAACATCTTATGAAATAAACAAAAATGAATATTTAAATAATTTAAATATAACTGTAAAAAACATAACTGTAAAATATAACTGTAATAAATATAACTGTAAATATATAATTTAAAATATAACAAAAAAGTGCAATGCAAAATGCAAAATGTAAAATGCAAAAAAAGGAACCCTATAAAAAACCCTCAAAATTAAAAAAAATCGAATTCGAATGAATTATTATATAAAAAATTCCAAACCTTTCAAATGGGAAAGGAAAATTTAGCGAAGATAAATTGGCCAATTACGATTAATTTCTTAATTACTTTCTTGTAGCACAAAAATTAATAAAATTAAAAAATCAATTCGCCCATATTTTCTTCAAACAATTTTTATCTGATGACATCAAACGCGAAATATTACTAAAAGAATGCAGTCGGAAGAGTATAATATGTCGTACATCAGTAAAAATATAGTTCTACTCCAAAGAAACCGTTAGTCTGAATCAGAATCAATTTGAGCACGACGCCGATCAAACTAAAAATGATCAGTGAAAATTAACCGAAAAGTATAAGTTGCTTTTCAATATTTCTTTAAAAATTAAGTTTAAGAGTTTCACAATTAAGAGAATCTTTCTACATAGTAGAGTGAAATAGAGTGATTGAAAAATTAGCCTGAACTGCGAAATTTCAGTCTATTGAGAAGGAACAATTTTTGAGAAGATGGGAGCTTTGGTTAGACTTTCGAATGCAAAATTCTTTTCGGAAATAATATTTAAACATAACATAATAAGTACAGATAAATTTACAGATAAATAATATTTATTTATATCGAAGGCAGCAATCAAACCACTGACCACTTCAACAAGGTTCTTTTCGAAAATTTTAATCTGAGTTAACCACTCGGCTTTCCTCTTTCCAGTAAGAGTCACAATGAATCAATAACAATTAATAGCAAAAACTTGATGTACCCCAAGCAATTGTTTTAACATAGAAAAATTAAATATAAAAAATTGTTTTAACATAGAAAAATTAAATATAAAAAATTTATATTCTTACTTTGACTGTTAGTTCTTTTCGTGTTTGTTCAGCAAACCGACTCAACAAACTTTTAAAACTTTCATCACTCATCCTTTCTGTAATTTGACCTGTGCTGAAAGTTCAAATTATTTCAATAAGAAAAACATAAATTCTTCATCTTCATTAACTGATTAAAAAATAAGGGAAATGAGAAAAAATTTTAATTATTTGTTTATTCAACAAGCAAGGCGTACAAAGCGATTAGCCTGTATATAAAAAGGACAGAAAAAAAAAAGAAAAGACATCATATAATATAAAAGACTTAAATCAGTTATTAATAAAAATATATTGGAATGAAAGAGAAGCTAATGACTAAAAGTCAAAATAGTTAATAATTTTATTTAATTAATTAATTAATATTAAACGAAGGAAAAAAAAACATCACCACTTAGTAATGATGTGTGCACAAATTAGTTTTAAAGACAGGTTTTAACCAACGTCAACCCATTATTGCCTGCTAAATTCTCCATTACTAGTTAGAATGACTCCACAAACTAGCTACAAGATTCCAAGCTGTGCGATCTGATCGCTGATAATAATGGAAGCCATTCCTTTTTCTACCATCTATGTGCATAGATTGCCGGTCCACCTATAAGTTCAAAATCTTCTCTGGTTGTATCAGTCCAGATCTTGATTGGCTTTCATCGCTTTTGACACCTTCCATAACACGGTTTAGCAAGCAACGAAATATGCGGCAACTCCTGTGGTGGACGACGAAGAACGTGCCCAAACCAGCGATCACGCTTTGTGATGGTGCTGCTAGTGGTAATTGAAGAAGGTGGAAGCGATCACGCGAGATTTCATCCACTCAGCGAACATGTAAAATATACCTTAGACACGAGTGGCAAAGGCAAATAACTTTTATTATCCATCACTCTCATTGGCCACATCTCGCAACCATACATCGATCGAGCGAATCGCAGCTATCTCGGACTTTCCTTTTTATGGTGATTCCATGATGGCTCCATAAAGATTTCGTCAACCGGAAGAACGCAGTTCTAGCCGTTATCCGGTTATTTCGTCTTTTGTCTGGCCATTTGGTATTAGAATGGACCCAAGGTATTTAAAATCGGGCACATCCTTAACCGGTTATAAAAGGAGGCATTTTATCAGTTCGCAATAAGATGAAAAGAAAGTCTTTTTTCTTTTTATCTACATTGACCCTGAGTTCGATTCTAGCTGCAGTTGCTGACACGTTATTTAGCATTATTTGCATTTTGCCATATTTATCAAAAAGAACTAAACTATTTATTTAGTGATTTCAAGATCTATGATAAGATGCTCTGGGAGAGATTTGTACATCTCTTGAGTGCCGACAAACGGTATTCATTATCCAGTCTATGGTAAACTTGAATATTTTAGGGGAAAAGATACAGCCTTGACGGATATCAGTTTTTATTATCAGTTTCAAAAGAATCAATAAGTTCCTTATATACATAGATCTGCGCCAATACGCTGATAAAATGCCTTCATGAGTCAAATGGTCCTCTCTGGAAAACCATAGCGTTCCATCACCCTCCATAGTGCGGTTCTATTGACTGAATCGAAGGCACAGTCGATGAAACATGAACCAGATATTTGAAGCGATATTCCAACATCCTTCTTAATATGAATCATATCCGATCATCACCGCATTCCGGTTTGAATCCAGCTTGATTGGGCCATGTCTTGATGTCTCGTCATAAATCTGTCATAAATCTACTAGGTAAAATAAAAATAAATTTTCATTTAATAAAATAGTAAATAAATTTTCGCTGAGACATCTAGTAGGCTGATCCCTCGATACCTACCACCTTTCTAAGGAATCGACAGCAGAATTGTTTTGTTCCAATCATCTAGTAATATTTCTTTTTACCATACCAAGAAGTGCATTTGTCGAAGATGTATTATGGACAATTAAGCTTCTGAATAATGGAGATTATTTTTTCTTCTGTTGGCGGTTAGCAGTCGCAAAAGTATGGTTAGAAGAACATATCAGCCATGCCTGGGGCAATAGATAGTGCACCGTGGTTATGTATAGCCGTGAGGCGATCCTTAAGAGCCTTAAATAGGCATGCCATTATTATTCCACATCACTTTATTTACCTCGAGTTACAATTGATTTATGAAAACTGAATAGTTTCCTATCGCCTATCAAGTTGTCGTCTTCATTTTCCATATTACTCCAATAAAGATTTCTGTCCCGCAGTGCTGCTTGTCGTTGTAATTCTTCAGCGCATCCGATAGTCAGAATCTCCTGACAATTCGCACTTTGGTAGCCTTTTCGAATAGTTTAACAGTTTCAATATTTCAGCAACTCAACAATTCAACAGTTGCTTCGATACTCAACTTCCTAATAGTTCCTAATAGTTGCTTCTGATACTCCACTTCCTAATAGTATATCTTAGTGGGCTGACTTTCGGAGACATTCCTTTAGTTGGGACCAATATTCATTTGCCGTTCCAGAAAAGTTGTCGACATTTGTACCATTGAAGTGCTTCAATAATTCGGAGTTTGAAACGCGCTCTGTCCCCGAATTTTTTAGTTTGATGACTGAGATAATGCAATACTACTACTACTACTTTTAAAGTGCGTATATGTCATATGGTCGCTTACCAGTTTCGACTCTATCAAAGCAAAATGGACCTTTTCAGGCATGACAATCGCTATGCCATTTTTCGCTCCGAGTTGTACGAAGCACCACAGTCATATAGCCAGTATCTTTGCTCGGAGGAAGAATTAGTTTCTCGAGGCCACAGATGAGAAAGACAGATATCTGACGAGCAGGCGGCATCCACACGATATTTAAAAAGTGGACTGTGATCGCTTGTCTTGCAACGTTCATAAGCTTCCGACGTTCAACGCTGCTATGGCCCTCGGCGCGTATACAAAGAAACGTTCCCATCAACAGATTTCGAGCAAATGTTCCAGCTTGCAAGCACATTTTGTTTATGAACCTTAGGATTGTTTTATTCCTTGATGGCAATATATATATGCATACATAATTTAATTTATTTGTTGTTTAAAAGAAATTTAATTGCAACTTCGAAAGTTGCAGAAGTAGCATAAGAGAATGAAAAGAGAATAACTGAGCAGAAAAAAACTCAACCGCTCAAAAAACAAAAATTTCTCTTTACTAAATTATACAAATTAATTAAAATATTTAATGCAGTTAATTTTAACAAAAACTGTTTAATAAATAAAGTCTTAAATTTAAGGGAATAGAGGTATTCTAAGGTATATTTATAACCAGTTGAAGCCTCAACTTTTAAACGACAAAAATGCTATAAAAAATAATATAGGCCAAATCCTCAATATTTTTACAACAATTTTCGAAAAGAAAATGACAAAAATATAAAACCAGTGTCGTAATCAATGATAATACTCCTAACAAATAACATTCTTAGCAACTGTAGTCTGTAGTAAAAAACAAAGTTATTACCAATTTACCTTGCCATTTGAATAACAATGTCTTCAATCTTTTTGGCACGTTCAGGCCTAACAGCTGCTAAATTAGCTAAGCGAGCCTGAGCATCCTGTGATAATGCCTAAATAAAAATGATAAATTGCAAAGCTTTAAAGTTTAAGAAAATATCATAAACTGAAAAGGAAAAAAAATAAAAATGAAAGATCCACTTGCAAAGAGAATACTCTCTCCATATCTTTCCCAAAGGAACTTATTTTTTTCTATATTTACCTCATTTGAATAAAAGCGTCAAGAAAAGTACTGTGATGCGTTCCTTCGATTTAGATCAAACATCGAATGTTCGGTGCCTTCGATGGATGTGAACTCCATTACAAGTTGAAAGTTTTTTGCGATCTTACTTCTAATAGTCAGTGAAGTCATCCAAATCAGAAATGGTGAGTGTTGTTAGAAGGAAGTAACAAGAAAAAAGGAATATAAAGGAAAAGGAACAAAAAAGAGGAAAATAAAAAATGGAAAAGAAAAGGAGAGGGAAACGAGGAGACGAGGTGAGGTAAGGTGGATGTGGATGAAGCAGATGAGAAGATAAGGAGTATAAAGGATGATAAGGAACAAGAATTTCAAAGAAAAAAAAATGCGAACCTGATAAATGATGCGATCTCTCATAATTTCTCGTTGTTGAGCAGCCTCTTCTCTTCTTTTCGCTCCTTCCTCTTTTGCTTCATTCTTAAATTTAAGAGGAAATATAAATGAATTAAATTAAACTACTTATCTATTAAGACAGATTCAAAACAACTCTTCAATCGAGCAAAAAGAAAACAATTTGACGGAAACGAAAATTTTAAACAGACCATCGAAATTATTTAAATCAACCACATTTAGTTAGATAGTTTCTGGTATAAAAGAAATGAATACACTTGCAAATCTAGAAAATACAAAGAGAATTTGTAAAAAAAATGAAAAAACCTGAGTCATCTGACTAAAAGAATTCGGTTGAAATGAATCGCTCATCTTGAATTCCTGAAAATCTTATAGCATTAGGCCGAATAAAAGATGCACTAAGAAATCCTCGATTATTCGGCAAAGAGCACTACGCGTCGCATATATTCCTTTTTCTTCACTTTTTCCCACTTACTCCATTCATTCCATATTCTCCGCCACCGATAGACTTCCGTTCCTTCATCGAACTGATTCATTCAACAAAAAATACAAGTATATTCAAGGAAGTACCAGTGAAAGACCCAAATATTTCCTCTTCTCCTATAACACTTCCCGAGGAATTTATAAAGATAATTTATAATTTATATTATAAAGAATTCATAATATAATTTAAGAAAATCTAGGAAATATGAATTCCGTTAACATTCAGCACCAACAACGATAAACTACGCAACCTTCACGGGGATCTTGATGCACACACTACGAGGACCAAATAATCGAAAATAGATGTTCAAAAATTAAATAACACGCCAAAAATGCAAAGAATTAATACTACTTGACAGCTTCGATTCCTGAATTACCAAACGAGAAATCAAAGCTGTAAATAAGCTTTTTCTACTCAGCAGCTTCGGTTTTTATATTCAACCCTCTTTATTTCATAACGATGTTTGTTTATTTGCTTTGGATGGGGTTTTCATTTTCAAGCTTTGTATCGGTTAGAGGAAGTTCATTTTTGCTTTTTCCTTCGTTTGTTTAGGAAAATTTTTAAAAAAGTTCGTTTGGTAATTGTTCGACTAAATTCGGTAAAATCTGTTTTATTTTCAGTTATGTGGCAGCGAATTTTGTCGATATTTGCACTTTTTCTTGGTGCATTTCTTATAATTATTGGAATTCTCGCGTTTACTTTAATACCAAATCTAATGCAAAAAGAAATTAATAAGGTTTGTTTGCTTATTTGAAAATGGCGATTATCGCGAAATGGCGATTTGTGTAGTTCGCGCAAAGCGAACTGTTTCGCGATTCGAGATTTTGTTCCGATTTATACACAGTGGAAGAACTTATCGGCTGGTTGTCCCGTGTTTGGTTGCAAATTAATAAAAACTGGGTGACTGCCGAGGGACAAGTACAGCGTCGGGAGCGCACAGAATGAGAGGATTGAGAAGGAAAGAAAAGAAAACGGGAAGGGAAGAAAGGTGCGCGGCATATGTCTGAAGCAGCCATCTCCTGATGACTGTCGGCGCGTGTCTAAAACGAAAGATAAGGCCGATAAATTCAGCAATATCAGCAAATGGGGAAATTTCTCTTAACAAGGTTGTAGCATCTAGCGGTACTATAAGTATAGAAGTTGGGGTCATTTGCTGTCGTTGTCATAAGTATAATTTTTTTCCTAATAACGCTTCACCCATTGCGAAATTTTTGTTTTATTATTCCAGCAAAAAGCATTTGAAAGGTAGTTTTACTGAAAATCGAGCGTGTAATAAATCCATATCAGAATACCAAAATTTATTAAAAATAATAAAGTCGAAACATTTTAAAAATCATTTGTTATACACAATTTTGTCTGTCTGTCTGTTGTTTGACTATCATAAACAATTTTTTGTCAGGTTTTCAGTGAGCTTATTTTAGACACTTTTATAAAGTTTGAATTACAGCGACAGGAATGAGATAAAAAAATTAAAAAACGAGTTTCAATGCATTGAATAGTTAATGGCTTAATAATTAAAAACATAAATATAAATAATAGGGTAGTTAAGATTACATTTTTGATTATAATTTCAGTTAAGAACGAAAAACAAGCAAAAAATTCAAATGAAAGGGATATTTTCAGAAAATGTTTCTTGGTTTTGAAGATAATATAACGTACAATGAATTAACGAAATCGTGGATAGAACCAAAGTATTCCATGGAAATAAGTTTCACATTTTTTTCAGTCAATAATCCAGATGAGGTTATCAATGGTGGCACTCCAAAATTCAGAGAAATGGGGCCATATGTTTTCAAGTTATATTTTAAATTATTTTCTATTATATTGTTATTACAGTTAATGAATTCATCTAAGTTTTTAGTTTTTGTGATTTCCACTGCGAATCGAATAAATTTAGAAAAGAATAAATTTAGAAAATTTTCAATGCTTTTTTGCTTGAAAATTTTTGTTGTAATTGAAAAAAAATTTTGTATTTTAAATAATATTTGTGTTTAAATTACTCTATTTTTCTCTATTTTTCTAATGACTCTATTTTTATGTCTTATACAATTTTTTTTCAAAAGGAATTTATAGTGAATATCAAAAGAAGACGAAAGTGGAATTTTTATCAAATTTTGAACGAGTTATTTTTCGTAATCGTCGGATTTATGTATATAATGAGTCGCTTTCATGTAATAATTGTAGTCTAAACGATCGTATTACCATACCAAATATAGCGTTCCAGGTAAATGTCTGCATTTCAATGTAAAATTTCCTAAGTTTTTATTGCTTAACAGAATAGATAGTTCGGTTTGCGTGAAAATGTTTCAAAATAAAATTTTCATTGAAAAAGATAAATAATTTACAATGTTAAAAATGGGATTTTGATCATTTCTATTTTGATCATTTTTAATTTTATAAATATAGATGATTTAAAGGGTATCATTTTAGATTTTCGTTGATGTCGCATCTGAAACTTCATTCTTCGTCAAATTCCTAATTAATCTAGCGCTTACAGTTTTTAAAGATTTGCCATTCGTTAATACAACAGTAGGCAATGTAAGTTATTTCACAGCTTTTGCGCACGGAATGACTTTTTTACCTTCTATCTCTTTATTATTTTTTGGCAACTTAAGATTTATAATAAATAAAAAATAATATTTTAATTTGTAATTGAATTATTATTTATTTGATCTGAAAAAAATTTTTTTATTGAGCGGTCGTTTCAAAAAATGTTCTTGATTTTTTGTGAATTATTTATCATTTCTGATCACAATTCAGCTAAGTCCTCTTAAATTTTAATTTTTTTTGCCAAACAACGATTAAAACAAATTAAAATTAAATCAGTTAAATTAAATTATAAAAAATCAAGAACATTTTAAACCAATTAATTGCATAATAATATATACATTTTTTTTAAAATTTAATTGCCTTTTTTATTATTTCCTTTAAATTTAATTTTTTGTCTTTGAAATGAGTAGATCTGTCATTATGTCAAAAATCCGAGTGGCTGCTGGAGACCTACCTGTATCTCTATCCCGAAGTGACTCTTTGGTGAAAGGGTCAGGTCTCTTTGACACGATGTCTGCGACGCTCATGATTCTTCTGACCCGGGCGTAGAAATGATAATAGTAATAATAATAATAAAAGTCCGAGGCACAAATATAGAATTTGGCCGAAATAAGTGCTCAAAATCCGTCAAAGGAGGCGAGAATAAAACGAGAAACTATCATCGTAAGCGCGGTGAGGTGCTGGTGCCCAGAACGCTTATGGATGTTACAAGCCAAGTGATCACTGTCCTAACCCTCTCTAAATATCACGTGGATGTGGCTTGTTTGTCGCAGGTCCGTCTTCCTCATCCTCTCAAGTAATTATTAAAACTGGTTCCGAGCAAAGATATTGGCTATATATTGTGGTGTCTCAAGTTATTCTGGGCGAAGTGACGTAGCGACTGTCATGCACAAAAAAGCTCACTCTGATTGAATGGAAAACAGTAAATGATCTACTTACCGTTTCAAGGGAAATATTGCAATATTTCGGTCATCAAATTAATAAATTACCAATATATTTTCAAAAAAACTGTAGATTATTAATTTTAGAAAAAATATAAAAAGAAAGCAATGATTTTAATGGTGTTTAACGATTAGAAGGACGAATTAAATGATCTTTTATGAGCTAGATAGCTCGTTTAAACCATTTTCTGGAAAAATGTAGAGATTCAGAAGAAAATCAAGAAACCCAAGAACCATAAGCGAAGGAAACTTTATCCGCTGATGACCGCGATAAATTTAAGTTCTATGCGGATGGAATGCGCGCGTAGGTCATGATGCCGTTACAATGAACTCGGTAATTGGTAAATATGTCGGGGTCCAGTGCGCCAATGGAGAACCGAGGAGTCTGAACTCTTTATTACTATTACATGCTTTCGGCATCGAAGGAAACATCTAGTCACTTGAAACTTTCCAGACAACCAATATTACAATCAGATTGACTATCTATTGATAAGTCACCAATGGAAGAGTTCTATGCTTAATAATCGTTCTTATCGGGGCGGTGAAGCTGGTAACCGCCATGGATCAGATCGTGTTATGGTTCGAGTCAAGATTTGTATAATAAATAAAAAATAAAATTAACAAGTCGTAAGAAACAAGTATCTCAAGGTCTTTCAACCACCTCAAATTAAAAGATCCGTGAGCAATACAGTATTTCAAACCGTATCATTGGAACACCTCAGTGAAATGAACGTCAGTGGTATCTCTGGAAAGAATACTGGTCCTAACTATAGATATATCCTGCAAAAGTCGGCCACTTCCCACTCTAAGGTATATTAGTAGGAAGTGCGATAATTGGGTGTCGGAAGCAATTGTCCAACTGTCTGAAAAAGTTCTTAATGCCCTAATGTGGGGAATTCCTGACTATTGGTTGCTTCGAAGAGTTACAACGGCAACGACGAGAAATCGCTATTGGAGCGATATGGCATTGAGAGTGGAAATGGCGGATAGGTGATAATAGAGAATTGTTTCGCCTTCTTCACAATGCAACTATATCTCGAGAAGGGGTCAGTGAAATGATACGGAATATTAATGGTGTGCCTATTAAAACTATTAAGGATCACCTCAGAAGATGGAAAGAATGATGCGCCATCTTTTGTCTCGAATATAACTGATTCACCCGTCGAGTCCTACGTTTGTAACTCATAATCGTTCACCTTCAACAAATGTTTTCTGGTATGGCAAAAAAAATAATACCAGAAGTCTGGAGCAAAGTAAATTTCTGCTTCCAATTCCTAAGAAAGGTGACAGGACGTACTGCGATAATTATTGAGGAATCAGCCTACATCTGCGGAAAAATTTTTGCTTCCCTTCTGCTAAATAGACTGATGGAAACGAGATAGCAGAATGCATCCTAACCAAACTGGATTAAAAGCGGGACCCGGTTGCGCTAAGAAGAGTGCATCGCTTCAAATATCAACCCACCGTCAATTGCTTCATCGATTTTGCCTTCAATTCACTTGATGGAGCAGCGCTCCGGAAAGTGATGGAATGCGAGGGTGTCCCAGAGAAGATCATTCGACTTACAAAGGTATTTTATCATCATACCCTGGCTTCCCAGGTCTGGGGAACTGACACACTTCTTCAAAATAAGAACTGATGTCCTTTCCCCTACAATATTCAACTATTCGATAGACATGGATAATGGGCATTGCTTGCTGGCACTCAAAAGATATGCAAATCAGTCCAGAGCTTAGCATCACAGACCTCGAATACGCTGATGATGTAGTCCTTTTTGCTGACAATTATAAGGAAATACAAATAATGTTAAACAATGTATCAACAACTACAACGAGAATTGAACTAAAAATCAATGTAAATAAAATGAAAATGTTTTCGTTTTATATACAAGATACTGATAAAATACCTATTTTTATCAATAAATTGCCAATTGAGGAAGTATCTGACTTGGATCCACTCTAATTCCAAATGGCCAGAGGAAGGATGAAATTGTAACACGGATAACGACAGCTAGAAATATGTTTTCTGGCTGATAAAGTCTTTATGGAACCGTCGCGAAATTATCATAATGACGAATATCCGAGTCCATATAGCTGCGTTCGATCCATATGGCTGTGAAACATGGCCAATGAGAGTGGAAGATATTAAGAAGCTATCAGCCTTTGACCAATCATGTCTAAGATATATTTTACAGACATCGAGCGGATAAAATCGCACATGATTATATCCATCTTCTCTCAAATACCACCTATAACAATGTTATCACAGAGCGTAGCCTTCACTTGTTAGAGCACGTTCTCCGTCGTCTACCACAGAAGTTGACGCCTATTTCGTCACTAGCTAAACCCTATGTGATGTCTAGCGCCAAAAGCGAATATAGCCAGGAAAGGTTTTGAACATATAGATGGACCAGCAATATGGACTTAGATGATGGAAAAAGGAATGGCTTCTATTACTACTAACAGTGGCATCGGACCGAGCAGCTTGGAGACGTCTTACCCTTGTAGCCAGCGGAGCCAGTCTAGGCAGTAATGGTGAGCTATTAGAAGAAAATAAAGAATTTGTAATTGAATGAAATTAAAAGAATATATTATAAATAAATATTTTTTCTATAAAATTTTTTCTTAATAATGTAATATTGATGATAGTATATATCGTATTATTTTAGATTAGAACAATTACTTTCCAAATAATTTTTTGCTTTTCTAAATCTCATATTTCCAGGCTCTTTTCTATGGCATTGAGGATCCATTAATCGAAAGTTTCTGTGATTACTTTGCCACACTAAAAAAATTGTGTGAAATAGCCGGTGTTCCTGCTCGAATCAATTTTTTTGTAAGTATTTTCCATCTATCGCTTATTATTATACCTTATTGTATTGAATTGAATTTGTATTTAACAGAGTAAAGGTGATTCTCATCTATCATTCAGAGGAAGGCTTACGCACACAGAACTTAAAAATTTTTTTTTAAAGAGCATTACCGTTGCTGGTTAGACTCGCTCCTCTGACTTGTCGTATATGCTAGAGAGTCCCTTGGCGATAGAAAATACAGTTAAGTCGCCAGCATCACCCAGATTTTTGGACAGGCTTATCCTGCTGGAGATACTCTCAGCATCAGTGCTCCGAATTAAGCAAAAATCAGCTAAGCTGTTCTATTCTTTTTCCACTAACGCACCCACTTAAAAATATATAAAATAAGAAAATGTGTACATTTCAGTTATGCTTGCAATTTTAATATATATCGCCTTTTGTAAAAAATTGTAGACTAATGGCACAAGTGATGGAGAATATATGATTGATACTGGTTTAAAGAATAGTGAGAATTTTGGTAAAGTTTATATGTGGAATGGGCGTAATACTACTCCGGAAGGCTGGTGGTATTCTCCAGAAGCACGTGAAATTAATGGTACAGATGGAGAACTCTATCCACCTGGTCTATGGAATCATCAGCGTTTAAATTTATTCAATGGGATGTTAGGAAGGTAATTTTTTTGTTTTTGTAAATTGTGGTAAAATTGTTAAATTTTCTGAATTTTCACTTGTATCCATTGGATGATTGGTCTTGTTTCTTATCACTTTTATCGAAAAATAGAAAGAACATAAACAGTTGATTCAGTAAGATATTTTTTTTTAGTTTCATTAATTTCATTATTTTATCTTTCTCAAGTGGTTTCTTCTTTAGGATAGAAATAACAATTTCTTAAGATAAAATTCAGAAAAAATTATCCAAAAGAACAATTGAAATCGTATTAACCGAATAAATCGCAAGCTTAAATTTTCTTTCGATATTTCATAAATTTCTAATCGGTCTTCTTCGCATCCATTTTAAATTTTCAAAATTAGCAACTAAATAAATTAAGGTTCAGAAAAAGTAAAATTTAAAAAAGGGCTAATTTTGCTTAAATAAAAATAAATAAATGAATTTTTCCGATTCGTTAATAGTAAATATTAACAAGAAATATGAGTAATAAATTAAATCTCCGAAGATCTTTTGCAAAATTTAAAAAAATTTAAATTGAATAAAGCGAAAAAAAATTAAGGATAGAGAATTATCGAGGTTAAAGGAGGGAATAGGCAAAATCAATAGGTATTTGTCATTAGATGTGCTTCTTGCGTAATGAAGGAGTGCTCCCGTGGCCTAATGGATAAGGCGTTGGTCTCCTAATTTAATTACAGTTGGGGCTGGGGCTAACCAACGATGGGGGTTCAAGTCCCCCCGGGAGCCCGGATGTTTTTTACCGCCTTCGAATCAGTTCCATTGTTGAGATTAGTATTAATTATCTGTCTACTGATTCATACCGTTTTAAAGATGCCGCATTATCTTTATGTTGGTTGGTAGAGGCTAAAACTATAGACTAAAAATTCCTCAAAATTGCTAAACAAATTTGTGAAAAAGTTGGGAATTTCTTTCTAATCTTCCGCATTGTTTTTTTATTGCGTAGGTGCAGGCTTTTTTATAGTGTTTGAAGACTCGTTTATTTTTGTTATTTAGCTTTTGTTTCTTAAATAATTAAATAAATAATCTTAAATAAATAAATAAAATATAATTAAAAATTTATAAATTTATAAATATATAATTAAAAATTAGTATAGTAAAAAATGAATAAGAATATGTTCTTTGTTATTATTATTATTGTTAAATTAAACTAAATTGTTTAATTTTCTGAATTTTCACTTGTATCCATTGGATGGTTATAAGCAAGTTTAACAGTAAAGATTTTGGGGTGTTTTCTTTATGAGATGAGATGACTCATTTTCTTGTGGTTAAATTATCAGAATATTTTATTTTTAAAAATTAATACAAAATTTATGTCATAAATTCAGGTTAACTGTTGAAAATAAGCCAGATTAATTTATTCGAGATCAAAATTTTATCGGATTTAACTATTAAAAATTATTTTTTTATAGATCAGTTTACATACAGTTCGAAACAGAAAGTGTTTTTGAGAATATTCCTGTCTACCAATATAATTTTCCTATTGAACTCTACAATTGGTCTTTGCCAGAGAATAAAGGTTTTTGCGATCCAAAAACTCCACAATATTTCAATGAATCTATACAACCTGGTGAAGTGCATTTTATTTTATTTAGATTAAAGGAAATTCGAGAACTTGAGAATTCCTATCTTTTTATTCTATTATTACAAATTGAAGTTTTAACTTCAATAATATTAAAATTTGGAGTATTAAATACTTATTAAAATATTAAAAAATTTCAGTTGGTTGTCTGCCATCTGGCATATTGGATTTAAGTAGTACTCAACCGGCACATGCACGTATTTATTTATCTGGCAGTCACTTTTATAGGTGTTCTAATGCTTTATATGAAAATTTCATAGGATTTCGTTCACCTGATTCAAATGTTGATCGGACATTTTTCGAAATGGAACCGGTTTTTACTTTTCAAAATAATTTTCGGATTCTATTAAATTCGCTTCATTAACCTATATTTCTTAATAGTTATGTTATGTGATGGTTTGGAATTGTAAAGAAGATGGCTGGTTCTATCTGAAACTCAAATTTTAAATTATTTTTCAGATGACAGGAACCGTTATAAATGTGAAGCAAACATCCCAAGTCAACTTAGGAATATTGTCTGGCGATCTTGGGTAATATTTTATGAAATTATTTGTGGCTTTTTCGCTTTGTTATTTTTTTCGCTGGTTTTTTACCTGTTTCATACGATAAAGGTTGACCTTTATAATGCTGGGTCTTTCAGAAAGTTAATATTTCTCTTCGAAATAAGTACCAATGAACAATATATTATCCAGTAGCTATTCCTTTTCTGTCGTCGCAAATAAAAGACGAAAAGTTTCAGAAAAGGATTATTTTTACCAGTATCGTAATAGTAGCGAATAAATGTTTTCTCATCTGTTGCTCAGTCGATTCATGGGCATTTGTTCAAGCCTTCTTTTCCTTAACTGCACAAAAAAATCTTTCAGATCAATCTTTACAATTTCGTTTAAGAATTCTTTTATAGCTTGAGAAGGAGCTTGAGAACCGTTCGAGAAATGGGAAATTTGAAATCCAAATTTCCCATTTCACTCGAACGATTTCACGGACGATTTTTGCACTGTTCTTTCATTGGTCATTGTCAGTAAAACTATCGCATTTTGCAGCTGCATATGTCGCTTAATGCATAAGTTATACTCATAAAATGCCTGAAGTCGAAAATCATACCGTTTCATGTCGAATTTGAAGGACTAAATCAAATAGGAAAATTAAATGCAGCTACTGGTTTATAATAGTGATAAATTAAAAATCACAACCAACAGAGCGATATAAGAGTCAGCTTAATGAGGCATGACAATAAAAATATGTGACTCGAAAGTCGAATATAACCGAAACTATACTTTTTGAAAGATCCAGTAAATAAAATATTCTTTTTATTCCTTATGAAAAAGTAAATGTATGATTAGTTTCTTCGCTGGCTGTCAATATATGGTTAGAAGTTTTATCAAGGGTAGAAATAGAAATTTCAAATTACCTAGGTATATATACATATCATGTATATCATGTATAAAATCTCATTTCTTGTGGGTGTTCAATTTTGGGCTGGGAGCTTGAAGAATATGCGCTATTTCTGGTAGCAGGCTCTTCCAGACAGATCTCTTCCTGGATATTATTCCTGGGATCCGCTGAGGCCATTTCTTTGCCTCATGTTATAAGGATCACCTCTAATGCTTCTACCACCAGTGGGATTACTTTAGTCTTCACTTTTCACATTTTTTCAGCTTCTGGTATTCCTCTAGCTTTTTATATTCCTTCTTGCTAATGTCATCTGGAGCTTCCATTTCTATCACCAGAGATGACTTCTGCTTCTTTTCTACTACCATAATATCTGGTTGATTGGTCTTATTCGTCTCTCCAGATGGAGAAGTCCCACAGGACACATTATTTTTCTTTCTGCGAAATTTCTATCTGATCTTATCGTATATTAAGCAAATATTCTTATAGGCGATACCAACTACTTGGTTTTAGTGTTCTGCCTACATCTTACATTCTGCCACTGTAAGCTTCTAAGGCTTTTTTACGCTTCACCTTGAATCCTGTCTGATGGATATTTATTTCGATAGATCAGATGCTTAGTAAGTACTTGTTCTCTACCGATATGATCAGTACCTCATACCTCCGAACCGCTGGTAGAATTTTTCAAAGTTAGCTGCCTCGGTTATCTTTTGATGATATATCTCTTGAAAATTTTGCTTGCTATAGCACTTCCTCTTGCTTGGTCTTTCTTCAGTGTCTATTGATGTTTAAGGCATTATCTCAGTAGCTTATCCTTTTGTACTCTGATTGCTTCAGATTTCATTCAAGACAATGGCTTTGACATTCTTCAAGCCTCATCCTGTGGGATAAAAATTTCCGTGCTGTGAGTTATGAGTTTATAGCGATCAGTGAGTTTATGAGTCACATCAGCAGCCTCCATGTCTTATCTTGGCCATGTTGATGCCACTAGCAGTGATGGCTAGCAGAGCATATATGTTTATGGCGTGGATTTTTTTCCTGTTGATGTGAATTTTCAATATCTGTTTTATTCTTTGATGGTTTTTGTACGTTGCTATCTTTATTATCTCTTCATCGTGTGACTGTGGGATGCCAAGATATTTTTTGCTGGTCTGTAGCTGTATACCAGCTATATACATATGTGCATCGCTGATAGGTACCAGTCATAATTACTTTCACTTCTTTTATTACAAGCCGGCTATATTTCTCCAGTTCGAATGACATCTCAGTATCCTCACTGATTTGTATTAGGTAAATGAGCTAGTAAATTTGTCCCCATTAGCTTTTAGTATATAACTAGCAATTATTCATGTTGAGAAGATGATAGTGCAGTTAGTGCAGTCTCTTAAACTTGTGTTCATATCCACTTTGTGATTATTTGACTGAGGGGTGTAGATCTGTGCAGAACAATGGCGGGGATAATGCATCACTTTGATATTTTTGAGATTTAAATAGTTTTCCACTGTGCTATCGACTGTCATGATCAGTACTGTCCTTGTCCTTGTCTACATCTTAAACCAGTCTGCATGAGAGCTTTAATTTTTTTTAACCAGGAGGTGTGGGTCATATTCTTACAAGATACTACCCATCTGCAGTTGTAATTTGAACTGGTTTCTTCTCTGGGAAATTGCTGCTATACCTTCTTCGCAGCCACTTTCGTTAGTATTATGAATCGTTTTCTTCCATGTATTCTTCCATTATTATTTCTGTTGTGCTGTTTCAATTTTGTTACACTCCACTTAAGAGTACACCTTGGATGGTTCTTTGGAGAATAAGGAATTTGTCTTTCTATTGCTCTAGTGCATCACCTTAGCTTGGCGGCCAGTGCTGTGAGCTTTTATTTATAGTTGAGCCCTTATAATTTTCCAGTGGCCAGGTATTATTTTTAATCCTCACCTTCTGTAGTTTTGTAGCTAATTTTATTATGCTTGTGATCTTATTCTCCAGCTTCATTTTACAATGTCGATATGTCCATAAGTACTTCTGTTTTCCTTATTTTTATATCCATTTCCAGAATTATAGCAGTTAGGGTATGCACCACTTTATTGGCTTCGGTTATAGTAGTAGTAGAGATTTTATTCATGATTTTTTGATAATCCATATCAACTGCTGTTCTTTGCAGCGGGGATGTTGGAAGAAAATTTCTAATTTCACAATTTGTTGGATGCATATCCTATTTTGGTCATCTTGGGTCTAGGAAACAGCAGGTTTGATCTCTCTACAGTTGAAGCGTTAGCTGCTTATCAGTTAATGCAAGTATTTTTTATCCACCCATAGTTTCTTCATATTATAAATAAATAAATAAATATATGTATATATATATATATATATACACATATAATCATGTCAGAAATACATTAGCAAGGTGACACCAAAAGATGAGCTGCTGAGATAATTCCTGAAATAGATTTTAAAGATGGCCAAGGAAAGGATGTGCTATAACATGGCAAAATAAGATTTTCCATGAGATTTACCATCGACAGATAATTGAGATGGATGGTTAATTGGAAAAAGCTAGACTAAAAGACAGCACTGTGACATTGACATAACAGCACAAGATCAAAAATGATTAAACAAATGATGCAATAGGTCCACCGAAGCAAAGATCTATCATATCATACAAAACTCAAGGTGCAGATTGCAGAATATATAAAAAAGCATCAAAAAATGTCAAACACATTGTGGTAAGATGCAAGCGGGAATATATGTAGGCATACATTCAAAGGCCAAATTGATGGAACTGTTATCAAGGGATATCTACTCAGCATCTGATGAGAGATTTGCCAGACAATCGTGGAGAATAATAAGGCAAAGATATTCTAAGACAGAGAATAAGATATTTTTTTTCCTGTAGGTCCTTCATATCTAGGCAGACAAAAAGTAATGGCCAGTCAACCAGATATCGTGGTAATAAACAAGAATCGGAAATCAGCACTGCTGATAAATATAGCAGCATCAATTGATATTAGAAAGAAAAGCATGAGAAGCTAGAGAAATAATAGCAATTGAAAGAGGAAGATGTGGAAGATGAAAGCTAAAATAATCCAAAGTATGGTTGATAGGAGCACATGGGGACTGCTCTCAAACACTCCAATAGATTGCAGAGATGTTTGTCTAGAAAAGTGGATTGCTAGGAACAGCTAAGATGCTGTGTAGAATTCTCAAGTCGCAGACCTCAAGTTGAGTGAGGATAACCCATAACACACAAAGGTGAGAAATGGACTTTTATTTTGTTTATGTAAATTTAGAGTGATCAGTAAGATGCAGAAAGCAATATTGCCGCTATTTTGGATAAATGAAGCAATCCATCTCGATGTCAACACAAGAAATAAATTATTGAGTAGCGTTGTATCGACTTCATTAACGGTAAAATTTAAAAGATTTTTCTAGCAACATATTACATAAAATCGAATCGTAGGTAGTGATTAAAATCCATGCTTATAAGTTAGATGAATTGACTGCCTTCAGTGATTTTTTCAACCAATTTTTGGTATATTTTTATATGAAATATTTTAAGATTAAAAAAGTCGGCATTGTTACAATAGTTGCTGGTTGTCTTCTATGGATTTCTTTTGTGATTTATGCCACTGTGATGATGCTATTCCCGGTAAGGAAAATTAGTTGTAGTTGCTGTTGCGGGCAAGGAAAATTCTATTTAGAGTTCAGCAAGATGTGGAAAGTAATTTGTAAAATTATTTTTTAAATATTTTATTGCACTGCAGTTTTCGGACTTACAGTTTGTTGAAATACTTTTCTCTTCGAGTTGTATGGAAGGGCAATAAATATCGAAAATTCAAAAAAAGAAATTTTAATTGATTATTTTAGATGCGTTTCGATGATGAAGAACAGTTGGTTGCGCATGATGATGGTATTATCGATGAAAATCAAATCATTGATGGCAATTAAAAATTCATAAATCTCTTTTTCATGTTTCTATTTAATATATCTTATTTAACGCATTTAGCAATCATAATATGAAGGTAAAAATTTTAAATAACGATTCCAAATAACGATTCAAACATATTTTGAATAAAATCGCTGAATTTTTTTCGTTTCTACTATTCAGTGATCTAATCCACCGCAAGAGATAATGCATGCGAGAGATTTGAAGCCCATTTTCTTTTTAAATATTTTTCTTGCTTTTTCCTTTTCTTCCATTCTTTATTTTATACAATGCTACATCACTATTTACTCAACGCATTTTTGTTCATTCTTTGGGTGCCTTATATTTTCTATAGGATCAGACCAGTGAAAAATATCGCTTTTCGCTTTTACTTTCAGCCATGTTTCTGATTGATCCCATTTATACCTGAAATCTGTACTCTTAATATTCACTGATATATTTTGTATCTGGATCGGAACATAATTTCGTTCTTGGAATTGTTCTTTTGTTTATACGAAGCGCTATATTTCGTTGTTGCAGAATCCGTCGTATGATTCGTTATTTTTTGCCAGATTTTTAAGTTTTCAGTTACCAAATTAGCATTGATATTTTCTTGGGTATTTTCTATTATTTAACATTTGATATTTGTACTAATCTTGTGCTTTCTGTGAAGCACGCATCGCTGAATTAAATGTTACAGCTTTTTTTTCCTTTAAGATGTAAATTTCAATTTTGCATTATTGCAAGATTTGTAAAATAAATCCTTCAACTCATATTTTGCTACAGAAATTTGTTGGAAAAGTTCAGGAAAATAATTATTATATGCATTCTAATATTTTAGGTAAAAGAATCTTTTATTTTCCATTTATCATATTTATCGAATAATAAATATATCAAAGTATTATAAAAGATATGGAGCATATATATATATATATATTTATATAGAAATTTTATTATCACAGGAGATGGACATTATACGATAGTTTCATCATGAAAGGAATATCCAAGATAAGAAAGAATGAGTGCATCGCTGCTGCATAAAATGTATGGTTTTCGTTTATCTGTTTTAATTCCAATAACCTAAGAATAAGTTTTGCAAAGATTACGTGGAAAGGATGATCGTAAGAATTGAAAAATTTTGAAATTTTAACGCCTACTTCGTTTGAGCCATTTTATTTTCTAACCTGAATATCTTGCTTCTAAAATACAATATTTCAAGACAAATGATGAAAATAATTGAAAATAACAGTTTCAATAGCAAGAATAGCAAGAAACTGTTAAGGAAATAGAGGTTAACCATGTGTCTTTGAAGGATGTGATCTCTAGCATTGATAAATTCAATTTTGCCGCAAGGAATACAACACTTTGACCCAAGTTCCATGTGACATTTACGAAAATGATCCATAAGTTGTTTTTGCTAAAATATTGAATATATTATTATAAATTATCAAATACATCAGAAATAATAAAAAATAAAGTTAATTTTTCGAATAAAAGATGACCACCCCACTGTAATCAGTAGTTTTTCCTTTAAAATTTATAATTTTAAAGGGTATTAATAAATCAAACTCTAATTTCATTTGGAAAACACAGGCCGCATTCACGACACATTTGCCAAATGGAAAAAGTATGAATTAAGGAATGATTAATAGCCTTCTCTGACCAGTAATTTCGACATTCACCACATAATACACAACAATTCCTGAAATGTCGATATATCTTAGAATAATATAACTTAATCCAACAGATATATTGTTCATTCATTATCAACACGTTCTAACTATATTCAGATTACTTACGTAAAACTTGATCCATGTTCTAACTTATGTGTGCTTCTAGCTTCCGCTGTATGAAAATATAGCTTACACCTATAATGAACGTTATAGGTTAAACATCATAGGTTTAACGATTCAAAATAGGCATAATGTCGATAAATAAATTCATGAAGCCAAATAAAGGTTGAAATTAGCGTTAAATTAATTAAATGTTGAAATTAAATGTTATTAGAATTTAATATTTGTTATAATTTGATATAATAAAACAAATTTAATATTTGGTATAATTCAATAATTCAATAATGTAAAATAATTAATCTTACTTGCGAAAATTTAAAATATAACTTAAGCCGTCATGAGCTGGGAAATTTTTTTCATTCAAATGCCTTTTAAGTGCATCCAATGTTGAAAACGAAGGCTTTGAAGGACATAATGGACAACGAACCATTACATCGGGCACTAAATTTAATAAATAAAAGTTTCAAAGTAATTGTTTATTATGACCAGATTTTATACTACTAATTAAGATATAAAGTGGCGAAAATTTATGAACCAGTTTATCCTGCACAAACATAACTGGTTAGATTCGCTCCGCTAGCTTATCGCACTACGCCAAGGAGTATCTCCTGGTGACAGAAGTAAAAGTGAGCCAGCATCACAAGAAGATTAACTGGTCAGATTCGCTCCGCTAACTTATCGCACTATGCACTACACAAGAAGATTAATTGATATTTTGAAATATGAATGAAAAAAACTTCAAAAAACTAATCTTTTGTAAAACTAACAAAGTTGATCATGATGATGAGAAATTTGATGCAGCACTGCAAATCTTTCATGGCAGAAGGCATGTCCACAATCCAAACAAAAATGGGTATTATGAATATTATGGCGAAGATTATGCACTTGACCACTAGTAATTTTATCAAAACGCATATTTTTGCATGATGGTATAGTGCAGACCAAATATCCTTGAGGATCTCGGATGATAAAATCCTTTGAAAGCATAATTCGCGATGACCAAAACTAAGAAATGAATTTTGAAGTGAATTTTTACTTTACAGAAATTCTTACAACAATATAAAAAAGGCTTTTTGTACATTTTTTGCTCTTCGCCATTTTCCTCTCTTACAACCAAAATTGTTTATAATTTTCTGCATTACTAGGTTCGATGTCTTGAAAAAAAACTTATCCATTACCATCAGTAAAATCCCTCGCAATCCCACTTAAGTAGTACCATCTAATTCTTAATTAAATTCTTCCACCTCCAAAACCCTTTAACCCATTGGAAATTCCCTTCAAAACTTTCCTACGCTGACCCCTAATGCTACTGTGGGAATCTTTATATATCATTCACTAAAGTTCCGTTAAATTTTCCTAATTTTCTACGAAACCTTGCTGTGCTATCAGCAATACTATCATGAAATTCATTGTATTAACTCCAAATCGATCTTAATGCTATATGTGACTTTATTCTCTCACCGTAATGCCAAAATTTATTTTTGCACAACCGCAAATACAATTTATAAAAAGTAGAATTAATTTGCAAATGTCAAAATGGCAGATGTCAAAATAATGCATTAGAAGAGGTATTAAGGGAATAAAAAGTGGAATGGACATTTACAAATTAAGGAAACTAAGGAATAAGAGAAGATAATTTCAGTTCACCACTAATCAACGATAATTTCCATTATCGTTCTTGTTTCAGTAGTCCTAAAGTAGTCCTAATCTTTATAATCTTTATTTTTTCCGTTCCTTACTACTTCTAACCAGTAAGTGAAAACTTCACTCTAAATTAAAGATCTAAAAAGAAAATTAAAAACACGCTATTCGACCTATCAGAAAAATCAAATATTCAATCTTATTAGATATAATATAATACTGATTTTTTAACCACAAAAAAAGGATTTTGCTTTAACTGAATTCAGTCAAAAAGAATTCAAACGGGAATATTATCAAGCCTATTATCAAGAATAAAGATGGCCGCTAGGTATATATACACTTATCTCCGAATGGGCAAAGGTCAAGAAAGGTCACGCTAGCAGTCAGTAATGCTAAGCTAAGAAAAAACAGTTCGAAAGAGAAAAACAAATGAAAATATACCTGCTGAAATTCAGAACTATTGGCTGAACTGAAAGAGGAATTATTCTCAAAATTTTGCTGCATTAAAACTGAAGCTTCTGTAGGTGAAACTGATGAACACAACGGTAAAGGAGGATGTCGAGTGAAGGAAGATGATCCAGTCAGTGGAACTGGAGGTAAAAAAGATAGAAGAGTGGTATTATTTTGAATATTTGCGTTGGGTGCACCAGATAGCAGTTGCTGAGTACAATAATGTGTTGGAGGAGAATTCTGAGAAATATCTGTTGGAATATTTATCGCGGAAATTGCTGGAGCTATTTCATCCCTCTAGAATCACAGTGTATAGACCTATCATTAACTTTGCAATATATCCACAAAATTTTTTATTAGTTATGTAAATTCAGACATATTATAGGCAAAAATTCAAAAAACTTAAAATCATTAAAAAGGCAAGGGTAATAGCTGCTTCAATCGAGCATCACAAGTCCAATTCCTTAACTTTAGAAATAAGCTTATCATTAAAAATTCCAGATGGTTCTGGCGATCCATCGGCATTTCCAATGTCAAATGATTCCCTGACAAGAATTTCTAATGCAGTTAATCTAATCGGAAATGGTGAATGCAAATCATCTATTACTTCATAAAGAAAGGGAATACAACAAAAAATTGCTATAATCTGCATTTTTTAATATTATATCTAATTCAACAAATTTAAACAAATAAATAAAAAACAAAAAACAAACCATAGTTGACGTTATAAATCTTCTTTGATCCACCATATCTGGTTCAACCGAAAGAATCTATAAAATAAAAATATTATAGCGATAAAAACCATTCCATCGCAATACATTCTTATATTCTTTATTCTTATGGAATTTTTTCTTAAATTCATTTATTTTCAACCAGATACACTTAAAAAATTTTTTAAAAAAATAAAGTTATAAGAAATAACGAAAATTATAATAAAAAAGAAATTTAAAGCATACATGTACTACAGAAGGTGAGCTTGAATTAACAGTCGTACTTTGATCATTTATGTTTAATTGACTTTGTGCATCACAGACAGATTGTGCAAAATAAGCAGGGGATTCACTGGCGCTGGTCAAAGGTATTACTGAAGAAGATGGCTTTATAAGGTACTTCATATTTTCATTCATGGACACAGTTGACTGCAACACTGGTAATAAATGATCATTTCGACCTTCCCAAACTGTATTAAGAATGCGGATTGTGTCACTGTTATCGTCAGCTGCTCGATTTAAAGTGGTCTGCAAATCAAAGGAGTTTTAGTCCAATAATTTCAAATACAATCATATCATAATATAATTTGAATTTTAGAATTTGGAATTCAAGAAAAAATCAAAACCTGATCAATAAAAACAAAAAATAGCAAAAAAAGATAACCGGAAATTTAGAGCATAAAGCCTGATTTTCAGCTTGAAATCGCCCATAATTCATCTACAAAAAAAATGGAAAATAAAATAATAAAATTGTATTAACTCAACATAGTTATATGCTCACTTGTTAACAAAAAATTAACCAAAGATTTGCATGTGGTGCAAGTTATAAAAAAAAGATCAGAGTTGTTCTGAGATAAAAATGATCGATGAACACATTCAGACGGTATAATTACAGGCAGTATTCCATTATTTCGTTGAAATTCATACTGTTGTGGATCAACCGGTTGAAAATGAAACATACATGCCGCAGTGAAACCCATATGATTGGATGAACTAAGCCGCTAAAAAATTATTTGAGAGAAACAGCGTAGCAAATACCTTTTCAATAAAAAGATATGAAACAAGGCTAAATATATAGTATCAACGATTTTAACAAATATAAAACCTCATTTTTGCATTGCTTACTGGATATATGACAAAAAACAGTTTGTCCGTCGGTGGTAGCAAGATCACATATTTTACAAAAATATAACAAACATTGTCCATGCATTTTTTGCATGTGATGGTAAAGGCGCTCTTCCTAAAAAAAAATCGAAAATAACATTTGTAAACGAAAAATTAGAAAATTTAATTTTTTATGTTTCTGATGTTTTTCATTTAATTTAACTTTAATAAAATGAATTTTTAGGCAAAATTTAAATTTATGAGTTTTATGCAGCAACTTAAAAATACATTAGAAAATGTTGTCACACAAATCGAACAAATATATATTAGTCGTTTTGTAGGATGAGGATCCACATGCAGCGACTCATGGATTTTCATTGCAGTGGTATTAAATACAACTGTCGAACAATACGAACAGCTCAAAAGGGAGCCATGTGCATGCATATGTTTTTGATAAATCAACCTATTTTCATAAGCTAAGCAGCACAGACGACAAATGTAAACTATAGCATTCAGAGGAATTCCATAAACCTGAAAAGATATATATAAGATATAAAAGATATATATTTAAGAATTTTTTATACTGTTCTTTTAGAGAATTTCAACTGTATTTTATATTATAATTATATTATATCCTATTTCTTTATATTTTTGCACGGAAGGAAGTAAATAAAATAGCCTCACTTTAACTTTTTGGAAACATGAAAATAATTTGTGAAAAGATTTCTGAAAACAATTTTTTGTAATCATTATGTGGACGATAGAGGGCAAAGTGGTAGAATATTAATTCGACTAAGATCAGACCATAATACTTTCGACGTCCATCCCTTGATGAGAGCAATATTCGGTTAATGTAATGTAGTGTATCACCAATAATTAATTTGTCACCATAATTACCCATATTTTGTCCTCAAGTGACTGTCTAGAGAAGACATCTCGCCCTATATCTAACCATGGGTAACATCAAAAGATCGTTATGGAGCAATAACTTTGATTATGGAGCTATTTTCACTGTTAAAAATCCTGATTTGATCAAAATTTCACCTTATCTAAAGTATTTCCAGCATCGAATTGATGAGTTTCGCGATGTGATCGAAGTGATGCTTCTGTGATAAATGTCGCAGTGCAAGTTTCGCATCGTAACATTGCTTTTCTTTTTTTTACCAACTCAACACCAACACTAAAAAGACGTTATTGATTAATTTTCTGATAGTTCAAGACAATAGAAAAATCCCGCGGGTAAAGTCAAACTAAACTGGAAAACGGTTCATAAAAGTAGCCTTCGTATTAGTCGTTCGACAACACCCGCTTCACTTTTTTTTGTTCTATGAGCGATGTCGAAAAGGTGCTCTGCTCATTAATCAATAAACTAATAAAACGGAATTTGTCAATTTACCATTATTATTTTCGAATTTATTTATTATTTACTATTACGTACCATTATTGTTACGTAATATTATTACCTTTTTCTGCGAATCAGATAAGTTTTTTTTCTTAGAACTTTATTCTTACTCTTTTAATTATCTTTAAATAAAATTCTATTTTTTTAAAATTTAATTATCTTTGTCTTTATTTTTTTTGCCTTTGACAGGAGTAAACCTGCCATGGTATCAAAAATCTGGGTGGCTGTTGGGGACATCGTACCTCTATCTTTATGTGACTCTATGGTGAAAGGGTCGCATTGATGCGGCGCCTGCGTCTTCCAACGCATAATACTTCTAATCCGGTGATATATGCGATAAATATATGATCAGGGCGTAATAATAATTATTAAGTAATTCCAAGAATTGCCGATAGGATATGCCCGGGATACTTAGAATTCATTGAGGAGAACGAGAACCTATCCACTTTGTAAGCGCGGCAAGATGTTGGCTATAGCTTTATGGAACATCAAAATGATCATGAATGTTGCAAGCCAAGCGATCACTATCCACACCCTTTCTAAATTAAGCGTGGAATGGCCTGTTTGTTAGAAGTCCGTCTTCCTCATTTCGGCTTTCGAGTAATTATTAAACCCGATTCCAAACAAAGATATTGGCTATATCACTGTGGTGTCGGATGACTCGGGGCGAAGTGACATAGTGACTATCATGCCTAAAAAGGCTCATTCTGATTGAGTGGAAGCCAGTAAATGACCATATGGCCTACCTACCGTTTCAAGGTAAAGTTCTGAATATTTCATCAGTGTATATGCTCCAATTTTATGCGCAAACCGCGATAAGAATAAGTTTTATGCGGGACTCCAACTATTAACAACATTTCTACCGAGAAATGACATGGTCATAATCGGGGGAAGACTGGAATGCGCGCGTAGGTTATTCGATAATTAGCGAATATAGCATTGGAGTCCAGTGAATCAATGAAGAAAGCCTTCTTAGGTTTGCCGAACAGTATGAACTTCATTACTAATATTTGCTTCCAGCATCGTAGAAAATATTTAATCCTCAAGTGGAACTTCCCGGACAATCAATACTTCAACCAGACTGATTATACCTTAGTCAGTCGCCGTTCTGTCGTTCCTTTCGGGGATCTAAAACTGACAACCTTCATGGATCATACTATGCTATGGTTCGAACCAAGATTCGCATAAAACTGACAAAGCATAAGAAATAATATATCCCAAGATCTTTTAAATAGCTCAAATTAAAAGATCCGGGAACAATAAGCCCATTTCAAATCACCTCAGTGAAATGAATATCAATGATATTTCGGGAACGGTGAATGGATATTGGTTCCAACTAAAGGCATACTTACGAAAATCAACCATTTCCATACCAATAGAAAATGCGCTAGTTCGGCATCCGAAGCAACTATCCAGCTGTCTGAAAAGGTTGCCAAAACATGAATATCATGAGATCCTGATTGCCTTCGAAGAACATAAGCATGGCGGGATAAAAACCACTATTGGAGTGAGATGCTTTGATATTGGATGATTCGGTTAGATGATAAGAGGAAACTTTCTTCATAAAGTAAGGATAACTCGAGAAGGGGTCACTGAAATGATACGGGATGATAATGGTGTGTCTGTTAAAAACTATTAAGAATCTCTTAGGAAGATGGAAAGAATTTTTTGAGATCAAACTTAACAACGATGCGCCATTTGTAGCTTTCCCGGATATAGCTGATTCGCTCGTTGTGCCATACGTTTGCAACCGTGAACCGCCAACAGAAGAAGAAATAACCTCTCTAATAGATAAACTTAAGGTCAATAAAATTCCCATGGTCTTCGAGCCGAACTCTTCCAATGTTATCCATCATCGTTCACATAATTTATCTTCAACAAATGCATATTCTCTGGTATGAAAGAAGGAAATAATATCAGAAGACTGGAGCAAAGTAATTCTGCTTCCAATTCTTAAGGTGATAGAACATATTGCGAGGAATCAGAAATTAGAAATCTCTGGAAAATTTTTCACTTCTCTTTTGTTGAATAAACACAGATAGCAGAATATATGCGTCCTAATCAAGCTGGATTCAGATCGAGACGCCATTGTCCTGACCAAATATTTACGCTAAGAAGGGTGCTGGAACATCGCTTCATACCAGCAACCCACTGTATCGACTTTGCGGCTGCCTTTGATTTAACTGAAAGGGTGCCGTGATGGAACGCAACGGTGTTTCAGAAAAGATCATTCGACCCATAAAGGCATTTTATGAGCGTACGTCGGTACAGGTCTGTGTATATGGAGAAAGGACAGAACCTTTACAGACTCCTTCGAAATTAGTGTCCGTCAAGGTTATGTCCTTTCCCCTACAATATTCGACTGATGGACTGGATAACCGCTTGTCGGCACTCAAGAGGTGTCAAAATCAGTCCAGAGCATCGTATCACAGATCTAACGAGTCAGCAGCGAGAATCTCAGGGTCAAAATTAAAGTCTTTTTGTCTTATGTGCAAGAAGCTAATAAAAATGCCTCTTTTTAAATTATAAATTCATTGCCGGTTGAGGAAGTGCCCAATTTTAAATACCTTGGGTCCACTCTAATACCAAATGACCAGGTAAGAGATGATATTACAACTGGGATCACGGCAGCTAGAAATGCGTTCTTCCGATTGACGAAATCTTTATGGAGTCGTCGTGAAATCACCATAAAAACCGTCCATCTATATAGCCGTGATTCCTTCGATGTTGCTATATGGCTGTGAGACATGGGCAATGAGAGTGGAGGATATTAAGAAGCTATCTACCTTTGACCACTTTTGTCCAGGGTACATTTTACGGGTCCATCCAGCTGATAAAATAAGATTGCATTCAGTTTCGTTCAAATACCACTTGCATCAGTAAATTTATCAAAGAGTGCGTAAGCATATTTTTCTACTTGCCGAACACTGTGATGGGGGACCAATAAAGACCTGGACTGACAGAAGCAAGAAAAATTTCGAAGGTATAGAGGAAAGGAATGAGTTCTATTATTGTCAGTGATGGCGTCGGACCGAAGAGCTTAAAGACCCTCTTACCCTCGTAACCAGTGGAGTGATGATGAGAACTATTAGAAGAAAAAATTCGCTAATAATTTACTGCAAATTTCGTTACCTTTTAGTGGTATCGACGAATAAAATATCATCATCCAATACATTTTTCGGTTCATTCTCAATACGGATATCTGACGAAACAAACTAAACTTGTTTATTCATAAACCTCAAATCTGATCAGTTTTATTTTGTTCGCCCAATTCAAAAAAACCAAGAAACCAAGGAAGAATTTATCAAAATTCAAAGTATGTGGAATGAAATTATGAGAACGAATTTAAAAGTTCCCAACAATTTATAAAATAAATCACAGAATCTTCTTGAAATGATAAAAAGATAAAATATACTTCATTAAATTGAATAATTTCCACGTCATTATTGCCAGGTTGATGATCAAATATTTCAGGGTCTTTATCAATATTTTTATTTTCGCTAATACTTATTTTCGATTTTTCAGAACAGGGTGCGTATTCTTCAGTCGTATTAATAATATAATTATCTTCTGTTTTACTAATTTGTGCATCATTTTCTTTACAATCTGAAAATTTTAAGAAATTTATCTTTATTTCCTTTCAAAAAATGTGCTGATAAATTTAATATTTCTATATGAAATAGGAAAACCCCAAATTAACATTTCCAGAGAATGTTTTTATGGAAAATTTAAACGAAATTTTTGCTCAAAATATGCCAACTTTTCCCTATAATATTCATTCTTTCTTGTAATCGAGTATCATTTCTATTAAAACTGCAAAAAAATTGATTTCAACCGAAGGCAAAACTCTTTTACCGTTATTACTGGACGTTTTTTCATGCAATATAAATTCACTTTCTTGTTCATTGGAATTACTTATGCTTGATTTGTTTTTCATGAGGATGCTTGTCTCTTTTGATAAGTCCTAAGGAAATAAAGGAAAGATTATTTATAACACAACAGAACAGAATTTAGAACAGAAAAAAAATTGAAGATAGCAAGACTTCTTTCCAAAGAAAAATTTTTGCAAAATAATCAGCATAACTTTTTTTTGATCATCGATATCTGCCAATTCTATTCTACAAAAAAAACCCTTCCTCACTTTCTGTGGATGATGAGCATTACCTTCGACCTCGGCTGGCTTACTACAGACCTGGGCGATTGAAGGTTCTATGCATCTTAGCTATTCCTAGCAATGCGCTCTTCTGGACAGAAATAGCTGATGTTTGCAAGGCAATCTACTGGAGAATTCTTGTTTAGAAGTCATAGTCCTTGTACCATCTCTAGGACTTTGGCCCTCATGTTCCACATCTTCGGCTGCTACTACTTTTCCAACTTCTCATATTCTTCTTTCTAATATTCCTGTCACTTTTATACTGCTATATTTATCACTAATGCTAAGTTATGGTTCTTATTTACTAGCACGTCTAGTTGACAGGCCAACACTAGTTTGTCTTTCTGGATAAGGGAGTCATGCAGGATCTTCCTCTTATTATCTCCCATGGCGAATCTCTCATCATATGGTGGATGTATGGATATTACTTGGGATGACATTGTTACCAACTTGGTTACGTTTTTCTTGCCTACATTTTATATGCCACTAATGTGTTGGGCAGTTTCTGATGCTTTTAAATATAATAAATAATATTTAAATAAATAATGTGCACTTAAGGTCTTATTTGTTTGTCTTGTTTTGTTTGTTTGACGGTAGTGTCCTTGCTTCGATGGATCTACTTGCTTGCTCTTGTTCTTCTGCCGTTATGAACAATATTTCAATGTTATCTTTTAGTATAGTTCTTTCCAATCACTGATAGAATTTCTCAATAACATCCACCTCAGTTATCTATCGACTGTGCCTATGGGGTGCCTTTGTTATGGTACTCTTTCCTGATTTTTCTCCAGTGTTTGCTGATACTTCAGGAATTTTCTTATTGCTGAATGCATTTCTCTCAAAACAAGACAGTGGTTTTGACACTCATCATGCCTCATCCACCTTTTTTCGCTCAAGTAAGTCCCAGACTTAGGATAGGAATTTCGTGTATTGTACGGAGTTCCCGGTTCTTCACATCGGCAGCCTCAATGTCTTCCTTTATCCCACCTTACTACGCCAGATGCAATGCTTTCTCAGCTGGAAGGCGAACATGTTAACAACATGGATTTCGTTTTTCCCACTGAATTTGCTCTTCAAGATTTATCTCATTCTTCGATCACATTTAACTGTTGCAGTTTTTTCTACGCAACGCACTTTTGTATGACTGTGGCTAATCTAAATGACTTTTAATTATATATCCTGCTGGCAGGTCCACTCCATCAGTCATAATTAATTTTCCTTTCTTTACTACGGTTCAGTCACTAGCTCTTTCTCCAGTTCGAATGATAATTCAATGCCTTCACTTTAGATTCATATATATTATATGAATAAGCGAATAAATACCCCATTCATTTTTGGCATGTACCTTAATGTCATCCATGAAGAGAAAACGCCTGATGGTAGATCTTACAATTATATTCATATCCACTTCTTGTGATCTGAGAAGGTTTAGATCTATGCAGTAGCGGAGTCAATGCTGGAGTCAATGCCGCAGTTGAGAATCACTTTTGAGTTGACTTCATTTTCCGCAGTTTCAATGAGTAAAGATGAACATCTTTAGGATCCTGCTGATTTTGTAGAAAGCCAGATATCCACAGATCCATGTGTGGTGCACAGAACAGTTGATCCAAGCTGGTCTTCCAGGATTTCGAATCTTGAGCGACTGCTTCATTTATGAGCTGATATTTGGGACCTCTGGAATTCCCAATGCCTTTTTGAAACTGTGGAAAATGATGCCTTTTGAAATGTACTCATGTACTGGTTCATATGGTCAAGAAACTTGATGCCTGATAGAACTTTTAAAATTGTGGAGAAGCAGATTATTGTGCGGTAGTTGGACGGTGTTGTTTCTCTATAAAAATAACACCATACTTCTCCAGCATCCTTGCTCAGTGAGGTGAGATCTTTAGTTTCTTTATTCAGCAAAGGTAAATAATATCCGGGCCAGGTGCTGTCCAACTTTTCATATTTTTAACTTGCTACTCGCTACACTAAATGTCTGCAATTGTGATGATTCGTATTCTGGAAGAGCGTTGTTCTTAGGTCTTGCAGCCATTTTGCATTGGTGGAAGTCTTCTTTTCTCCCATATATTCTTCCAGTATTCTATGGCTTCTGCTATTGATGGTCACCATATGTTGCACTAAGAGTATACCTTGAACGATTCTTAGAAGAACAAGGCGTTTATCTTTTTAGATTCTTTCCCTAGTGTGTCTCCTTAGAATAGTGGCCAATGGTGTGATCTTTTATTTAGTAGTCTTTAGGGATGCGCTCATATTATTCTTTCAGTTTACGGATTTTGTACTTAATCTTCACGACTTTCTGAAATTCTGCCAGCTGAATAATTTTTCTGCGTTGTACTCTTACAATATTTTCCAGCCTCATTTTCCAAGGATAAAATACATTGTCATTTACATATTCTTTCCTTTTATATATATGCATAGCAATACAATAAAATCATAAATATCAGCTTAATTTGTATAAGAAAAAGAAAAAAACCTGGTTAACTGAAGAAGACGAATGGGGCTGCGAAATATTCAATAAAACTGAATTTGCAAGTTGCACATCGCTAAGTCCCACTTTAGGTCGAATGATCGGAATTCTCTTATCAACAAGGTCGATCACTACTCTAGATGAAGTCAAATAATTCGCATGGACCTCCATATGATTTCGAAGTTCTGACTTAAATAAAACTAAATAAAAATTTCAATTCGAAAAAATTAAAACGATCACAATATAATCAGTCTCAGTTATCAAATTCCACTGTATACCACTATTTTATTTTTTCTTCAATTTCTTAGCTTCAATTTTTGAGGATAGTTTTCCTCCAACAGGATTTTCCAAGCTATCTAAACTTTCCATTAAGAAGTACAATTCTTTTTAATATCTTATAACTTATATATATGTATAGCAATACAATAAAATCATAAATATCAGCTTAATTTGTATAAGAAAAAAACCTGGTTAACTTAGATAATAGTAGCCTCATTAAACAAAATCAAATGATAAATTAAAAAAAAATTATGAAAAAAAAGAAAATCTAGTAAGCTTACGGGATGAAAAGACTGATTACACAAAAAACAAAAATTTGTAGATGTATTCAAATGTTCTCCAAAATGCTTCCAAAATTGGCTTTCAGAATAAGATTTGCGACTGCCACACGAGCATTTAATGAGATTTTGCCTGCATTTATGTGCATCAAACAGACTCATTATAGGAAATTTTTCAGAACAATGGTAGCATTTGAATCTGAAGAATAAAAAAAATATAATTCCGCTTATATTCCTCCTTCTCAAATCATGGCGAAAATTATGATTATCGATACCTAAAGTATATTTCTGCATGAACAGAAGAACGATGATTTAAAAGGTCTTTTGCATTAAGTTTTTTCCTATTATTGCACAGCAAACATATATTAAATCCAGTACAAAAAAAAAGAATATGTCGAGTCATCTTTTCCTCCGACTGGGTTGATTTTTTGTAATCTGAAGGCGAATAACAAATCATGTAGTCACAAAATAAGCAATTTAATCCTATTTCCTGAAAAAAATATTTAAATAGACTAAAAGGAAATAAAGATTGCTTCAATAAAAAAAAACCAACAAATACTTTGAAGAGAAGTGAAAATTTTACATCTAATATAAATTTTTACTTAAATTTATTTAAATTTATTCAAAACCAAATTTAAAATTTGTACAAATTTGAAATGTGGTACAAAGATATATAATTAAAAAAAACAAACAGTAATTGATAAATATTGTTTCCGAATGTGTTTCGATGCAATATGCATAAATAAATGCCTGATAGATTTAACTGGCACCAATTCATCATTAAAATTACAAACTGGGCAAATTTTCCAAATTTTGTGATGAGTTTGCAAATGGCGATTAAAAGAAGCAACTTGACATGGTTTTTCACATAACTGACAATATACCTGCACCTGCAAAAGTTTCGCTTGTTCTTTCAATAGTTCCCACTAAATTATATTTTCCAAGAACAATAAAATTAAAAAAAATTACTAAAAATAAGAAATTAATCATAGTGAAATAAAAAAATAAAATAATTTAACTTATCATTTTCAATTAATAACAATAATGAAAAAAGGGATAAAAAATTTACCTTATCTGAAACAACATTTATATTCATTAGAATAAAAGAGATTAGAATTAGAATAAAAGAAGCTAACGTTGAGGGAAACAGTATTCTTATTTCTATTTAAGGAAACATCTGATGTCTTCGAAATCTTAATTAATGCTTCACTGTTTTTATCTGCTGATTTCCCAGTCATATTTCTGTCTAAAGCCTGAATAAAAATATAATTGAATTATAAAAGGAAAAACAGAAAATTTACTCCATAAAAAGTCTTTGAGTCTAATCTAATCCTTCTAATCTTAAAGAAATGAAAATAAAAATTAGGAAAACAACCTTTTCGCTATCTGATATTGAATTTACGTCATATAAATCCAATTTTTTCCATATGAACATAGGCAAAATCTGCAAAAGAGAAAATTTTCGTTATTACATCATATAATGAGAATAACTTTATTGTAGTGAAAAATAAATGAAATTTTAAAGCCAAAATAATTCTGCAAAAATAAAATTAACGTGCGCTAAAAAAAACAAATTAAAGAAAGTACAAATACCTGCTGCTTCTCACGATCAATTTTAAATTCAGAGGCATGAGAATGAATCAAATGATAATAATATTTCACAGGATCTGCCAGAGTAGAGTTGCATAAGTAACAGTGTGGGACAAATTTATCATCGGATACTGAAAACAATTCAGAAAAATGTAATCAAATTTTTGTCCATAACGTCTCTTGTTAAAATTCGCCTATTTGTTATTTTCCTCTCCTCTTATTTTATTTAGAAATTTCACTTAAATTAAAATTGAAAACAAGTGAAAAATGTGAAAAGCGATTCGAGAATTGAAATTAATATAATTACATTCGTGAGGCCATTCCTGGCAAGAATGAAGCTTCAATCTTTCCGAGTCTGTAAAACCAATTCCACATTGTTTGCATATATGTAAATGAACAGGAACAAAATGTCGAGCAAAATGAGAAGATGCAAAAGTACCCTAAAAAAAATAAACGAGAAAATACCTTTGGCTTTAGTTAAATATTGCGCAGCCCGGGAAATTCTATCTGATTTTCAATAGTTCAGTAGTTCACTTTCGGAGATATGTGAGGGATTATTCTTGCCGAAAAACATGGTGAATTTAATTCTCGAAAGACTACTTTACACGCTTTCCTTTTTTAATCCAAAACTTCAGTTCAAATCCCTTTTCTGATAGATATTTTCTCTGGAATAATCAATTCTTGTTCCATTGGTACTGGGAGCAAACTCGCTTAAAGACTCTAGCTCTAGCGAATTTACTTTCAATGGTAAGGATTATTCCCATCAAGAGACAGAAATCGGAACTACGGTACTTCAAACAATTTAGATTATACATCGTCTCTTTAGATTATAGCATATATTATACAGCATAATCTCCACCTTGATGATGAAAAAAAATGGGCATTTTCAAAACCTGACGTGTTTTTCTAACACATTAGGAGCAAAAATATCGCAAGAGCAGAAAAAAAGTGAATTTAAAGAAATAGATGGTGCATCATCTGAAAGGGCTTTACTAATATGGAAGATTTACATCAGGTGCTTCCGCACTGAGGAATGCACAGACTGACCTTACTGATGCATTTATCGAAAATAATTTCCTCTAAATGATATGACAGGCAGAGAAATTAAATGTCAAAGACAACAAATTTTAGCGATATTTCGTCAATTTTTATAAAATATGGATTCCACATTTAGATCTCATCATCTCATCTCTGCATAAAATTTGCTGCACAAATGGTACGAAAACATATTTTTTTTAAGCCTTTTTAAAAGTAGTGCAGAACAACAAAGAATGAATCATTTACAATAATATCGGACAGAAAAAGTCTTGGAATAAACAAGCCAAATGAACCAACATTGAGCAAATTCAACCAAATTCGACCTCATTTTGAAAGACTCTGCTTTATATTTCGTTGGATGTGAAAAGAGTCCTCCATTATGGCTTTCTATCAAATATGCAGCCAATAAATACAGTCAAGGATACTCGCAGCTGGACAAGATGACAAAAAATTTAACAATGGAAAGAAACGCTGAAATAAATAGCGCCACATCTCTTCATAAAATATCCCAAACCTCACATCAATTTAATTAATGGGAAAAAAATTCTGAAGACCAACTTGAGAGTTGGAAGTCTATTACTTCATACGTCGTATATTGCATTCTTACATTATTATTTTATTTATTATTACTTGGATTATCATTATTTGATTACTTATTAATCGAAAATTTTGTAGGTAAAAAAGATTTTTTTCAGAAATCTGATTTTCTGGGAAGATCTCGAATCTTCAAGTTAAATGATAGATTACAATAATATATGGAATAAAATATGGTATTGAATGATTCATTTATACATGTAGAAAATGTCTCTGAATCTTACTTGAAAATCTTTATAATAAAGGACTTTCCGGACTATTCAATATTTTTTTTAAAAATTGGCATATGATTTGGAAACAGATTATCTATAAATGTTCAAGACAATTTATTTTATAAAGTGGAAGAAAAACAAAAAAACTTACGAAACAAACTGGGCAAAATCTGTTTCCCTTAAATAAAAGTGCATCTTCATCTAAATCTGTTGTTTTAGTTAACTGAAAAAAAAAATAAAACTTAAAAGAATAATTAAGATTAGGCCAATTATAATAACAATCGCATCAATAATACCATTTTCGACTGTTCTTGAATAGAAAAGGTCGGCGACATTTGTGAACATAATAGACTGGAATCACTGGAATCAGTGGTAAGCAAAATATCTGATTCTGATTGACTCGTCAATTCATCTTTAATGAAATTATACCAGCAACATAAAAAAATTAAAAAGATTATTTATAATAAAAACGAAACCAAGAGTGCAAAATATAAAGAATACTTTCAGCAACACAGTCAAAACGTCCATCTTTTGTTAACCCAACGTTAATGTTTATGGCTTCGGCATTAGCATTCAAATATGTCAGTGGATGATTCCACTCCATTATACCAATGGATTTAAGATATGCTTTAAAAAATATAGAGAACATTTCAAAAAGAACAAATTATAAAACAAACATTTTTGCAAATCAGCAAAAATGGAATAGTATCAAAAAATAGTTTGACAAAAAATAATCTTAAACAAAAGCTACGAAATACAAAAAATTTATAGGCATAAAAATTTTAAGCCAACCAGGAGCTTCAAATTCTGCATAGACTCCATGCTTAATTATAAAATGTCGTCGAAGACTGGTTATTGAACAACATGAAATATTGCACCAAGGACAAAAAATCCGAACGTTTAATAGAGAATTACAACTAGACAATCGTGTTATCTGTTAATAACAGTAAGAAAATTTATGGACCAATTAATCAGTTCAATTTAAGATTAATTAATTAATCAGTTAAATTTTAAATATAATTTTCTTGAAAAATTTTACGCTAAAATGAAATCAAAGAAAGAGATAAATTTGAAATAAATGAAAATCACAATGGAAGAACTTACTATTGCTTCATTTTCCAGGTCATATATGTTAACCTCATCAAAATTGATACTTCCTGGCAAACATTTTTTTAAATGTTTTATTAAACATTCAATTCCTAGTTGCAGAGAATTGCATTTCGTACACAAATATAGGCTAAATTTGAGTGATACTTATTTTTATCAGAAAGCTTAAAATATGGAGATGTTACTTCAACTGAAGTCAAATCGACTTGTGCCCGTTCTTTAATGGGAATAAAACTGCCATTAAAAGGAAATTGAATAATGCTGGAGACTCACCTGTCTATCTATCCCCAGATGATTTTTTGAGGAAGGTGAGTGCCGTTGACGAAGAAGAATCACAAAATTCAAATAATTTCGAAATAAACCAATATACAATGTATACAAACCTGAAGATCAATAGCGCACCTTTTGATGGATCATGTACGGAAGCATTTGGCCCAACAAAAATTTTTGCTTCACGCTTGAACTGTTCAATGAATGAGCAAATATCAATTTCACATTTTTTAAATTCAATACATGATTTTGAATTCCCACAAACACACAGATACGAACCACTATGACCACTACCAAACTAAAAATGCTGAGATCACATTAAACTTTTAATTACTCTAAAGCTTCAAAAAAATATAAATTGCCACAGAACCATTCTAGAATGAACTTACTATAAGAGTATAAAAAAATAATTTTAAGAAAACTGCATTAAACTGAAAAATTTGAAATTTGTATTAAGAAACTAGACGCAGCGACGGAAAAGAGCATATTCATTAACGCAGGTGTTGTTGACGAAGCACTAAATAAAACTGGAATCAATTCTGAGCCAATTTGGAAGAAATTCTTCCACTTAAACCCAAATGACTGAAGTAGGAAATATACAAGAAAACAGAAGTTCGAGGTAATTTAATCATTTTGAATGAGATTTTGAATGATTAAATGAGATCTTTTTGCCTTCTTTTTCCTGTACAAGAAAAAATGCATCATTCATAACCATTTTTAATGAAAATTATGTTTTAAAAAAAATTATTGATTCAACGATATATATTTAATGCACCATTGATAACTACTACAATATCAGTAATAATAATTTAACCTTTTGAATAAAATAATCATTCAAAGCTTGAAAAATTAACAAATTAAGGATAAAAAAAAAGAAGAGTGGTTGAGTTTTTTCATGGAGCCTAAAAACCGACCCTCTACTTTTATCTGTGAACACTTAATTCAAATTTTCGTTTCATTTTCAGTTATTTTGAATTCAAAAAAATAATGGCAATAAAAGCAAGACTGGTCAGAAAATGAATAAATGAAAAATTCGCAGATATAAACATGTGCAATATAAAATTACCTGGTCAAGTTGTCGGCATAGATAGCATTTTTTCCTCCTTTTTTTCTTATCTGCACTTTTACTTTTTGTTGAAGATATCTGATTTTCAATATCTGATTTTTTTGAACTTTTCATGAAAGAAACATCTTCTTTTGTGACCTACGAAATATTTTGCTAATAAAGTCGCACACAAAATCAGATCAACAAAATTGGAAAACGAAGACAGCCAGAAAAATATTTACTAACTTATTAAAAAATATTACTTCATCCAGATCATCCATGGAATAATACGGAAGCAGGTCTGCATGTATCAAATCGCAACAAATTTCAGGAAATTCTTTAATGAACCAGAAAGGTGGAGTCTGAGTTAACGTATCAATTAAAGGAGCAAACGAATCTGTATCACCCAAGTGACCCAACATGTGATTCCTTAAAAATTAGCTGAACAAAAATATAAAAAATAACGTAAAAATTACATTATAATATGAAAACAACATTTCAATAAAATAAAACTGGAACGAAAGCGATATAAAAAAATAAAAATAAAAAATGAATAAAAATGAGAACCGATAAAAAAGCTGTGACTTGAAAGAAGACAGACAAACTGAACATATGAGCGGTGTAATTTCAGAAATATGCATATCTTGATGAGTTTCTATATCTTTCGCTGAAGTATACTGATGGTTACATAAGGAGCATTTAACAGAAATGCAATTCTCCATTACAAATCCTTTCAAATATACATATTCCATTCCAAGTGGATTTTCGGCAAAAAATACAAGACAAGAAACTAAACGTTTAGAATCATGTAACCCCTGAAAAAAAAAAATCGAAAATAAAATAAAAAAAAATTCTTTGAATGAACGAAATGTTCATATTCATCACCAACAATGTTCAAATGTTCAAACGCACCAACAACCCACGAAGCCTTGCTATAGTTGAAAACCTATCAATCCCTGATAAAGGCACTTGCAAATTGCATTCACCACAGATAACGGTGTGCATAACCATGTTAAATTCAAACTGAAAAAGATTTTTAAGATAGAATAATAAATATATACAAAATTGAAATATATATACAATTGAAATATATATATATATATAAAATCATAAAATATCATAAATATTGATAAAATTATAATATTAAAAAAATTATAATAAATGAAAATACCTTCATAAAATTACAGAAACTAACTTTTGAATTAGCAGTTAGGAGATGCACATTATATTGAGCGAATTCTGCGCATGGATGTTTTTTTAATAAGTCAATCGAAGGGAATGCTTCAAAACATGAATGACATGCATATAGATGTATACTGTAATGTTCATTTATCAAATGGTCCTAAAAATTTCAATTTTTACAAGTTCAAAAAACAAAAAAACCTCCTCAATAATCTATGGTAAAAGCTGCAAATATTAAAGCTTTCACGAGAGATCGAACAGAAAATCTTATACTAAATATTTTCAATTTTGCATAATTTTCCTTAACCTCTTCGAAGACTTTCATAAATTTCAATTTCACCGAATTTTAATCGGTTAAAAAGATATAAAAGATATGCATTAGATATAAAGGAAATTATGAACATTTACCTGCAAATCATTTTCAGCAATGTAAATTTCCTTATTGCGACAAAGAGGACATTTTATTATACCATCAAAAAATTTTTCTCTATCTTCATGCATTTTTTTCGTGAGGAATGATCGAAATTTTTCATCAGCTGTCGGCATTATATCTATTTTACGACATAGCTGCTCAATATTTTCGCTACCTAACAAATAATTTATTAGAAATCAACATGAATCAGTGGTTCTCAAGTGCTACGATCACTGAAAGTCCTCAATTCTTACATTCTTAAATGGATGTTCGACATCAAAACTATTTTTATTTTACTATTATTTTTATCTCAAAACTTTTGTGGATCTTTCTTGACGAAAAAATCATTTTCATTTTACTACAGTGGCCATTCCACTCATAAAGGCACATAGACATATTTTATAGGCGCAGGTCTGTGTATATGGGGAGCTAATAGTCTCTTTCGAAATAAGAACTGGTATCCGTCAGGGCTGTGTCCCTTCCCTTACAGTATTTAACAATGCGATAGACTGGATAATGGACACCGCTTGCCGGCATTCAAGAGGTGTTCAAATCAATCTAGAGCATCGTATCATAGATCTTGAATAGGCTGATGAGATAGTCCTTTTTGCTGACAGTTGTTATGATGAAATGCAAATAATGCTAAATAACGTGCCTGCAGCGAGAATCGGACTCAGGATCAATGTAAATAAAACGAAAGTCATTTCGTCTTGCAAGAACCTGATAATATGCCTCTTTTTGTAAATTCATTACCGGTTATGCCCGATTTTAAATACCTTGCGTCCACTCTAATACCAAATAGCAAGATAAGAGATGATATTACAACTGGGATCACGGCAGCTAGAAATGCGTTCTTCCGATTGACGAAATCTTTATGGAGTCATCATGAAATCATCAAAAAATGTCCGCATCTACATAGCCATGATCCATTCGATTTTGCTATATGGCTCTGAGATATGGCCAATGAGAGTGGAGGATATTAAGAAGCTATCTACCTTTGACCACTTTTGTCTACGGTATATTTTATGGGTCCTTCGAGCAGATATCACATGATCGCATTCATTTTCGTTCAAATACCACTTGCATAAATAATGTTGTCACAGAGCGCCGCCTTCGCTGGTTAGGGAATGTTCTCCTTCGTCCACCACAGGAGTTGGCACATATTTCGTTATTTGCTAAAACGTGTGATGTTTTGTATCAAAAGCGAGGTGGGCCAATCTAGACCTGAAGTGATACGATGAGAAAAGATTTTGAACGTATAGGTGGACCAACCATATATGGTCTTAGACTATAGAAAAAGGAATGGCTTCTATTACTGTCGACGATAGCATCAGACCGCGCCACTTGGAAGCATCTTACTCTTGTAACCATTGGAGTCAGCTTAACCAATAATGGTGAGAGCTATTAGAAGATAATGGTATAGTGGAATATTTAAAAAGTTATGTTATATTTTATAAAACGATGATTATCTAAAGGTATAACAAAAATAAAAAGAAACACAAGATAAAGAATGAGAACGAGAAAATCGAGAAATTTTAGATGATTTAATAAAGAGGTTTCTAATTATTTTCTTGCAGCGATCTCAACAACAATATTTTTTCCTATCGATCATCTTCCACAAAAGGAATAGTTTTTACAATTGACTCCCTTATAATTTTAATATTATTCACGAAGATTTTGCATATGAATTAATTGAAAATTAAGATAGTGACTAAAAATATTTTTACTAAAAATAACTAAAAATTAAAAAATTACAGGATTTTGATTTAAGAGAATTTTATATGTAAGGAAAATTTTTGGGTACTTAACCGATCAATCTTATGTTCTCAACTTGCCTGTCGACTCCCAACGTTCTCATAGGCCTTCAGTCGACCTCTCAAGGTCTATCTACCCCGCTAGAAGCCCCACATCCAGAATCTATAAATAACCATTTTCAAGTACATCTGAGTAAAAGCTATATTCATCAACATTATTTTAAAATCATAACAAATCATACTTTTGCCGTTTGCCTTGTCTTTTTTCATAGCAATAATCTTGTTAATAACGCCATCATGATTTAAATCCATTGACTCTTCAGTATCGGTTCTTTCAAACTTAAGCGAAATAAATTGAAAAAGTAAAATAAACTTAATTCGTGAAATGATTATAATACAATCGAATTTTGATATTTTAATTTTAATGTAAGTAGAAAAACATTTGCACTGTTGAAGTTTAGCTGCATGTGAATGAAAAATGAATTTCCATCTTCTTAGTCAGAAGAATATTTGAGACAATTCTGGTACTGGATGTTGAACATTGGATAATAAATCTAGTAACTTTTTGAATGAATGGCTTCATAACTAATTTTTTTTTTTTTTGAGGGGGACAGTTTCCTTCTTTTTTCCTCGTTAGTGAACCTGTTCTTTCAATATGAACGAGTGAATAAATATTTTTCGTCTATAAATAATGAAAATACTCTCGAAAAATAGGCCAAAAAAGTTTCATTAAATATCTTTTTATCTCTTTTTGATATTAGCAAAAAATATCAAATATTGGGCTACTCAAAAAATAACCGTATTTTACGCCTTCTATTTTGAGCATAACTGATAAAAGATATTAGACCACAATTTTATTGAAAATCTATATTTTTATTCAAAATAACACTCAAGCTAATGTGATATACAAGCGCGTTTATATTATTTTAAAAAAATTGTAGTTAGTGGAACCAATGGACCGTTAGAAGATAATTTCAAAATCTATTTTTGAAAGTGTTTCTCTCTGATAAGTCATTTTAAGAACGGAAGATATGGTAATCTGTTGGTAAAAAATCTGAGAAGTGTGGCAGATTGATGAAGATTTCAATGATCAACTGATTTTATAAAGTGGTCATTTCGATGTATCGTGCAGAATGGTGGCCTTTTCCATTAACCAGCGATATAGTTTCTAATTCTTAATTTATAATTTAATAATTTATAATTCTTTACTACAGGATTATGCTGAAATTGCTGTACCATTTTTTATGACACTGCAGTAGATCAGACCTCCACCAAAAATACAGAGTTCTTCGAATGAAAAAGGCTTTTGGCATGAGTAAAGGAAGGAAGTTCTTCCTTTCCCTCTCCCATTACACTAATCCCCTTCTCACACACAGAATTCATTTTTCATCGTGTTAAATTCAGAAAATTTTTGTCGTATTAGCAGCAAATAATAGATCTACAATTTAATCCAGACTGAATTCATGGGGTACCCACTTTTCCCCAATGCAAGCAAGTAATCTACGCAATGCAAAATGAAACTCCATGCTCTTGCGCTAAATCTTCATAATTCATCCTGGTTACCATCATTTCCTTTCGAGATTCATATATAAAGCTTGAGAATCCATAAAGTAAACGCATTTTCGAAATCCATTACTCCAGAATAAAAAAAAACTTCACAAACCAATCTTATTCTCGTACTGTTCTGTTCTGCTTCTTAGGTGTATAATTATTTCAATAATTATTACCAATGATTATCACCAATAATTATTTTTATACTGTGAAATATAAATGAATACTGTGAACTACATATATTGCTTGATTTCCCAGTTAATATTCCGTTGAATTCCATGATTAATTTATAAGACTAAAGCAGTTAAAAAAAACTGGAACAAGCTACTGGTTTTATATAGAAAGGAAAAAATAAAAGGAAATCGTGGAGCGATATATGATACACTAAACCAGCTTACGGTAATTATGATAAAAATTATGCACCAAAGTTAAACACTATAAAGAAAGCAGGAATTTTTCGAATGGCCCAAGATAAACAAATAAGAAACATACGCAAAGCCTTTTTCGAGCTTCTATCTCCCATTTTTGACGACTATTTCGAGCCATGTGATTCCACTAAAAAATATTTATCGAATGAAAAAAATGAAGTGTAAAAAAATAAGGTCAAATATTAAAAAATTGAAATAAAGGATTTTTGTATTAATCAAATTTAATTTTAATTTAATAATTATATTCTACTAAAAATTAATGATAAAACAAATTTCTTAAGAAAAAAGCCTTTGAAGGAAATAATCAACGACAAGCAAAGGAACTTACGGAAAATCGCAATATCTTCGCAACTGATTCAACTGTTCCTGTGTCATTTAGTTGTTTCTTTTCTAATTTAGAACTTAAAATTTAGTATTTTATAAAGGAATACTAGAATGAGAAGAAAAAAAAGAAAAAGGATAAAGAATGTAGAAAGTTTAAAGTTTAAAATTTACCTGATTTTCTCAAAAACCAAATCTGTACATAGTTTTAAGAAATATTTGAAACCATTACTGGCAATGGTAAATTTTTCATAATCATCTAAAACTTTGATAATTTTTCTTCGTTCACCGCTTATAAATAATCGTCTAATACTGGAAAATTTGCAAATACTATCGATCGACTGATCATACTGAAAACTTATAAATTTTTTCATATAAAAACAAATTAAAAATTTTAAAATTAAGGAGCATAGAAATGCAATTTAAAATTGCAAATACTGGAGGTTTTTCAGTGCAGATTTGTGACAATTCGACATTTGCAGATCCGACGCATTCTTCACCAGATTCTTCTTCCTTTCGTCTAACAGCAACTGTTTTTAATCCCAAATTTTCACAAAACTGGAATTTATTAATATAACTTTCGTAATAAAAACGAATTTTTCATTGTTTTTTCTAAAATTCAAATTCAAAGAAAATTGAAATTTTATATAACAATTTTAGAATTTCCATTTACTCGCAATTAGATTTTTTTTCTTATATATAAAAGATATGCAAAAATTTTAAGAGAATAGAATGAATGTAGATGTAGTTCCAAGTTCCATTAAATTTTTCAATAATATATTACCTTCAACCTTTCTTTGATGATTAATTTCCATTCCGAATTCGATTTTGCATTTAGATCTCTCAATAAGAAATTTCTTATATCTTCATTTTCACTATTAGTGATAATGATATTTTCTGCTTCTTCGTTAATATCAATTTCCCGTTTCATCTTTCTATTTAAAAAACAATTCGCTTCATCACATACTTCACTTAATTTCCTTTTTTTATTGTTATTGAATGCTAAAGCAGAACTTGATCCGTCTTCTTCAAAATTCATTCCAACGATATTTTCTCTAATTTCAACCTAAACTTTAAAAAATTCAAAAATTTCACAATTCTGCTTAATACCCTTTAATTTCTTCCATAAACATTCAAGTTCCACTAAATCAAAACCTAAATCCAAATTTTATTATCGACGAACAGTTATCATAACACTCATTATTATAAATGCAATAGATTATAGAAAATAAAAATAAAATTAATAAAATAAAATTATACATTATTTGGCACAAAAACATCCTCGACTCTTTCACTAATACCTAAAATACCTAAAATCACTAGAATTTTATCCTAGAATTCATACTTTTTTTTAAATCTATTTTTTGCTTTTTTATTGTTTTATTTTTATTAATAAAAATGTTAACCTCTCTGGCCTCCTTTCAAATAAATAAATGATATTAATAAATTCGAATAAAACTAATATATTTACCAGTATCACCTCAATAATTTTTTACAATAAAAAATAATAAATAATAATAAAAAACCATTATTTTTTAATAATTTTAATAATAATTAATAAATTTTTTTTGTAATAATAATAGATTTTTTTAAAAAAAATTGATTAATTATATTTTAAAAAAATGAATTAAAAACAGACAAATATTATAATTATATTATTTAGAAAAGATGAACAAACTTCTTGTAACTGTGCCATTATCGAATCCATAATTTGTAAACAAAACTAATGAATTCTAGGATAAAAACCTGAAATCTAGGTTAATAAATTAAACGCGATAAGTAATATCTTATTTTTCAAAAGCGATGCAGACGAAAGCAATGCATGTAAGAATTTCGCTAATTATTATCAAATTATCATACTGAAAAGATCAAAAAAGAATATTTAGCGAAATTCATGGCTTTGACCATCCCTCTATTGGTTCGAAATAATTATAAAATACCTTTCTTTTTCCAACAGCACTTATTCTCTAAGCTGATAAAGATGTTCCCTAGTCCTTGCCATCGCTGACGGTAATAGAAACCACTCCTTTTTCCATTATCTAAGTCCACATATGTTAATATATTCACCTATATATTCTAAAAAAAAAAAGTTCTAAAAATCTTTCCTGATTTCATCAGTCCAGGTCTCCTCCTCGCTTTTAACGAAGATCCATCACAGATAACGAAATATTAATAAAGTCCTGTGGTGATGAAGAATATGCCCTAAGCAGCGGTGCTGTGTAATATTATTGTTAAAGTGATATTTGAGCGAAAATGGAAGGAATGTGAAATTTTATCCGCTCAGCAAATCCGCAAAATGTATCTTAGATATGAGTGGTCAAAAGCGCAAATAACTTCTCAATATCCTCCACTCTCATCGACTTTATCTCGCAGCTATGTGGCAAAATAGAGCGAACTGCAGCTATATAGACGCCGACCTTCGTTTTTACAGTAATTTCGCGATTTTACAGTAATGACTCCATAAAAGTTTCGTAAATGGAACAACGTTTAGCCATCGTTCTCAGTTGTATTTTCGTCTTTCGCTTTGCGATTTGGGGCTAGAATGGATCTGAGATATTTAAAGTCTCCGTGAATTGGCAATGAATTGATAAAAATAGGTATTTTATCAGCTTTTTATATATAAGACCAATGTCCATGGTCGATCTATACGCTCAAAATCTTTTCCGACCGTATCTTGATTGATCCACCTCGCTTTTGATGATAGAGTTTAACAAGTAACGAAATATGACCAACTTTTGTGGTGGGACGAAGAACATGTTCTAAGCAGCAAAGACGAGACTCTGTGACCGTAATATTAATACAGGTGGTATATGAGCAAATATAACCACGTAATATCGGCGAATCCGTAAAATGTCATAACATGAGGTCAAAAGTGCCTTAGAATGAGTGGTCTAGATTCTTAATATCTTCCAGTCTCATTAGCCAATGTTTCACAGTCATAACAACATCGAGCGAATTGCAGCTATATGGACGCGGAATTTTGTCTTTATCGCGATTGTGCGGGAGCACAATAAAGTTTCAAACGGAAAAACGTATTTCTAGCTGCCATTATCCAACTTGCAAACCCATCCTTTGTCTGGCCATTTGGGATTACAGTGGATATTTGAAATCAGCCATTTCCTCAACCGGCAATGAATTTATAAAAACAGGTATTTTATCAGTTTTTTGTATATAAGACGACAAGAATTTCATTTTCACTTACATTGACCCTGAGTCCGATTCTCACTGCAGTCGTTGATCGTTGACACATTGTTTTGCATTTCCATTTCATTAGCAACTGTACATTAGTATACAACTGTACATTAGCGTATTCAAAATGATACGATGCTCTGGACTGATCTGTACACCTCTTGAACGACGACAAGCGATATCCGTTATCCATCTCATACTATAAGGGAAAGGACGCAGCCTTGACGAACACCATTTCTTATTTCGAAAGAGTCTATCAGTTCCCCATAGATATAATCTTGTGCCGATATATGATGATAAAATGTCTTTATGAGTCGAATGGTCCTCACCGCCACGTTCCATTACCCTCCAAAGCACCGTTCTATTAATTGAATCGAAGGCAGCTGCAAGGTCAAGGAACAGTGGGGTGATGGGTGATTGCTCTTCTTGGCGTAAATATCTGGTCAGCAAAGCTCAGTATGCCCTTTCAGTTTTCTTGCGAACTGGGAAAAGAACAGCTTTGTTCCAGTTATTTGGTATTATTTCGCTTTCCATATTTACATTTCTTGAAGATATGCTACGACGATGGATAATATTCGAAGATTTTGGCCTGAAAACCATCTTATCCAGAAGGGCTGCAATCATATGGCTCGACGAGCGATTCGTCATGTCCGGGAGAATAGATGGAGCATCGTGGTTAAATTTGGCCTCAAAGGATTCTTTAAAAATAGGAACAAATAAATATGAAAATAATAAGAAAAAAACCGATTTTTAGAAAAAATCTTTTTCCGAAAATATATATTCAAATTATGACCATTAAAAAGAAAAATTTCGCTTGTGCGAGCCATTCTCTTTGGTTCGATGCAAGCGAATTTAAATTTGGCGTCGATGCTGAGAGATATTTGAAAAAATAAGTAAAAAACCATGCTAAGCGACAAACAAACGAAACCCCCCCAAAAACGAATGAAATGACCACGCAAACTCCAACGTGAATGCGAACCAGCGATGAAACAAATTTTCCGATCAAAATAGCGCCGTGCTGAAAATCTAACACCCCTCCCGTCTCTTCATCTTTCGCAACCTCTCGCATTATCGATTTGGCCTTTCACTGAAGACACGCCCATAATCGCAAATAAGACACGCCCACCAAGAATCTTATATAAAGTGGATTATGCGCTAATGAGGTGGTGTTGGTGGTAATTGCTGGGATGGTATTTCGTGGTTCGATTCATGTCTTTCGGATATGGGGGATATTGACATCGGAAATGGGATCTGAGACTGATGTCAATTGTGTATCCCCTAATCAGTCGTTATCGAAAAGGCAGAAATATAATTATCACTGATAATATAGCCAAAAACTTAAAGTAATTGAAGCAATAATGTGTAGTAAAGTAGGTCGTCACAGAGCCATCGGAAAAGGAAAAGAGTATCAAAAATCTTCCATAATATATTGAAAAAGAATTGAAATTGAAGAATCCTGGATTAATTCGGATGAATTCCACCGAATTAAAATAGGCAAATCGCTTGCAAAATTTTATTAAATTTATTTCCAATGGAACTTTGTTGATGGAGTGCGGCTTTTAGCATCGCAACATCGCTTGTTGGCACAGAATAACCCTAAATTCAAATTAATGCGTCTCTCGTTCGATGAACATTTATTTTTAAAATCAGACTCTTTAGGCGAATTTCTCGGTTCTCGACAAAATGTTTGGTTCGTATATTAATATTAACGAGCACAGCATAATTCCCCATATTTTGTGGTCAATCAATTCTGCGCTTAGTTTTTGCACCATTGGTTCCACTGCAAATATTCACGATGAGGGGCGAACAGAAAATATTGCGCTGTTATTGATAAATTTGTCAAGATTTGACTTCCCGGAAAATATTTGGCGGCTTTTTTGATTAATTAAAATTTGCAAAATTGCAAAGTTTTGCAAATCATTTTAAAAGGCAATCATTATTGTACGGCTTTTTTAAATTAAAAAATTAGAAATTGTTTGAGGGAATTTTAATTATTCGAATTTGACTTTAGAAAGGGAAACAGTGAATTTAGCGTGAAAATTTATATTAAAATTCCACCGAGTTTAAGAAAATGAAAGGAATTCGCTGAAATTTTTAGCGACTAAATAAGCAGTGAGAACAATTGGAAATAATTGTTTGGTTTCGTTTTCGTCGGACCAAATAAGCGATTAAAGGGGTCCAAATGGTGTCTCGGAGCCTCTCTCGGACCCTTCCTTTCGCTTAATGGAATTACTCAGACGGCAAATAGAAGAATCATGCGGAAATTGTAGTTGTCCTTTATGAGTCGTTTTGAATGTTTGTCCTTCAAATAGTAACAAATAGTTTATGTGAATTTTTAAGAGAAGGAAAATAGGAAGGAGTTTTATTCAGTTAATAATTTTGGTTAAATCGAGTGGTATGAAATGATGCATTTTGTTGAATGTGTAGAATGTGTGGCGAAGAGGAGCGCAAAATTTATTATTAAAGAATGAAAAAAAGCATATTTTGTATTCACCTTAGTTTTTCTTAAAATTTTCTAATAAAAAATTTTAAGATTTTGGGAGTTTTTTTATCATTTTGTAAATTATCAAAGTACCAGTTTTTTGCAGCGATGGATTTCCTTGGATCGTTGCCGCCATTTGTTAAGTAAGTTTTTTTGCATTATTTGCATTTGTGTTGGGTAATATGCGCGGAGGTCGATTTGCGAGATTCGATTTTATACGATTTTATCTATCTTTTGTGAATAAAACTCCATTAAATAAGGTGGTATTGGAAATTCTATTATTTCTAAGTGACTCGGTCGCTAAGGCAGCTAGCGGTCAATGAAGTTGGCCAGTTAGGGAAGGCGTAAGCTTTAGAATAAGGAGGGAAATTCGGCGATCGGAAGATGGTGCGCATATTTTTATTATACTTCTAGCCCGCTTTTTTTTAGTTTAAGGTTGTACTAGTTAGGAAGTGAGTCGTTTCCAAAATTTTTTGTGAATTGGTTCCATGCTATGCTTAAAAACAACTGAAGCTCCATTTTTCCACAGCTTAAGCGTTATGCATCCAAGTACCACTGGGTCAATAGAGCCTTCTCCATAGAGTCTTTTCACTTTTAGAGCCATCTATCATATGAGTCGAGATCTGCGTTTCTTTTTCTATGATAAGCGACGAAGAATCAGACATGATGAAACCTTAGACCATGATATTTGTGATGATGTAAGACTGAAATGCAATGAATTTCTAGATTTTTAAAATTTCTAGATTTTTTGAATTATTTTGCTTTTCGGATAAAGTTAAAATATGTCAACCTTTTAATATAATTACATAATTTAATATAATATTAGGTCTGTTTTTTAGGAAGATGACTGATACAAAACAACTCGATTATATTGTGCAGTGAGCTTTTTTCTTTTTTTCTCTTTTTTGAATCTTTTCAAACCAACCTATGAATTTGTTTATATAAAATCATTATATTTATATTTGTTTTGTAGTCAGTTAAAGTGGATGGAAGAAAACTGTGATGATGAACAGACTTCAAAAAATCTACGTCGAGCTGCAACACAAACTCTCGATCGGTTTTCTATTGAAGGAAGCCCGTTTTATAGTGATGAAAGAATCTTATATGTGTCAATGATCATTGTTTGTTTTCTTAATTTTATTTAATTTTTTTTTTTCGTCCTCTGTTTTTGTATTTGCTAAATTTCTTTACTTTAAATATTTTCAAAATTTTTTCAAAATATGAAATCTTTAATTTAAGGGCAGATTAAGTCGAAATATCGGTTTAAAAGGCGTGATGAAATGTTTGTATGAAAGACGTCAGTTTTGTGAATTGCCTGAATTTTACATAAATTGGGCTAAGGTAAATGTAAATTTTCAGTATTATGAAATTTTTTCTTCGCATTTTTGTCGAAATATTTTCTGTAAATAGACATCTAGACTAATCAGAAGAGATTTTGAACGTGTAGGTGGTTCAGCGATTTAGGAACAAGGTCTGGCTCAAGTTACTTTTAATAGCATCGGATCGAACGGCTTGGAAGCATCTAGCCTGTGGAACCAGCTTAACCAGTAATACTGTAAGATATCAGAAGAAGAAGAAGTCATACATCTTTCAAATTTTTTATAATGGATTATGAAAAAAATTTTTTCAGATTTATGCTGAAGAAAAGGATAGGATGCATTTTGATGAAATTTGGCAAATGGCTATTAAAGAGAAAGTTAAGCCGTTGTCTTATATTGATGCAGCATTTCGGTATTTTTTAATCGTAAAATTCGAATTCTCATCTAAAAAAATCTTTAATTTTAATCTAATTTAATTAAGTTCAATGGTTAATGAACATTTCACCATTCGTGATGATGAACCGACTATATGTATATTTGCAAAATCGTCGAAAGGTTAGGGCACATTTTCCTTCAGATTTAATCAAAATTTTTTCGCTTTGGAGATATTTTTTTGAATCGCAAAATGTATTTTAAACTTGATTAAATTTAATTTTAAATAGCAAAGAAAAAATAAAAATTAAATTAGATTTTGCTTCATATCCATGCATCTAAATTTGATTTATCTTTAGGTAAAATTACTTTTAGAAAGGCTTGCTAAAGTACCCAGACAAGAGGAAAAAACCAGACCAGCTGAAGTGGACAGAGCAGCATCAACAAATACGGTATCGTCACAACCATCGAGAAATATTTTGCCTGCTAAGGATATTTCAAGGTTTTTTATATTTTTCAAGGACTATTTCAGATTTTTAACAATATTAACAATTTAAAATTATTCAAAGCGATGAAATAACTAATATTTATCAGTTAAAAAAATGGTATTTCATTAGAGTGCTATTCTATAGTTTGCTTCAGTAAATCAACGAAGTCTCGGATAAAACCGGGTAAATATATATGTATAGTTTCTGAAGATATATCGGCTGAAGAATTGCTGGCTGTTCGTGAAAAATACAAAGAAAATATGGAACAGTGAGTTTCAAAGCATTTTTTTCTATTTTTATATCACTTTTATCACGTAAAACTCTCTTAAGCTTTTTTCTTTCAGATGAAATTTTTTTTTTTACTTGTCTTAAATGTAAGGTATGATTCTTTTTCATATTGTAGAAAAATTGCCAAACCCTTATCGCCCATATACGAAGAGAAAAACTCTAATGGTAGTGGTATATCAACGAAAACTTCTGAACAGCTAGTTGGAGTATTAGGTGCATTTTCTGGTGCGGCCAAAATCAGTTGCTTTTTGGCTGGGGTATTTTCATTTTTTTAATCATTAATTGCTTTTTAAGTCCTTTATTTGTTGAGTTATTGCAAAATTTGTTTATTACTTTTTAGTACTATTTTCCTCGATTTAGCTATCGACTGGTTCTTAAAAAATTTGTTTTCGTTATTTAAAATCTCTTTTAATAGCTTTAGAATTGAATTTAACAAATTTTTTATACTAGGATAAAATGACAACTGATGTCGATAATATTAAAAATGGGTCATCAATTTCTGAACAAAAATCTCCTGTAAAATATCATTTGTCGTATGATGTATCTTACTTGCAGTCTCAAGGTTTTCAAGAGCTGTTTTATTTTTTAAATGGATATAATTTATTGTAAAAACACTAGTTTGGTTTGTTATTCTGTCATTCTGTTATTATTTTAATTGAAAAATAATACCATATAACATGCTCCGCACAATTGATTATTAACAGTAGTATATTAATTATTATTGTAGATGATCAAAAGAAGTCAGGATTAACATCATTTTATGAAAAGTATTATAACCTAGCGATGAAAGATTTCTCGAATACATTTCCTTTATCTCCACCACCAGTTTTTGGTAATATTTGAAAAATTATTTTTTTAATTTTTAATTTTTTTGAATTTTGAATTTCTTATATTAAATTAGCTTCTCAAGTTTCAGGCCGTTCACCAAATCATGAAACAACTATTCTTTGCGAAACAATTGAATCGCCATCAAAATGCCGAGCTCCTGAATTTAAAGTTTATATTGATAATGAGAAAAACCAGGATATGAATGATTCGTCAGGTGATAAGCAGTCAAAACATTCTACTCCACAATCACATTTCAATGAAAGGGACAATTTGGATTCAGGTGACAAAAAGTAATTTTTGGTTAATTAAATATTTGAATATTTCATAATTTTCTAGCATTTTTTATACTTCTTTGTAACTTAATTTTAGGACTGCAATTAATGATGATACCGATTTAACTAGTGCAATCAAAGAAACTAATCAATCCAGACAACCTATTGAGGAATATAATGATTTATTCAAGGTTTATTTCTTTCTCTCCCACCAAAAATTCTTGAAGTTTGAATGTAATAGTGCATATCATTTTCAATTCTTAGCATAAAAATATTTCGTCATGTTATGTTTAGCTGGATTTTCCTGCAACGAACAAAAATAAAAAAACAACCGTGGTATCAGAAAAAGAATTATTGGAAACCAGCAGCAATATTTCAGTCACAGGTTTATTTTTCTAATAATTCATTTACTCATATAATATAAACAAGAAGGATTCTTTTTTTTTAGTCGATATAACATTCCTGATATATTTTTTTTTATTTTGTATAGAACTTATTTTGAGAGAATATTAATTTTGTAAATATTGTTGTAGTTTATTTTTTGTTTCTATTTATACATTATTTTTACTGGCAAAAAATTTTATTTTATAGGTCAACAGTTTCCGGATGGGTCAGATGAGGAGACCGTTTCAGGTTTATTTAAAAAAAAGAAAGTAGGAAAAATAGTGACATCAACTCCAGCTGATGGTTTTGCTCCTAATTTCTATGATCCTACAGAAGGTATTAGATTTTTTTCTAACCTTTTCTTTGTATATTTAGAGATTTACATAAAAGTCCAATGATTTAAGATATGTTTTTAAAATAAATGAGAACTACATCTATTTTTTTTAGAGATGGTCGATTGTGCCAGTGATTTGAATCTATTTTCTGCGCTGAAATGTGAAGATCACCAAGAAACAGCATTTGAGCGGAAGCTAAGTTTAGCTCAGGTTTATTTTTTTCAAAACTGAAGATCGAATGAAGAATTCGTTATAATAATTTTTATCGATTAAGAATGTGAAAAAGAAATTGGATATGGAAAATCTTGGCATTGAAAACGTTGTTAGAACTTGGTGGGCTGATAAAAAACTTGATACAGTTGGAAAAATTTTTCTGGCTGGTAAATCCAATGAAAACGATAAACCAACTGGATTCGCTCTAAGGTTTCCCTATTTTTTATTATCCATGTTGTTTTCATAATTTTATATATATATATATATAGTTTTTCATTATAATTATAATTTTATTATTATAGTTTTTTCTAGTTTCTTCCAATATCTTTTTGTAGATGGGATACTTCTTCTATAATTAATCCATGGAGTCAAGAACTGCGTGATAATATCATGGCCGCACAAAAATTTTCTCCATTTTATCTGCACGAATTTTCTGTAAAAAGATTTAAATCTTTAAATGAAGATTTATTAGGAAAAATTTCATTAATCTTTTGCAAAAAAAAACTAATAAGTTGAAGTTAAAATTTACATTAAAATTTAAATTTTACAAAAATTTAGTAAATTTATCCTTAAGATTAAAATATCTTTAGCAAAAAGTTGATCGATTCTTACCTGGTGTTAGTGTATCTCTCGGAGGAGAACGGTTTGATATACAATGTTTAATTGGCAAAGGCGCCTTTGCTAAAGTTTATAAATGTGTTTCTGAAGATCAAGAAGTTTATGCGATAAAGGTTTGTTGGTTGATTTCTCTGTGAAAATTTGTAATTATATTTATATTTACTTATATTTACTTATTACTAATATTTATTCATTGATATGTTCAGTTATATTTATTTTGTTTCTTAGTTCGAAATACCTGCTTGTCGATGGGAAGTTTATATATGTGAGATCCTGCGAATACGATTAAGACCGAAATTACTACCTGCAGTTATGACTATTCGCGATGCTTATATTTTCGCCAATTCCAGTGCTATAGTTTATGAATACCATCCACATGGAAATTTGCTAGTTAGAATTTTTTATTTTTCTAGTAAGAATATTTTTAAGAATTTTCTTATTTTTCCAGGTCTGATTTAACAAAAATTATATTAATTAACGTAATTCATATATTATTATATCAACGGGAATTTTCAATATTTAATATGTAACATTTTTAGGAAATGGTCAATCAAATGGCAAGAAAAAATAAATCATGTTCGATCCTTTTGATTGCTTTTCTTGCTCTGCAAATAGCTAGAATTCTTGAAGCAGTCCATGCTGCTCGTATAATCCATTCAGATATTAAACCTGATAATTTTATGATTATTAGAAGGTTTCAGTTTTTTGTTTAATAATTCTTTTATTTTAATTTCCAGATTTATATCCATTTAACCTTTTAGATTCTAATGATTACTGAACTCAAACTTTAAGTTTTCTAAGTTTCTCTCTACCTAACATTCAGAATTTTATCGTTATTTTTATCGTTATTCACATGTGCGTTTCCATGATGATTAGCTAATATGAGAAATTCATTAGGGTTAAAGGAAAAAGGAATATAAGATATAAGATATAGTGGTCGCAACGATGGAATCTTAATATTTTTTATTAATTTTAGTTTTGATCAATCTTGATTATTTATGTTTTCTATCGATTTGCATCATAATGTTCTTGGATTTTGCAAAATTTATGTTTCTTATTTTTGTTGTTTATATTTAATTTTAATATTCATTTTTTAAATTTATTAAATTTATTATTCTTTCATATCATAAGTTAGTATAATCTATTTCAATTTGTTTTACAATTTGTCGTCTAATGAGCGTTTGTTTCGTCAAAAATTCTATTCCATTTGTTTCTTGCAGATTGAATGAAAATAGTAGTATCGAGGATATATTAAGAGAGGATAATATTATTCTGAAACTGATCGACTGGGGACGTGGTATTGATATGGATCTATTGAACAATAAAATATTTCAAGGAAAAGCAGGAACCACTGACTTCGACTGTTTTGAAATGAAAGTCATTTATTTTATTTATTACGATTTGATATAATTTCTCTAAGAGTGCTATTGATTAAACTAGCTCCACTGGCTTGTCGGTTCAAATAAATTTTAAATTACTACTAATTAAATTAGCTCCACTGGCTTGTCGGTTCAAATAAATTTTGCCTTGGAGTCATCCCGTGATAGAAGTAAAGATGAGATAGCATCATCCAGGTTTTGAAAAATAAAAAAACTTCTAGGAGTAGAACCCCAGTTCTTGTGAGATTAGCAACCCACTGAACTATTCCATCTCACCTTTGTGTTGCAAAATTTTACCAATAAAAAATGTTTTACTTTTTTTTAAACTTTTAAATTTTATCATATATCATATCAAATTTTATCACTTCAGGAAGGCCGTCCTTGGACTTATCAAACAGATTTCTATTGTTTTGCAGGGACTTTACATGTCCTAATTTTTGGCCAGTACATGAAATGTACTAAAGGTCCAACAGGCCGTTACATGATTATCAAAGATTTGAAAAGGTTTGTTTTTTCCCAGATTCAAACTGCCTTTTGATATCTTCACGCGTAGTTGTAAAGTTAATAATATAAAATTATTATTATTATTGTTATTTATGTCAATTTGAGACGGTGGAATCATCGTGCAGTTCTGCAGGATATTTTCGACATCTGCCTTAATATCCCAGATTGCGAGTCTTTTCCAAAGTGGTCAGTTTTAATTGAAGGATTGACTGAGATCATAAGGTGATTATATATTTTTTTTTAATTTTTGCATAAAATCTGAATTTTCTGTTTTTTAAAATCAATTTTGACAAATTGGTTCAAAGTGTGTTTAAAAATCTTTAAAAATCTTTTTAAAATTCTTTATTCTACCATTTAACGTTTTCTGATATTCAATTTTTAAAAAACTAGTGGACTTGTAAAACAAATGAAGATAAATGAATATGTTGAGGATTAAATTCGGTTAATTGGATTTCGTATGATTACTTAATTTTATTGTATGCGAAAAATTATTTTCAGATGTTCTGTAAGGCAGCAGTGGAAGGAAGTTGTTCGTGATTTTAATATGTGTATTGCTTAATTCTCTTTTATTCAATTTTTTCGTTCAAATTTTTTTTTAATAAATATTTTTTTAAAAAAACGTTAAAGCAATGAAACTAACGATATATTTGCTTTTAGAAATTTTTATTATATATTAATTGGAGAAAATCATTTGGAGATACGCTTAATATTTTTATTTTTTTCTTATTATCATATTCAGTGGTGAATATAACCAAAGTAGTGTCCAAAGTAGATATTATGATGTTTAATGTTAAATGAAATATGAGATATAAGAATCATTATGCGCCTCTTCTTTTCACCATTTCCACTCAATTTTCTTATCTTTTAAATTCCAAGAAAGCACTGGGAATATATGAAAGATTTTACTCTTTTTTAATTAAAATAAATTAAAAATAATTTTATTCCTTTTTGAAATAAGTGATTTCCAATTTCGTAATTACACAAAGATCTATCTTTTCTATCTTTTCATTCGAAATGGATAAAAAAATTATATTATTGTAAGTATGGATTTGCGTTTTCGGTGCAATTCCTTTACCAAATAAGAAATTGTCGAAAAGTAAGATATATGGGAATTCAAGCAGAATATCAATGCTTTTTATGAAGATAAATATGAATTTCCTGACCACATGCTTTTTATTTCAAGTGTTCAGTATGGTTTCGTGAATTCTAGGGTGGGGAGCAAGGAATTAAAAAATTAATGCAGTTGTATGAGCCTTGGTTGATTCTTGCGGTAGAAACTGTATCGGTGGTAGTGTGTCTCTAACTGCCTAAATTAAACCACTCGTTATTGAAAATTAAAATAAATGCAACTTTTCAATCACTGAATTGTGGGCTATGATGTTGTGATGTAAATCAACGCTTGGACTGAATATATGAAGAATTTACGTTATTTATACTGAGCCCAGTCAAATTCGCATGGATCGGGAAGTAAGGGTTACTTTAATTGGGTGGTTCATATTTGGTGCGTAGCGTCTGTGTTTTCTGATTTGACTAATCTAAAGCCTTTTCTCCAGAGGTTTATTTGGAAAATGGAAGGACACATGACTTTCTCGCCTTCGAAATCAAACTATGATTGACATTGACCTCGGTCAAACCAAATCTGAAACCACTTTGCCTCATACTGGATCATTGCATGAAGATTTTATAAAAAAAAATTTCATCACTTAGCTTTAGTTCATACCAATTTTTTCTATTATATAACTGAAAAATAAACTGTTCGGCTCGGTCCTGTTGAAACAATTTTTTAGGGAATCAGTCTCAGTGATGAAATTTAATTCAAATTCAGTTTCTCAGTGTTTAAATTCAAAATTTTTATATTTATTAATTTTTGCTGTTTATAGAAATTTTTGGAAAATATTTACCGGAAGCCGATGTTTAGTTTGAATATATTTGCGACACTAACTTTGGGTTTTTTTAAAAGAATACTTGTCACTGTTGAGTTGATTTGACTCGCCGATGCAAATAACTCGGAGTCGTTAGCATCGCCCAGACTAGCTTTGATTATTAATCCATCCTCTTTAATCGGAACTTTAAAAATCGGGAAAGGAAGATCGATTTATTACAGATTCAGTTATAGAAAGCAAATATTAAAAAAATTTATCGTCATCAACGAGTGCGTTAAAAAAAAAATTTTGTTATTCGAAATTTAAATTTTGTTGTTTTGTTTAATATTATTCGGAAATTATGGCTTTATTATTTAGATAAAATTCTAAAAATTCTACAAATATCTAATTTTGGGTTTTAAAATTGTAAAAAATTTTTAGTTGTTTGTCTTATGCCATACTTACCTTTAGACCTCCAAAGAATCCAGCAAGAAGCGTGCAGCAACTTCAATCATTTAGTCGATTTATCTTTCTAATTAAAATAAATGGACATATTCTCGGAATATGGTGATAGAATGGCTCACTGGGTTGTTGCTCAATTGGGGCGCCGATGCTGAGGTCCGATTCCCCGCAGAAGTAAACCTCGCCAAAAATCAAGGTGGTGCTGGCGGCTCACCTATATTTCTATCGCTAAGGGACTCCCTGGCAAATTTGTCCAATGCGACAAGCTAGAATAGCGAGTTGTTAACCAGTAATGGTGAGGGCTCTATAAAAAAAATTCTCTGAATATGTTCATATTAATCAGGTAAAATGTAATGAAAGGTAATATCATATTTTCTCATGAATATTACAAAAATTCATAGAATCCTCTTAGTGAGTGTGAAAGCAACTTTCTTAAACGAAACTCGAAGCAGTCAGAAATAATTGCTAAGGTGGCGCCAAATGATGAACTGCCGGATAATGTCTGAGGCACACACTCTGAGATTTCTTCCGGATTCTAATCCAGATTCAACATTTATTTATTGAAATAATAAAATAATTAAGAGTATTAAATGAAATTTTAATTAAAGGAAGAATTGCAATGAAAAGTTTTGTAATTATTTTATTTCCTTGTGTATCAAATTTCTATTTTAAAAAAGTGAAAATAAATCATATTTTTCGCAAAGGATATGGATATGCGCAACACATCCCCGTGATGCATGTTACTGGACAGCCACCTGACAAAGGAATGCATGATGGTGTATTCGTGCATTCGAGTCCAACAAGTTTTCCGCCATCGGGGCATTGCTGCGGCACCTGAAATACTGTCTGGTTTAGGACGAATTTTTTTTTCAATAAGTGGAGAATTTATTCGAGAGCCTTTCATTTTTTTTCTAAAAACCTATAAAATTTCGTCATAATAGAAATCGGCAGGGAAATGAAATATTTTTTGGCGAAAGTTTCATTTTTAACAGTGTCGTTTGAGGCTGGCGGTAGAGATGGATTCTCAACAGGATCTGTCTGCTTGTGGGGCTTACCACTTACCAGCTTAACCGGTTGCGAAATAGGTCAATAAGAACAAAAGATACTAAGAAATTAAGAAATTAACTTAAGGAGAGCCTCTAATCACTCATGTCTAAATTCTTTATGCTCTTTCGGAGGATAAAATCTTGTATGACTATATTCACCTTCGCTCGAATGTTGTATGCATTCACAATATTATCCTAGTGCATCACCCACGCTGGTAAGGCAGAAGAAATTTTGATATAGTCTGCCCAAAGATATATGGGTTTAAATGCTGGAAAAAGCTGTTTCTATTAATTTCAAGCATGGCACCAGATAGAGCAATTTGGAGACAGCTTATCCCTGTTATGAGCGGATATTGTCTAACCAGTTATGGTGCGAAGAAGATTGTTTTGCGTTGAGTGCCTCAGAAGTCGCTTGTACTCCTAACTAAAACATGCGCTCTTTCAAGCATCGAATTTCTTTTAACGAGGTTCATTTCTATCAAGAAACCGAAATCCATAATACTTCACCTTTCATTATTTAACTGACCATCTGTTACCTTATAAAAAAAAATGTTTCAATATTTTCAATATACCAAATCTAATATACCAAATATATGCATTATTAATCTTCATTAATTACTAATTATGGGCTATTAAATGAGTTATTAATAGAAGATATCCGAATGACGCTCAAGCTTCATCCGTTTTTTTTTTAAAGAGCATTCATCATTGCTGGTTAGACTCGCTTCGCTTGTCGGACTAGACAAATTTACTAGGAGAGGCGCTTAGCAGAGCCGCCAGCCAAATTCTTAGACAGATTTACTTCTGCTGGGAATAGAACCTCAGCTCCAGCTCCAGGCACCAATTTATTGAGCTATTTTATTTTCCATTGCTTTCGGCCAGATTCGAAGATAATCCTCGATTCTCGGTTATACCTTGCCATTGAGTCATTTCAACTGTGTTATGTTCAAGCTTACTAGCAATTAGAAGCTAGCCAAACCAGAACTGTTTACTGATGGTAGAAGAAATTTAAATAAATGGAGGATTCTGGTCGTTGTACTCCAGTTCTCTATTAGAACACATGAATGGAACAAACCGTGCAACATAAATTTTTCAAACAAGCAACTTGTGTAGTTGCAAAAGGCAAACATTCAGTTGTCTCCTCACATCCAGCAGCAATAGCCATACCACCATTTTCACACGTAAGTTGTGGAACCGTGCAACATTCATTATTTAAACATTGAACAGCAGAAATTGTTCTTAGTTTACAATCGTTAGTTGTAGTACAATCGTGTGAAATCCATTTACCGCCGTTTGTGCAAGGATTTTCAGCCAAGCAAAAATATTGTATAATAAAAATAACTGCCGGTGCAATATACATATTTGCTAAAAAAACGACATTTTTTTTTTAGATTTCATGTGAATTATAAGCAAATTTTAGTCACAATGGTTATACCAGATTTTTATTATCTTTAGTGCAATAAGAGTATATATATATATATATATTAAAAATAAGAGCTTTCAACCTTTTTTATGTCATGGACGCATTTATGAATCTGCAGATGCTTATATGCCTATATATTAGGTGCATAGGTAAATCATCCTATATGATGCTTAGCTTAACAAGAAAAGGATGGACCAGGCTTCCAACCTCTAACATGCCGACCAAGGGTTTGAAATATATGGACGCTTCCTTAATGATGCTTTAAAATACGTGAAACAAACAAAAAAATAAATGGTTTCAATATGACCAGAGAATATCTGTGATTTTTATGAACTGATTAATGTATGTATGAAAATGGAAGTATGAATTTTTTACCATCAAAATTCGAACATACCCCTAATACCCTTTATTTTCCTTCTTCTATGGGATCCATCCACCTGAGCCTTCTCTTGCATTAATAAATCATATTTAATCATCAAATAAGTATATCTTTATGCTTGAACTGAAAAATAAATTCTTATTGATAGTAACATTATTATTAAGCTGATTGTTATGCTGATTTAGGTTTCCTGCCGCTGATTTGCTTATTAGCATCTCTAAGTGCTTCTCTAATTGTAATTAAGAATCGTTTAACCTACAATTTCAAAAAATCAAAGGACCAACAATAAGATATGGCTAAGAAATACTCAAACTCGATTCAACCAAAATACGGTTAAATAACAAAAGCAATTGGCTAGTCTCACTTTCAGATGTCGAGAAACCGAAAAATACCTTGTCCTGGTTTCACATGGAACTAAATTAATCCGTAATGATACGACCTATTCAGAATAATAAAAAGATATAAAAGATAGAAAGGTTTAAAAAAAAAAAACAAATTTCTTGAAACTTAAAGAGTTTGTTAATCGTATAATCTACGTTCTTAATCAAAATATTGCAATGTTCCTCATCCTTGAACAAATAATTAAAATATAAAAATTTTTATATTAAAAATTTCACAATTTTTTTGATGTTTGATGTGAAAATTAATGAAAATTAGTGATTGTCGATTCGATTAGCGTTGAAAACAATTCAAAGTAACTTATCAATTTGCAGTAAAGATTATCATTACTGAAGTCGAAATGATATCAATTAAAGTAAAAGAAAAAACTAATCGTTGATCATTTTATTCTTCAGTGGTTCGAATTCAATAATTTTATTAAAAAATGAATGTGATACTGCAAAAAAGGATATTATAAGCTAATGGTACAGTGTAAAATTATAATTGGGAATGGCAAATAGCTTCGAACAAAGAGTATTATACATGGGGAACGGTGGTGAATGTATCTATTGCTTCGACTGACGAAAAACAGCGTCAATATTCTTGAAGAATCTTCAGGAATACTTTTCTCCTAGAGAAATTCACCATTCTCCTAGAGAAATTCAACCAGTGGAATAAACAAAGTGCCATAAAAAGATGTCCAAAAAAATATTTTAAATAGATCTAAGTATTTTAAACGATGATTTACTTCATTAACAATTTAAAATAAAAAATTGACTTGAAAATTAAGTAATCTGAAAAATTATGAGAAAATAACGGATGAACAGTGAACGATAAGGGAAAAAAAATCAAAAAATGGAACTGTGATGTGGAAAGTTAAGGGGAAACGAGGAAAATCCTAATGTCAAATGGTCAAACTGATAAGGAAACTAAAGATAACTGGCTATTATCGCAGGCCATCCTTGCAAGCACACTGATCACATACGAAATGCGTCACTTCTTGCTTAAATAAGGTGAAATGATTCATTCGCATCATACAAGACCACGAAAAGTGATAACGTTGTATGCAGCCCTAGGTATGGCTAGAGACGACATACGACCAAGCGTAACGACAATAATGCGTATTCTTATGCGGAGGCTTAAATCCAAATCGGGCGTCCCAGCGCTCGATTTTCGACTAGTAAGGCGTTTTGCAAAATTCAACCCTTCGATCACGAAATTATTAAAATCCATTATCGAGTAACTTGTTAGCAGCGGTAATCAGCAGTGATGGAGAGAATCAGTTTACAGGCGGCGGAATCACTGCATTTGTACGGTAGGAATGATGCTTGCGTCGTTGAACTGAAGCAGCCTGTTGCGTCGTTGCGCCATCTTCAACTGCTTTTTTATTCATTATTGTTATAGAAAAATAAAAATAAAACGGTCTACTTGGTCTACGAAAAAAATTTTATTCATGACTGTTAAATTTTTGCTATTCGACTGATTTAAAAAACGATGTTTATTCAGTTGGCGAATCTGAGGCGAGTATTACAACGAATTTCGGGGAGAACCATTATTTACTTATGTCGAAACGAAATCACTTCCACGTAACTTTCTACCGCAACTCGTCGATTCGGAGAAGTGCTACATTCTCGCTCTCCAAACGTTTGCTTCAGCTTATTTGTGAAGCACCTTTGCTCCATCCGATTATTGTACAAATGAAAAATCGACGAAAATGATTCAGCTTTATCAAATAGTTATAGTTGCACAATTCGTCGCCGTTCAAAATACCCTAATGGATATGCCATAGCTAAGAAAGAAAAAGCTTTCGGTAGAAAAAGGCCAAATTTCAGCAAACCAAATATTTAACCACTAGCATTGACCGATATCAACGACTAAGAGCTTGTATGCTTCAAATGCCTTTTATTTTATACAAATTTATCTAAAAAAAACAAAATTTTCTTGATGAAAGCTTTTATTAGAGCAACAAAAAGTTCACACAATATTCATAATACAGTATTAAAAATAGAATTAAGAAACATAACAATAACACAATTAAACGGAAAATGGAAAAACAATTAAGCAGAAAGCAAAAACACAGAGAAGGAAATAAAAATAAAAAATATCAAGGAAAAAGGTATATTTCGTTTCGATTTTAATAATATAGATTTTCAAAACTATTCGACAAGATGATAATAACGAAATGATAAGCTGTTTAAATTATCTAAATAACATAAGATATATCAACCAGCAGAGCCTAACAAATTAATTTGTATCTGACCAGAAATAACAAGCGACAACCATCTTATGCAATAGAGTATAAATCTGTGAAACTCAAATTGTACCGAGGATCCGCCAGCACTTCACACTTCAAATGTGAGCTCTGCTTTCATCCTTATGCCGATGGACCCGGCCAAAACCAAACTAGAAGCGAAGCTTTATTAGAAAGATAGAAACTAAACGAGATGAATATAAAAGCGATCAACAACCACTAAATAATTTCAATACAAAAAAAAACATTGAGAAAATGAAAACGAATCATTAATATAAATGATAAGAGCCAAAAAAGTGACAAATTAAGATTAAACATTAAACCAACGTTAAAATGATATGTGAAGCAACAGATATGAGAAGTGGTCTAATATAAAAAAATACTAGAAAAGGAGAGCTTAATAAATCATTTTGCATCTTTCAGCCTTTACTACCCAATTGCCTTCAATAGAATAGAAAAGATAAAGATAGCCAGTTATCTAATCCATTCACCCAACGACAAAATTTTTTCCTTATCTATCTATCTGATATATATCATTTAAAACTTTCCGATGTCCCGTTTTAACGAGATTAAGCAAAAGAAAAAATGGTGAAAAACGGATAACTACAAAAAATGAATTTGTCTTATACATCACTCAACAGTTATATAGGAACAATGATAGAATTTTCCGTCAAAATTTTGGATTCAAAATTTTTCGCAAAATTTTGCCTATATTATGTTATGTTTTCAAAAAAAAAATATCTCAATATTTAACGACAGAAACTATTAATGACCATTGATGTATTAATTCTTCTTAAAATTCAATAAATAGAAAAAAGGAACTACAAGAAAAGTTAGTGAATAATTAAATCTATTTTATGGTTCTCATGGTTTTAGTGTCCTTCAAAAGAAGCCAAAAAAATTTGGAAGAACTTCAGACCATAAATGTTGTTCGAAAATTTTAATCAATCAGTATCAGCAAGCTGATGTAGAGATTCCTCTTCTGGCAATGGTCTGCGTCTCCAACGAGGATTTACAACGACGACCACAACCAAAAAGCAAAACATGAGAGTGGATAAACCAAGGAAATTGCTCATAGCCTGTTCAGAGCACATTACTTTGTCTTTCGTCCAACAGCTGAAATATTTATATTTAAAATAAATTTAAAAAGACAGAAAGAATTCATATATAAATGGTTCATTATTTACGTGTGTTTCCATGCAGCACGTTCACTTATACCCATAAGAATGGAAATAGCAACCAAACAAAATACACCGAGACCAAATAATTGATGGAATGGTAGAATGAACTGACGCAATGGGATGCTTAATCCGGGAAAGAAGAATGTTGTGAAACCGCTCAAATACTGAAATTTCACGTGAATTAAAACCACTTTTCCATTACTTTTCTAAACAACACATCTTTTGATTTGAATGATTCAATTTTATTGACTAGTAGACGGAGCGGTATGACTCTTTACAAATAATCATTTGGCGAAAGAGACAGAGCTGGCTATTGTAGCAGCCATACGAGTGGAATGATAAACTTAATTCAGTTTGTTTATAGCCAAAATAATTAAGAGATGACTTAACCATCAGTACTTCCCAAGATATTAGTTAAAAGAAATCCAAATCGTTTAAAAATATTTTCATAATTCTTATAAAAGAACGATATTTTATATTTATTGAATATTCATTTATTCATAAAAATAAAAAGCAATGAAAAACATACCTGAAGACAATATAGAGTAACCGTTATAATGCCTACCCAGGAATGTACGGAATAAAGATTTGGAAGTGGATCGAGATTTCCTTCAGTTCGATGATAATCATGAGAATCCCAAACTGCCTTCAGAGCAATAATTAGAAAAACAAGCACCATAGAATGCAACGTCAAATGTAGAAGCTTTGAAAATCGTTTTCGTTCATTACGAAAAACGCGATATACCAGTAAAGCTTAAAAATTTTTACAAAATGTAAAATTTAAAATTCTTGACAAAGTTTACTTTTTGATTATAACTAAAAGGATTTTTAAAAACTTTTGAAATTTCTTTAAACCGTCTTGCCTACCGTCAAATCTTGGATGAAGAATTTGCAATACAGAAAAATAACTTTAAGAAGAAAAGAAATTGAAAAAGAAAATAATTAAATGTGAAAAAAAAAATGAGCTGAAGAAAAAATCATTTAAATTACCTTCGCCGCTGAGAAACAGCATTCCCATAATCATGAAAGTAGGATGGTAGTGAAATTGGCGTTCTGGGTCATCGGTCCACGCATATCCGCCTTCATAACCCCCCATCCAAAACGCAACCAGCAATACCGACAGACCTCCTTAAATGATAAAATTAAAATCTTTTTTAACTTCATCCCTTACCTGTGACCACGCCAAATTTACTTCTTGGTAGGGAAATAGGGCAGCCACTGTAAAAACAATGACGTGGAAACAGTGACGACAAAAGATAAGACAGAAATGGAATAGTTCAAGAAAAGAAAGAAGCATAATTTTTCGTATTTATGAGGAAAATCTCGGCGAAATAATTTCAACTATGAGAAAAAAAGTTTTTTTCAAAAAGAAATTCCTATTTTCGATGAAAAAGTTCCACTGCAAAGAAAAATATCGAAAGACTGAATCTTTACGTCAGAAATCAGAACTATACAATGTTATATATTATTATTATTATTATTATTATTATTATTATTATTATTATTATTATTATTAAATATATTATTAAATATATTATTATCCATTAAGTGATTTAGAGGTATTAAAATGGTAAATTTATTTCCTGTGAGCCATCACTATTTCTTGTTAGGCTTATTCCATTGGGGTTTTAGCACAGTAAGAAATTGTCGCCATTTGGCAATAGAAGTATGGATGGAGCGCTATCACCATTCAGGCTTACTACCGCCGAGTGTAGGATCTGAATTTTTATACTTAATATGAAATACGCTAATCTACTGCTCTCCTATCTCGCCTCATTAATAATCGACTCTCAAGAAAACATCTGTAGATTCAAGAAAAAATCTGAAAAGAATTTCATTTTTCAATCATTAAATTGTCCAATTTCTGAATAATCGAAAACAACATCAGTAAAACCTTCAATCTCACAAGACGGTAACAACAATAGCAAATAATGCAGCAGTGTGGATCGGAACAATTTAGTACCAATGACCTGTAATCTGCATTCCAAATCAATTTATTTTATTCGATTTTAAGCAGCAAAGAATTTACCAAAAATTTGCGACAAGATAAGTACGATATTGTAAAGACGTGAGCTTTGGTATTCACTTAACATTTGGTACGATTCTTGCAACAGCGACATTTCTGTTTCTTCACCTGAAATTAAATCCGAATATAATCCAAATTCATTGCGTAAAACTGAATGGAAGAATTACAACCGAAATATTTTGAGTGAGATAACCGCAATATTTAGCAATTTTCTATTTTCATGCAAATAAAATTAGATTCATTCCCTTCCGATCATTGCAATAATGAAAACAATTATTAAGTCCTAAAAATATTAGACTTTTTTCTCTAATCGTTCACTAACCTTAGCCATAGCCATACTATTTTCTACAACTTATCCCAATGATTCTGATAATCTGCCGTAAAATTGACAAAGGCTTCGATAAAGACAGAAAACAGGAAAATAGAACCCTTAAAGTTTTAAAATATTTTATTGTTAAAAAGACCTAAGCCTATACATAATAGCACCTGCACATAATATCATAGTGGTCAAGGCAGGCGACTGATATGGAATGTAGCAACAACGTTCGGTTCGAATCGCAGCTAAGCCTTTTTTCCGATGGAGTCATTGAACAAGACATTCTAATAGCTTACCTGTCCTACCTCAAATGTGAAAGTGTACCATATTAGAATCATACCGGCTTGACCAGGATTAGTGAGGTCCGCATCAAATGTTGAGGAACCAAATCTATCGGATGATAATTGGAAATGGATGTTGTGGAACAGCTTGCTGTTAAAGCTACTGGAACAAACCTTACATGGACGAAACAAAATGATCTGGAATTGATGGAATATTGCTATAATAATAGACCTAAAGAAGTTATATGAAACCTAATGAAGAGGTTATTTTATTTTTATCGCCAAGGGATATTTATCCGATGAGCGGAGCGATTTAACCAGTAAATGGTGAAAACTCTTTAAAAAAAATGAAGAGGTTATAGTTGTATGAAGGAGTTGTGGTGAAAAAAAGACCTACATTCTCAATAACTGAGAAACAACTAGTGATTCAACGTTTCAACATAGGGGAAAAGAAGCTGCTCTCTCAACTGGGATGGATCAATTATGCACTATATCCTATATCCCCGACCCACAATAGCTCGTAAGAAGGGTGGGATATGCAGCAACAAGCTGGGAAGCTGGAAATTGCAATATCTCCATTGTAAAACAAACATGAGACAGAAAATCGTGAATGAACTGGCTGAACTGTAATCATCCATCCATCAAGAGCGTCGAAGTCGACTAGCGAGGCTCAATGCACCACCAGATAATATATTTGAAAACGCAAATAGAGTCCAAACAAACAATTCCTTCCGCAGAAAGCAATGAAGTGCACTACAATTATTGTGAATCTGGAAATGCTGAGACAAAGAGTCAACAAGAATAATAGTGCATATCATCTTTGAAAAAGCCGGAAAAGCCGGAGAATACAGTTAGTCAGCTGATAGAATTACAGAAAAGTATAAAGATTAAGAATAGGATCCGTATACTGGAAAATATAAGGGCTATATTCGATTAGAAACCCCAACTGCTGAACAAAGGCTCGAACACTGACCACTAAAGTAAGGAGATATATAGAGAAGCAAAGGCTAAAAAGATAACCTTTTCTTTAATGAACCATCCGAGATATATTCTCAACTGCGCAACAATATAATAACAGTAGAGCCACCAACAGCAGAAACTACTATACTCAACGATGAATATATGAGAGAAAAAGAAGATTGCCTGAGAATAAGGCACACCAGCCCTCCCATAGCAGGAACCATTTATCATCATAGATATCCAATAACTAGTTAAAAACATGAAAAACTGGACAATACCTGATCTAGATGTGGTCCACACCTATTAGCTAAAGAACTCTCGCCCTAATTGATTAAGGATGGTGGAGAAGTGTGCGGTCATGTTTATAGTAATAGCTGATGGGATGGAGTCTCAGGATATATCGTGGACATAAAGACTAACTATAAGTACCTAGCTATGTTGAAATCGCAATGAGGAGGCAAGAAAGACCTTTGCAACATCTCAGTATCGACAAAGAATGAGACAAAAACTGAAGAGCGAACTCAATGGGAAAAATAAAATCCATGCCATAAACGTGTACATCCTGCCAGTCATCAGATAAGCAGCTGGCAGAGATGGAAAAAAGAGATATGGAAGCTGCTAATGTGAAACTCACAATGCATGGGAATTTTTACCCCAAGTCTAACATTGAAAAAATATACGCCAACCGGAAAGAAAATCCATGGGAGAAAATCCAAGTGTGGAAGAGTCTTCAACAAAACCCGAAGGATTCAGGAACACATTAGCAAGATGGCACCAAAGGAGCTATATGAAGCATCCACAGGTATTGAAAAAGATCAAGAAAAGAATATGGCAAAATAAAATCCTTCATGAGATGTATCATCGATAGATAGACAGATAACTGAGGTAATTGATGTCGAAAAATATTAGTGGCTTAAAAAAGTTAATTAAAATGCAGCATTGAAGCACTGATCACTAAGCACCAGACCCACCGAAACAGGGATCCACCACACTAGACAGTACTCAAGGTGGAGATTATACAAAAACCCAGAAACAGCCCAATATATAGTGGAAATACAAGCGGAAAAATGCATAAGCAAGTAGCTGGTATCACCTGAATATCTGTTCAGTATATGGCTTACTCCCCCAAGACTAGATATGGGATTCCTTAGAAAATTGTGGAGGATAATAAGCCGGAGATCCTGCGGGACTACATCATCCAAATAAATACTGGCCAATCAACCAAATATCGTGATAGTAAGCAAGGACCAGAAATCAGCACTGATATGGAAGAAGGAATACGAGAAGCCAGAGATACCAGTGGAAGCTGAACTAAATAAGATATGGAAAGCAAAGGCCAAAGCAGTCCCAGTGATAATAGGACTACTAGGAATAACGATCCAGAAAAGTGGCTTCAATATATTCGAAGAACAACATCAGAGATCTCTGTCCGGAAGAGTGCACTGCTAGAAACAGCAGAGATGTGCAGAAGCCTTGATCTCCCACCCTCTGGCAAAGCAGCCGAGCCTGAGGATATCCTTACCACCCGCAGGGGAGGAGATTTTTAAAAATACAAACAATTGTTAACAATTGTTTAAAATGCAAATATAGCGGCGTTTATTTATCTATTTGCTACTTTGAAAAAGAGCAACGGCAAGACGGCGCAAAACGTATATTTGGCTTCTGTTTCGCATCGATCGCATCGACTAATTGAAATCAAACAAAATCACAAAAATGACTCTCTTCAACAGAATTTTTCCTTTAAAATTTATATACAAATTGACTTTTTGGAAAATGTCTAAAATTTTTTAAAATAATTTAGAAATTTTAGAAATAAATGGAATGAAAAATCCGAAGAAAAACTTCCGCAGAATTCAATTTTTATTTTGCGAATGGAAATTATAACTTCAAAAATTTCAAAATAATTTAATTCCGAGTAATAATTTCAAAAATCAAAGATTGAGAAAATAGTTTTTTATTTGAATTTTGAAGTCAAAAGGATGCGGACGTTCAACACTCGCTTCACAATAAATTCTTTCACTTCGGCGGCATGGTGTTGGCGGCATGAATTCACCTGTCGTCTATCCTCAAGCGACCCTCTGACGAAGTGGTTCCGTCCTAAAAACCAGCTAGCAGCCAGCCGAACCAAAAATGGTGAGTGCAAGAAGAAATAATTCACTAAAGACAATATATACATGGAAGAATTAAAAAATAAATAAAACGAAAAAGATGGTTGATATGCTTCGCTGCCATCATAAAAATTCTCGATGAATAAAAATGAACGCAGTATTTCCTATACATTTACGTATATATATGTACATATATTTCTCGAGACTCAGCAACTCAGTCGCAATCGATCGCCACATTTTACTGCTGCAAAAAGCTATCGACTAAGCAATCGAAAATTTTTTAAGTCCTTTCAAATGCGAATACTCTCTTCCTGAAATATAAATTAATGATCTCCAGTCATGTTCATACAGAAAAAAGGAGAAAAAATGAGCAGAGATAGTCCACATTAGAAGATATTTTTAAAAGACTTAGAATTAAAGCTTAAGGCGGATCTCATTTCATTGAAAAATCGCACTTTATGACTGTTAACAGCAATAGTAATAATAATAAAAATAATTAACCGACGACTAGACATAACTTTTATCGTTTTTCACCAATTAAGCAAATAACTGAACCCGCAGTCTTCAACTAGACAACATAAATTATATGTACTATCTAATAAAATTACCAACTTAACGAGTGAAAGATATAATACAACAAATTTTGCAGAGAACTTTTTGACATAAAGCCAAAAAAAGATGTATGCTTGATAAGGTTGTGGTTATCAGCAAGCAAAGTCCTACGGAATACAATTGCTTCACCTAACAGTTCTCGGAACTTCTAAATTTTATTAACTCGAATTTTTGTCTATGGTACTTGATGACCCAAATCCAACTTAGCTAACAAATTACTAAATCTAAATTCACAACCAGTGAAAAACAACTATATGGCAAATGTGCATGCAATATGATGGTGAAAACAAAAAAATTAAACGCTAAAACTTTATGATTTACCAGAGTCATTCCACAACTACGCTAGCAACGTCCAAAATTTGTCGAAATTTTTTAAGAATTTGTTTCAAAAAACAAACGTTGCTTCTTTCCTTCTCTCGACACTTTTTCTGCTCTAATACTGGAAATGGATCCATCATAAAGTTATGACTTAAAATTTAAATAAAAACCACGTTTAAAAAGGAAAATGAAGAAAGGGAAATTTGACGAGAAGTGTCAGTGAATAAAGCAATAATTTTTGTCGGCTGGATCCCTTTCAAAGGCATTGGTAATGCTAAATTTCCTTTATTTTTTCTTTCTACCTTGACAATTAATTCCGTTACATATACGAAATTATCTGATACTCTCGACAGGAGTAAATCTATCACTGAAATAAAGGAGGCTGCTGAGGAGTCGCCTGACCATCATCTCCGCGTGGTTCTATGCAGTAATCAATATGTGAATCAAGCTCACACTTAGCTACGCAAGCTGAGCGAGCTGCTCCATTTCATGTAAAGTGCTCGGACAAATATCAACCTGTGTGTGCATCTAGGCCTTGGTTCTAAAAACGTGGAAAACTTACAGATGATAAACATCCACACTCTCCAAATATATAAATATATATTACACGGATATCCCTTCCTCGCCGGAAATTCGCTTTTTTTTAAATTCTCACCTTTGGTTTTAATCACAAGTTTATTCCTGTTCCGAAAATGGGCCCAGAGCAGTGATTATAAAGTGAATATACCATAGTGGCCTCATGGTCATCTTAGAGGAAGTCATTGTCTTGTCTAAAAAGGCATAATCGTGTGAAATCCATTAACGACTGCTGGTCTATGCCCACTTTAAAGTTTTGTGATATTTAGATCGAGTTTTTGCCTTGCAGGAATGATCTAAATAAAGACAAATTCCATGAAGTCCACAAAAAGCGACGTAATCATGATTGCAATAGACTGGAATGCACGCACAGATCGCGCATAGATCCTTTTCTCTTTGGTGAGGAGCATGGATTTTTTATATATTAGTAATATATATAAATATATATTAGTAGCCAGTCAGTCAGTCAGTCAATCAACATTCCAATTAGACTAACTGATCCTGGTCAATCATTGATGAAAAATTCTGATAGCTGCGCAGAGTAAAAACTGTAGAACCCCAACGAGTCACACCACTCATAGTTAGAACAAAATCCGAATGAAGCAGACAAACCGTTGACGCGCAACTAGCGTCTCCCAAATTCTTTTAATTATCTTAAATTAAGGAAATTTAACTTGCAAGAAAAAATGATAAGATGCGAGGCGCAAACTATCAAGGAATGAGTTTGCTAGATATTTTCTGGGAATGCCTCTATTCTTCTGACTAGAGACTGACGGCATGACACTCTCTGAGCAAGCCGGATTTAGACCAGAATGTATTAATCAAATTTTCACACTGAATAAGCATTGGAATATCGGAGCATGTATCAACAATTTACTCCGTGGTTTACGGATTTTGACGTTGTCTTCGATTCCGACAACAGCGCGATGCTCCCGTGACATGAAACACGATGGTCCTGCAGAGAAATTAATCAAATTTATTAAAATATTTTACTGGCGTATCCCACGGTTTCAAAAACGGAATGCCAATCAAAACCTGGACCGATAGGGCCAAGAAAGCACAAGTAGCCAAGCGATACGAATTTAATTCATAGAAAAAGAAGTGGCTTCAACTATTTTCCCATTGGCAGGCTTGAAATGTCAAATCCTTATCGCCAATGGAGCGAGCTAAACCAGAGGTGCGGCCAGTGGAGCGAGTTAAACCAGAGGTGCGGCCAACTAGAGCGAGAAAACAAAGGTGTTCGCTGATAGCAGTTGAAATCCAGAATCTTTATTTTTTAAAATCAGATTTGATTTAAGCAAATGATTTATAATTTAAAAAAAATTCAACAAAATGTCAATATAATGAAAATTTCAAGCGAGAACCAAGTGATCCAGCAAATTTTTAAATAGACAATAATGATGGACTCCACATTTATTCGTTCTCGATAGAAAAATACAACGAATAAAAATATAAAATTAGTGGATATAAAACAATAAAACAATATTCTATGCTTTCACAACCTTAATAATTAAAAATTCATAGAATTTTGAAATTTACTTAAGAAAATTAAGAAGTATAGCAGCGCATACCAGGGCAACCCAAAAATATTTATGCAGATGCCAAAAAAGTTGTTGAAGAAGCGCTAAACAAACTTGAACCTATCGATTTTGGGTCATTTTTCACCCTTCAAATAGAAAAGTGACAAATATGATAAAAAATATACAAAATTGAAAGAAAATTTTAATAACTTAAAATACATTCGAGCTTTAACAATACAAGAGTAGAGCTGTTTTTTAGGTGCATTATCTGCATGGAATAGTAGTAACAATAATAGATCTTTCTTTATTGTCCACATTTATTCATATTCATGGACCCTTTACCTTTCATCTTTTCCTCAGAATATTGCTGCTACTTTAATTTTCACTAGAACATAATTTAAAAAATTTAATGAATAATACTATGTAACTAATAAATAATTCATATTCAACACTCTTTAACACCGTTAAAAATTTAACCCCATGAATAAAATAGCAATTTTTTATGGGCGTGAATTATTTTACAAATCTCTGAAGGACACTGAATTTTGATTAAGTTATTTAATTAAGAACCATTGATATCGAGAACACAAAAATGCAAAAAATTTAACTACTAAAAATATTCGAAGCGTGAAAAATGAAACTACGTTTAAAACTACCTATCACTAACATCTGCTTTCCAAAAACTGAATGTATTTTAATATCTGTAACTCGTAATTTTGATGTTTCTTTTCTGCAAAAATGAAATCGCAGCATATATATTTTATGGAAATTCTCGCCACTACCCATTAAATAATCTTTTGCACCCCATAAAACATCGGAATCTGTTACATTCTCTCATCATCTCCCAAAATAAGGCCATTTTATCTAGTTCCTTTTTTTTTAATCAAACCTTATTGTATTTCTTAGCAACGCCTGTTTATATTAACATCTGAATAGTCTGGCAATGTTTTTTTCTGTAAAAAAAGCACATAGGTGTTGGCGAGATTTATACTTCTATCACCAGCGACCCTCTAGCGAAAAAGTCTCAGCAAGTGGAATGAGCGTAACTGTTAATAAAAATATTAATTAATAATATAAATAGTGAATGCTAAACACCCATTTACCGGCACATCGAACTCCATTTTCCCCAATATTTTAAAATCCATTTAATCATGTAAAAAGCACAGGAATATCATCATCATTTTCCAGGATATTCCTAGGAACCGCTTGCGTAATTCCTAATTTGTTTAACTCAGCTCGTGTCTGTTCAGCTATATTTTCTGCTTCAGCTCGGTCTTTTTTCTTTTTTGCTTGGATCTTTTTCATTCTAAAATTATAAAATTATAACTAAATTATAAAATTATAAAATTATAACTAAATTATAATTAAAATTATAACATTATAAACAATTCAGTCTCATCCTCCCAACAAATTACATAAGCAAGAAAAATAATTCAAAGCTACTTCAGAATTACCTGTAAAACTCTTCTCTTTCCATCTCGTCCAACTCCGTAACTATGTAAGCAAGTGTATTCTCTACTCGAGGAATAATCACTATAAATATTTCAATAATCAGTGGATAAGATTAAAGATGAATTTCTAAGTAATGATTATGTATACTGATGTCAGCGAAAGAAAGAAATTTTTCACGATATTTTTTTCAAAAATTATAAAAAATGCTGATATCATTGCATATTTTAAAAAGAGAAATAGCTTGATAGTGCGAAATTTCACTCCCTGACCATCGCGAGTTGAAACCTTCCTGACCTTCAAAATATGTCATAATCTGTTAAAGATTTCTCATAAATTATTATTATTAAAATGTCTCTCGTGCTCAGCATCAAGTTCGAACAAAGAAAGAAAATGAAATGTTATTGATTTGTTTTTCAGCACTTTTTACTATTTTAAATCAATTTTGATTGATAGATGGTTCGTTAGTACACTATCCAGATTTTACAGCACTTAAACACTTCTTCTTAATACCTTATTCCAAGCCTCAACGTAAATTTCCTACAACGGTTGATTAGTTAAGCCTTTCGAAACTCTCTATGTATCGAACTCAACCAGTCCTTTAACTCTTTCAATCCTATATTCCTTCAATCGTTTTTCTCGCGATCGTGAACTGCACCACAAATCGCGACAGGTAATATAGTGGAAACAATGAAAAAAATCTAAAGAGAATGAGAACCTAACAAGTGAAAATAGTAAAAGTGGTTTTAAGAAAACGAAATCAGATAAGCATAAGGGATATATCGACGTTTGCTAGTACTGAGTAAGTAGAAATCAATTTCGCTTTATTACCAAGTCAGTTAATTTAACTAACACTTCGTATTTCTAAATATTTTATGCATTTGACTCAATTACCATGTCCACGCGATGGTCCTTTTATTAACAGAAAAACTCCTAAATATTGGATTGTGAAGCAACTTACAAATGATAATTCTTTAATATTCTAATAATTTATATTATAAAATCACAAATCTTACTAACCGTGTTCAATAGCATTCACACGCCTATTTGTAACTTTTATTGCTTCATCCAAAGTGATAAAACAAGTTTGAAGCGTAGCCAATTCGACCAGCAATGAAACTGCTTTATAATAATTTTTTTTAAGTTTCGTGATATTAGCGCCACCTTTACCAAGACCGGTTAAATCATAAGTGTCAGGACCATCAACATATGAGCTAAATATAGGTAGAAATACGCCTGAAAAACATAGAATACTGAACTATCAATTAATTTGAGGAGACAAGATAAATGAACGAGTTGCTTAGACAATCATTTTGATCATTAAGGTCTCTCTTAGATATGTGTAAATTTATCATTATCATTGTAAAATCTGGATGGTGAACTAACGAACCATCTATCAATCAAAACGGATTTAAAATAGTAAAAAATGTTAAAAAACAAACCAACAACATTTTCCTTCCTTGTTCGAACTCGATGCTGAGCACGAGAGACATTTTGTATAATCATATGCGAGAAATCGCCGGCCGTGAATTTTGCCTCGGCCAATGAAAAACTCGCTTCCCGTAAAACCTCACCCATCAACTGTTTATTCTAAATGAATAACGATCAAAAAAGTAATAAGTAAAAATAAGTAAAAATAATTGAATTCAATTGCATCATGGGAATTTACGCACATCTCGCTAGTTTCGTAGAATGGAATATAGAATATAAAAATAGAATATATCAAATCAAAATCTCTAATCTTAGAGAAAATAACGAGATAATTGATAGCAAGTAAATTAGGAAAAAAAATTCAATTGTTTTAAATAATGTGATATAATGTTTAATATTATTTAATTTAAATAATGTTTTAAAAAAAAACCGATCCACTAATTCGTTTTCTAATTTTTACAAAATAAGTTTGGAAGTTTTTCACTTACCTCAACAATCTGAGTTAAAATTGTACGAAAGCGCATATTGAGTGCATCAGCTTTCTTTTTCAATAAACTATGACCTTTCTGAGCAGCGCGAAGACGTGTTTTCATTACTGTTTGAGCCCTATAAAGATAGGAATATTTGTAACCCTTATCGACAATGGTTATCTGGGAAACAGTCCCACGACATTCCGTCGTCCATAACTGAATACATTTGGTTTCCAAAAAAGGAGTTTTCAATTTGCTAATAAGTGAAAAACAACATTAACCACTTCTGGTTTGCTCCTTCCACTGCTCGTTAGGGTGGCTACTTTTACCACTTAATCACTAAGAGAAAAGATCCCAAGTATCCAGATTTTTAATGACAGGTTCAGGTCTATTGAAGAGAGGGTTTCCGAATGTTGGCGCTCGAGGCGACAATGAGAAACAAGCATTCCACTATGTTATAATACTTCTTTCTTCTTCTAACAGCTCTCACCATAACTTGTTAGGCTGGCTTCAACGCTTACCGCTTCCAAGTTGTGCGGTCTGATGTCATCGTCGTCAGTAATGGAAACCATTCCTTTTTCCATCGTCTAAGTCCATCCATATATTGCTGGTCCACCTATACGCTTAAAATCTTTCCTAACCGTATCAGTCCAGGTCTTGATTGGCACACCTCGCTTTTGACGCCATCCATCACACGGTTTAGCAAGTAACGAAATATGCAACAACTTCTGTAGTGGACGACGGAGAATGTGCCCTAGCCAGCGAAGGCGGCGTTTTGTGATATTATTATTTTGTTATTTGAACGAAGGTGGATACTGATAATACCGCAATTAGATTTATACGATTCAATAGCTTTCCATTCTTTTAAATTTTCAATTTTTGCATACTTAAATAAAAAGCTTACATTCGTGAAGGAAACACAGCAATACGATCCTTGCCGCCTCCTGACATTTTTTCAAACGATGCACTTTAATTTTAAACCTTAAAAAACGTAGCATGAAAAAGATATAACTAATTTTGGGCGGAAAAACTGGGAACGAATATGCAGAACGCCAACATTTTCTCAATTCGTTGTGTAACGTCCAAAAATTTTTTTATCCAAAAAAATTTAAAAGAGCAAAAAGCTATTAAAATACTTTTGAAGAAAACAGATTGACTAAAAATGAACAGAAAAATTGATTAAAAATAATTTTATAAGAAGCGACCTGAAAATGAATCTGAGCAGAAAAATAAACGAAAGTTGTCCACTTCTCCACTTCTTTTTAAATAGGATTAACCAAGAAAAAAGAATAATATAATAAATAAATATATTTGACAAATTTATTCAAAAAAAAATAAATTTAAAAATAACAAACTTAAAATAAATAATAAATGAATTTAAAAAATAAAAAATCCTTGGTCCTGAAAATTTCTGCAGGATTCTACTCAAGACCAACTCTATTTTAACCCCACACCTTGGTGAACGAACCTTACACCACAAAACACCACAAGCATTACGAACCCCACAGCGGCTTCACTCACACATGAAAGATCAATGATCAATGGCATTGCAAATCCAGCACTTACCATCATTCAGGCATTTGGCGCGTATTTAAACGTTGAATATTGATGGACTCCCGGTAGAAACAGGTTTAAGCCATAATGGCAAGTCTGTCCCCACCAAGAGACTGGAATTGGACCGGTGATGTTTAAATACGCTGAAGTGAACAATGGAGCAAACCACCGCCCTCTTTCCCCGTCCTTTGACCTCACATTTGATTTGGTACCACAAATGCTTTCACTTCGAAAGGCAAATTTTATTGCGCTAAAAAAACGATACAATAATTTCAAACATAGAGAAAGAAGACAGACGTATAATATGAGGTCAAGACGTATAATGAAAATTGTGAAAAGCATAAACGCCAAGCTCGTTGAAATTTTCGCAGCAGAAGTTTCACGTTGATTCAAAAAAAATTTATTTCGCCATATGGTGCGTCTTTAATGGAGAACCAATTTAATCCAGTAATCTAGTAAATTTATATGATAATAATCGCGAAATAAATGCATGAATGCATCGATCTATTGTTTTCCTTGGCAGCTGCAAAACTGAATAATTTATCTCGAACTGATGATAAACGAAAGGTACCTCGAAAGGTACCATGCAGTCAAACATTTTATACGAAATGATTAAACATTTTTATTTTTCTTCTACCTGAGATTTTTAAAAATATTTATTTTTTTGAAATGCAGAAAAAACCCGGAACTTGCATATCTCATAGAGTACCACACAGCTAAAGGGGACATGCCAGAATACGTGCGTTCTTGAGAACTATATGATCCTTTAGCTACCGATCCACTCGACGACAAATATTTAAGTGGGTTCTCAGCACATTTCGTTTTCACGGCAGTTATTTTTGTTGGCAGGAAAGAAAAATTTCTTAGGTGCAAAATTATTATTATTGACTGGCCAAAATTACGACATTTATTATGACTTGTTATTATTTATTTTATTTTACAAATATAAATATTATTAAATATACTATTTTAAGCTAAAATATTAAGTTGAGAAGTATAGATAAACCACAGCGAAAAGGAAAAAATGGAATTATCAATTGCAACGATTAATATCAAGAAGTTTTTGGCATTTCTGTTGAGATCACAGTATGACCACGCTTATAAATAGTCCAGTAAGGAAGACATTTAGTGGAGTTCGGCGATTTCCACTTCCAGTACACATTTTCTTCGGGAATCCGCTCCACTATAAAGTGTTTTAAACTTGCCGTCCCATTTTTCGAGTGACAAAATTACCACATATTCTCCGGCCAGCGTTCTCCTTATACATCTTCCTGCGAAAGATCGCACCCCTCAAACTTGGGTAATTAGACTGCCTATTTAATATATATACACAAAAACATAAGAGCAAAAGAAATCTTAAAACATTAAAAATTCTATAATACCGATGCGGCTTATGCATGTCCCCAGTTGGCAAACATGGATGATGTACTTGCTAGAGTCATACAATAACGACCGTAACACGATGACGACGACGAAAAATGTTCCAATCTAACGCTTCACGGACCCCCAACCCATTTCCTACATTTCTTTCCCATTTCCACTTTCCCTTTCCCTCAAAATAAACCCAAAATAGCCAAAAATGCATAATGTACTTAATTGATTGATATCCTTTTTATTCGTTTTGAGATGGGCGGAGGGAATATTTATCTTCCATTCTTTCGAAATAAAATATCTTTATTGCAATTCTCACTCATGAAGTACTCTACTGTTGTTCCATGATATTGTCAAATATTTTCCAACTCTTGTCTCTTTTACTTTCCTGATGTTCTCGCCAGGAAAGAGATAAATAGCAGGCGCGGACGACAAGCCCATATCTGCAGTTACCTTCGCCATTCGGTGACAGCTGGGTCATCTCCTAATATTCACTATGCACTATTTTCCTCTTGATGCGAATGGTTGGTTATCTTGGGCTTTGCATGAATCGTCTTATTAATATATAAAATATATATATTTTTGTTACTGAATATTACCAACTGTGATTTATTTGAAGTTATGTAACACCAATATATGAAAATTTTATTCAGAACGAAACCAAAATTTTCACTTATCTGAAGTTTTCAAATTTTTATTAGATTTTCTAAACTACGCAAAATAAAACCTGAGAATTACTTATTTTCTGAATACTCAAAGATCGATAAGTGGTCAATAAAACAGATATAAATAAATTTAAAACTGCGTATAAGCTAAAGCTCGCATATTGTTTAAGAATGACAACAATTCGCCATCACTTACAAAAAACAAATTTCCAACGTATGTGTGGGCTATCAAATTCGACAATATTTTAATAAAAATTAAGATTTCTGTAAACAGAGGTTCATTTCTTTCATAAGATAACATATGCCATACCTTGGCAACCTCCTCTTCATTGATCCTTAATTGATCGGTAATTAATTTGTTAACGAGACAGATGCTGGTTCAAATCCAGCAGACGCACCAGCTTTCGTCAATTGAGAGGGTCGTGAGATGGAGCAATAAGGTTATTTTGGAATCGACCGCTTCCATTTCTTTTTGTCTTTACCTGCGAGGCTTTATTCTTCATGGAGACATTCGACGACAACATTATCAATATTTCTAATTTTTTACTCTACTGGCTTTTTGTTGCCTTCTTTTAATGGGTCTTCTTGTATATTTGAATCTTTTTTCACTTTTGGCATGTCACTGAATACGGTGCTACACTGTGAACTCGTTACCTTGTCAATATCCTCTTCACTGTTGAAAAGGCAAATGCTGGTTCGAATTTTTAGCCCCATAGCAGCCTTTTGCTTTCAGCGTTTCTCGAACTCTTATTTGACGAAAGCATGGTGCGTCCGCCCGGATTCGATTCCTTTTTTTTTAAGAGCCCTCACAATTACTGGTTAGATTTGACTTTTCACACTAGATAAATATGCCAGCGAGTCCTCTTGGCGATAGAAGTATAGGTAAGCCTCCAACATCATTCGAACCCATAGACTGACGAAATATTCCCACTGAACTACTAAGGCAACGACGCACCGCGTCAGCTAAGAGTGTCATAAAATGGCGATACGATTTACTTCTTGGTTTTCGTTCGTTGCAAAAATATCATTTTGATTTTTTACTATTATGTGAGCTGCAAATTTTTGCATACAAAGTGATTTGTGATTTCGCTAATCACTATTCCCAATGCATTTCACCGCAAAACCAACATGGTGTGTACTTGATATACCTTTTTGCTTTCTGGAATTTTATATTATTGTACCAAAAGTGATGAAATCTTCGCACTCTTTCTTTTGTAGATTTAAACATTGGTGACCCCTGTTGAATAATGGTTTTTGCCGAGTAAATAATGATTCAAGTATCGCTACAGCTTCATCGAAAGATACCCCCAAGCTTTCTAGATAGAATGAAATTCGCGTATTATTTTTCATGTTTTTCCTCGCGTATTATTATGCGGAATCGTCTTGTAGCGATTTTTGAAACAAGTTCGAGTAACGGCTAACTGCTAACGGTCAAGGTTTTCATCCGGAAAAATGGAATGTCGAGATGCTTTCAGCAATGCTTCAAAGAAGGCTCGATCTATTGTACCGATGTATTCTCGATTGTTGCAATAATTCTACGAATATTTCCATCATTTTCAGTTAATGTTGATTACACCGAACATTTGTTGTTACTGTGCTAGGACCTTAACGACTGGGAAGATTTCGCACATTTCGGAATTTGTGTGGCAGTCGTTTACAGAAAGGAAAACGGACAAAAGAGAAAATCACGAATTTTGCTAGTGTCGCCGATTTCGTATTCAGCCAGTTCGTTATTCCCCAGTTTATCATACCGACCGCCACGATATACAACAACGACAGCACAACAACATGATAAGGAACCCTGAATTTCCCAGAAGGATATAAACAAATATTTTTATTTAATATACACAGCCGCCAAAAAGACACAATATTTAAAACAAGCTGCATTAACTGACATTTACGTAGAAGATTTATGCATCATTAATGAGTTGCGTCTTAGAGGAAGAAATTTTTTCCTTCTCCATGTTGTACAATATTCGACAATAAACAAAATAAAAGATTACAAAAATTAATAAAAACAAAATAATAATAAAAAGTAGCAAAAAAATGTTATTACGCAAGGCCCGACTGCTCATCCCGCAGAACAAAAATAACTTCGTTGGGGCGCGGAAGTACGTGGATCATCCACCCACGCTAAATGACTACAAAAACGACAACAATAAATTTCACTACAAAAAGGTAAAATTCAGAATAATTCACGATAGAGAAAAAGATGAGGAAATTAGGAGCAGAAATGTAAAATTCCAGACGTAAACAAGGGTAAACATCGACTTCGCGTTACTGGTAAACCAGTATGAATGATCTGAATTAATTAATTAAGTCGGCGAATATCTTTATCATGTGCAGCAATCTGCCTCTTCGCGGGAACAAGTCTCTTTCATTTCGTTCAAATATTTTTTCAACATAACTGTTATTATGAGAGTTGCTGAATACTTTTCACAAGAACACTAAATTTTTTGAATTTAACTTATCGTTCTTTACATCTTGTCAGAGAATCGCATAACTTAACCAGTCATCTAATCACGCTTTTTGCCCAAACATGTCCAGCTTTTCCATATTTCTCTGATATAGATGTCAACCTCTTAATTCCTCTATAATACTGCCACAATCAGCAGTGCAAGATCCCAGGTTTTTTTGGACCATAAAGATGTATTATTTAAATACAATTACAACGAGTAAATTTATTTCTTTCGAAAGTTTATTATAAAAAATAACAATGACTTTAATGATTTATAATAAATAAACATTTGCAACAAAAGGAAAAATGATTAAGTACCACGAAATAATTAAAATAATTTTAAGGCAAAAAGTAATAAATAGCTTTTTCAGTATTAAAAAAGATTATACAGTATTTTTTCCTGATATCTGACAAGTTCTTCGAGTCCCGCCTTTTCCTTTTTCGTCTTAAAAGAATTTAGGTAAATGAAATTCAATGAATATCGTTTATTTACGAATTGGTTGCGAAAGAAATTTAGTTTCCGAAAGTTTTCTTCAATCCACTTCAAACTTACTTCAAATTCTAACGAAAACTTCCGCAATTTTTCGAAAACAACGCAGTTAAGCAGCGAAATATATAAATTATATAAGAAAAAAGAAAATTTTTATCATGAACAGAGGTAACAAAACCAACATTTTCAAGGAAGGAAGTAATACTGAGAAAAGAACTTCACAGAAAAACATCTCTGTGAACAGTGATTAGAAAAGATTAAAAAGACAAAGAAAACCTTATTTAGCATTTCCTGTTCCTCTTTCATTTTTTTAGTGGCATCGTTTTGTTGTTCTATGCTTAACAATTCTTCACTGAGGTAAATGTTAGACGAAACAGTCGATGGTTGCAAATGTATTTTTGCTTTTGTCTTAAAATAAAGAATTTCCACAAAAAAAGCAAATGAAACAAAAAATGCATGGATTTTAATATCATCTGTGCTATCACTTAATGACATGCCATATATCTACCTTTTCTTCCCAACTCTTCCTCTTCAACCAAGTTCTCTCTTTGTCTCTCCCCTATTTCATCTTCTTCCTCTATTTTGCTTCTTCACTCACACATTCTCCTCCATCAGTCCACTAATTCCCCAGCTCCAATTCTTGTTTTATAATCTTCATAACGAGAATGAAAGCGATAAATATGCAAACTGACAAACTTTTGTGATCAGCCACAATTTTTGCCTTACAAATATAATTAATATGTATTAAATAAATTTTGAAAAATATATTCATACATATAAACATAATATCTCTTTCTCATCTCTGTGGGTAGTATGGATCACCACCAACATCGAGTCTTCTCTACTAGAAGCGTAGGAGCTTGCGATTCTGCGCAATATCTTAGTTCCTGGTTCCTAGTAGTGCGCCCTTCTTTTGTTATTCTTGGAATTTGTTGGAGCCACTTTTCTAGTTTAGCGGCACATACCCTAATGATCCTATTGCCACTATAGTTTTGATTTTCCATATCTGTGAATAAATCCGAGCAAAGGAATGATGAGGCCGAAAAGAAGTAAAAATTGTTTAAAAAAACATTTTCAACTTGAAAATGTTATTTTTAAACAATTAAGCTTCATTAAAATAAATTTTGACCATTTTATGTGATTTTTTAATTTAATTTAAGCCAGGTTTGATTAATATTAATTATTAAATTTTTGTCATTTAAAAGATTACATAAATAGGAAAAAATTCCAATTGTTAGCAGTTCGAGGAACTGCTATTTTGGTTTTTGATTTCGATTTAGGAATGGTTTGGGTGTGGAATAACATAATCTTGTAAAAATCTAATTTATATTTTTAAAAAATCGATATTATAATTTCGATTTTATTTGATGGCCAGAAAAAGCCTTAAAAATAATAAAACAAGTTTTTTCGTAAAAACAAAATATATATAATATGTACTTTAAAAAAAGCCAACTAACCAAACGGTGCAATTCAAGTTTTTTAATAGCTGCAGTACTCTGAGCGATTTTTCCTGGACAATTCTTTCGCAAATTCACTACTTTTACTATTAATTCATCGACTTCAGTTGCAATCAAATCTTTTTCACATCTTTTTTTGGTTAATAAATGATAATCTAAAGAAGTGAAACAAAATGTCAAATCTTATAGAAACGATTATTTGTTATTTTTCAAATTTTTACCATAAATGAAATAAAAATCCCTCACTTGAATGAGACATCGTTAATTTCTTACAATCCGTCATAATAAGGTTCACTGAAAATAATTCATATAAAAAATAGATCCAAATTCAAATATTTAACACGTGAAGCATACGTACTTTATGCTTTTCTTTCTTTTTTTCCATACACTTGCCTCAGATCATGGTTACAACATTTATAGCCACAACTATTTTCAAGCCACTAAATGATCGCCTTTGAATTCCTTTACCTATAGTTTTCTTCAGACTGTCAAACTTCTTCTAATCATCACTGGTTAGGTTGGCTCCGCTGACTACAAAGGTAAGACCTTTCCAAGCTGCTCGATTTGATGCCATCGCTGATAATAATAGAAGCCACTTCTTTTTCCACCGTCCATAGTCCATCTTTACGTTCAAAATCTTTTCTTACTGTATCAGACTAGATTTTGATTGGCCCTTCTGGTTTTTGACAACATCCAAAGTTTAGTCCTATGATAGAAAAGTTTCGCATCAATTTCTGTATATGCCTAACCAGCGACGCTCTGTGATGATACTGTTAATGCAAATGGTATCTGAGCGAAGATGGATGCAATCAAGCGACATTTTATCCGCTCGATGAACCTGTAAAATGAATCTCAGATATGAGTGGTCAAATTAATTTAACTCAGCTAATTTCTTAATAATCCACTTCTTTCATTGGCCACGTCTCCAAACCATATAGCATGATCGAACGAACCGAAGTTATATAGATGAGGATTTTCGTTTTTCTGGTGATTTCGCGAAGGCTGCATATAGTCATCCGGTTCTTAATTTCGTCTTTTGTCTGATCATTTGGGGATGGAATTTCGGATCCAAGATATTTAAAATCAAGCATAATCAGCAATTAATTGATAAAAATAGATATTAGTTTATCAGTTTCTCCCATATAGGACGAAAAGGCCTTTTTTTTATTTACGTTGGCCCCGAGTAAGATTCTCACTGCTGACACGTCATTATTTACATTATTTATATTTACCATAATTTAAAATAAGGGCTACATCATCAGCGCATTCAAGGTCTCTAATCTTCTAATCTAATCTTCTGCGATGCTCTGGACTGATTCGTACACCTGTTGAATGCCGATAACTCATATCCATTATCCAGTCTATCGCATGATTGAATATTGTAGGGGAAAGGACAGAACCTTGACAGACACCGTTATTTCGAAAGAATCTGTCAGTTCTCCATATATACAAATATGTACTGTTGTATGCTGATAAAATGCCTTTGCCAAACTATTTCATCAGCAGCTAACTTAGATAGAAAGATAAGAGGGAATTAACAAAAATTCTTAAACGAAATGGAAAACTGGCGACTTAATACTTTTCACCCAAACGAATAATCCAGAATTTGATGATCTTTCGCTTGACTCTTTACTGAAAGAGTGAAAGATTCTTTTTGATACGACGCCCTAACATGATCCCAGTCCGGCCGCATATGATGTAAATATAGAATACAGGTATAGCAAAATGACTTGAGAATTGTACTCGAGGGCAACTATTGGAAATCTGTCCAAGGAAATAAGAAACTGTCTGTTGGCACCCTGCACGCACAGGGAGATGTTGGTCATAATTGCACAGCTGGAACCTCAAAACGCTTATGGACGTTGCAAACCAAGCGATCAATGTCCCCAATGTCTCTTTCTAAATACCACGTGGATGTGGCCTGTTCGAGATCCATCATGTCGGCCCTTAAACAATTATAAAACCTGGTTCCGAGCAAAGATATCGGTTATATCATGTATAAGCTTCAATTTTATGCGCAGATAAAACCATAAATTCTATGCGGATCTTCAAACATCTCCACCGAGAAGTGACATGGGTCATAATCGAGGAAGACTAGAATGCATGCGTAAATCATGATGTTACGATGATAACTGACAAATATGCATCGGGATCCAGTGCGGCAATGGAGAACGCTTTGCTCAATAGCATGAATTTTTTGTTATATGCTTTATATGCTACTAATATATGCTTTCGGGCATCGGAGAAGACATCTAATCATGTGGAATTCTCCAAATAACCATACCCAACCAACTAGATCTTAGTTAGCTGCCATTGTATTTCGTACTATATAGTCGTTCCTATCGGAATACAAAAACTGCTAATCTTCATATATCAGATGTTATGGTTCGAGCCAAAATTTATATAAAACTGCAATTCGCAAGAAACAACGTCTTCCAATAACATTCAACTGCCTCAAACTAAAAAGTTCGGGAACAATAAGCTCATTTCAAAACAAAGAACTGCTGAAGCACTTCAATGAAATGGATATCTCTGGAACTGCAGATGAATTTTTCAATTAAAAAAGTCTCCGGAAGTCAATCACGTTCATTCTTTACTAGTAGGAAATACTAACTGGGCATTGGAAGCCACAGTCCAACTAATTGAAAAGGCTGCCAAAACACGAATATCAGAAGATCTCACTATCGAATGCATCGCAGAATTACAATGACAGCAACACAGCGGAACAGCATTTGTTATTGGAGCAATAAGGCCTTAAAAATGGAGATGGTGGTTCGATTAGGCGATAACAGGAAACTATTCCGCCTTCTTCATAAATTAACTATAACTTGGCGAACGGTCAATGAAATAGTATCAATTGTAGGTGTGTTAAGGATAAAGGATTATTTCGTAAGTTGGATGGAATTCTGTAAGGTCAAACTTAATCACGACGCGCCATATACTGATAGCTGATTCGCTCATCTAACCATACGCTTGCGATTGTGAAGCACCAATAGAAGAGGAAATCTCCATTATCCATAAGCTTAGGGCTATTAAAATGGCCTCCGGGCTGAACTCTTTAAATGTTTTCCATTGCCCTCCATAATAGACCAACAAAAGTTCTCTCTGGTATGGAAAAAAGAAATAATACCAGATGACGGGAGCAAACAATTCTGCTCTCAATTCCCAATAAAAAAAATAGGATAATTATCGAAGAATCAGCCTACTAAACGTCTCAGCGAAAATTTTTGTTTCCCTTCTCAGTAGATTCAGTATGGGACTTGAGGATGCGTTCTAATCAAGCTAGATTTAGGCCGCATGCGGGTGTCTAACCACATATTCACGTTAAGAAAGGGGTTGGAAAATCGTCGCTTCAGATATTTGCAACCCACCGTATTTCATCGACTCTGCGGCTGCCTTCATTGATAGATTCAGTTAATAGAACGATGATTTAAAGAATGATGGAATTCCAGAGAAGATCATTCGACTCATAAAGACTCATATTTTATTAGCGTACGTCGGCGCAGGTCTGTGTATAGAGGGAAACTCCTTCGAAATAAGAATTGATGTTTATAAAGGCTGCATACATCCTTTCCTCTACATTTCATGCGATAGACTGGATAATGGATAATGGCATGTCGGTCTTTCAACAAAATAATTTACTCCTTTTTGCTGATAATTAACGAAGAAATACAAATAATGCTGAGCAACAACAATCAACAATCTCAGGGAAAATTGGGCTCAGAATAAATGTAAGCAAAAGCCTTTTCGTCCTATAAATAAGCTGATAAAATATCTTTTTTAATCAATTCATTGCTCGTTGAGGAGATCCTCGACTTTAAATATTTTAGATCCACTCTAATCCTAGTCAATCCAACCAAAAGATAATGACTCGGATAACAATGCATCCTTCTATTTACGATAAGAATGGAGGTACTAAGAAGTTCTGCCTTCGATCAACCATGTCTAAGATATATTTTAAGGGTTCGCTAAGATGATAAAAACTCACATTTCACTCCGCCCATATAGTACTTGCGTTAACAGCGACATCAAATAGTGTGTCTCCACTACACACAGCATATTCTTCGTCGCCCACTACAAGAATTGACATATTTCTCGTTACTTACTAAACCCTGTAATGAAGAGTCAAAAATTAGAAGGAGTAATCAAGACCGACCTGGATTGAAAGATTTTGAACGCATATAGGCGATGAAAAAAGGAATGGCATCCACTATTATCAGCGATAGCACCGGACCGAAACAGCTTGGAAACGTAGCCAGCGGAGCCAGCCTAATCAATAATTGGTGAGGGTTGTTAGAAGACCTTTCGCTTTAACTTTCTAATTCACTGCGACATTAGCGAACCAAACCAACTCGACGCACAACCTCAACTTAAATATACCAACTCCCCGGACCATATTTTAAATAAATAGAAAAATGAAATAAAAAATTCAAATTTGCTTTGCCGCCATTATATACTACTTGTCGGACCAGCCGAATGAAAAATTGTCTGCTACCGCGTGGATCCCAGATTAATACTACTTTGCATCAAATTTTATCTTTTTAATCCTTTATTTTAAAACGAATAAAGAGTTATCTGGGAAGTCAAAAAAGGCAACAGATGATGAAAAGGTAGTGAAAACAACATTAGAATATTTTTATTTTTTAAATTAACTCTGACCGTTGATAAACAAATTTCCAGAAAGGATTCGATTTAATTAAATTAAAAGAGCAGTTTTAAATGGAATATAACTGTATGAAATACGAATCAAAATTGGTGCGATAAAGAAGAAAACTAATATTCGCCAACTCATATATATCCAGTTTGATTTCCACTTCGATTCGCTTCGTATATATCGCATTAATGAACTTATTTTATTTATTTTCTCTCGTATGAAAGCAATATAATCAACACTTCGGCAGTTACCAACTGATTTACGATTTAATGAAGAAATGGTCTTTTCATCTGATTTCATGTTTGAAATATTTCTTCGCGTTTTTTTATTTTCATTAATCGACCTTAAAAATTTCGATAAAATAATACATAAAACTAAAAAATGATGATAATCAACAATCAATTTTAAAATAAGAAAAAAGATTTTTCAAATATATAATTTATAAGGAAAAAACAAGAAATTGAGAAGATCAAATAGAGTTCAATCGAATTTTATTTTATCCAAAAAAAGATTTCATCATCTCCTGTGGGTGGTAAGGATCATCCTCAACCCCGACTGCTTTACCGGAGGGACTTCTGGAGAGATTATCTGGAGAGATGTTCTGCACATTTAGCTACTCCTAGTGCGCTAACAGCTAGTAGTGCTGATTACATTACGATCCAGATCAGATATAATTTCCTCTGCAATTTGAAGTTCATTCATATACAAATGCCAGATAACTCTTTATTCGTTTCTGGAGATTCCTCTGATTTTATTCCTGGATTCTACTCAGAAGCACAGTTCCATATGCTCCAACTGTCAACATCTTTAATTCCTCTTTCAATCCCTGGTATTTTTCTAGCTTCTCATATTCCTTCTCCCTGTCGTTCCTGTCGCTTGCTATTGCTATATCAATTAGTAGTGCTGATTTTTGATTCTTA